TTTTGGTTTGTTTTGGTTTTGGTTTGTTGTTTGGTTGTGCAAAGTTTGTTGCAGTATGTGTTATAACTGTATAAAACTTAATAAAAATTATTGGGGGGGGGAAATAAAGTTCTTGGGAGTTCCATTTTAATGCTATGTGCATTGGCAGGGTGTGTTCATATGACTGGACAAATTCATGGAGAATAAGGCTCTCACTGCCTACAAGCCATATTAGTGTCATTCTGCCTCCACTGTTGACAGGAGTATGCTTCTGAATACTACTGGCCACAGTGAGAACAGACTGGCCACAGTGCTGTAGCATTCAGGTCCTGCTTATGGGCATCCCATGGGCATCTAGCTGGCCACAGTGAGAACAGGATGCTGGACCAGATGGGCCTTTGGTCTGATCCATCAGGCTCTTCTTATAAGGAGGGAGGGAGGTACCTGCTTATTTCTGGTCTCCTCTCCTTCTGAAAGCTAGCTTTCACCTCATTTGTGCTTTCTTCGCCATCCTACTTTTTTGCTCACCAGACTCCTGCTTCCTAGTTTCACCCACTCTGCTCTCCACCATCCTTTCAGTCATCTACCACTAGATTCAATCCGTATCTGTTTTGGGTGAAAATCTCACACACCCGAAAGCTGGCAAATTAGGCCATTTCCTGCAAAAGATCATGCCACAGCATGTTGCCACACTGTTCTAGATCTGTGCATTTTTATATTTTTATTTTTAGCTGGTAGGGAATAAAAGCAAACCATGACCTCCGAAAGCAAAACAAAACAGTTCAAAGAAAGCAGCAGGCAGAGCTCGAGGGCTTTTCTATATTTGGTAATTTACGAAGGAATTGGATAGCGAAAGAGCTCTGTTTTGCAAGCTCCGATCGCCCTCTACTGAGCATTTGCTGAACTAAAGCATCATGGATATTGTTAGCCACACACACACACACACACACACACACACAGGAGTTACCAGCAATCTTGGAGGAACCCCAAGGTTTGCAAAAGTACAAACAACTGCCTATGAAAAAATTACAATGGGAACTCTGCAAACGACTTAATGAGGACTCTCTGTAGCCACAGAATGCTGGTTGATTTTGGTCAGGGAGGGAAGGAAGCTCAGAAAAGGAAAAACTCAGTGGGAGTGGAAATGACATGCAGTATCCGGGAAGGCGGGAATGGCTGGCTGGCTGGAATTCTCAACAGGAGAACTCCATGCTGCAACACTTTGCTGCAGGTTTCACTTGTGGCAATCTAACAGTCCTTTGTCCTTGGAACTCTGTACTTGGAGCTATAACACTCTGTGGGGACTCAAGAGCCAGCTTTCAATCTCAATTCAGAGACTGATAAGGTTACATCCATACCATACATTTAAAGCCCATTTGGAGCACCTGGCTGCCTCAAAATAATAATAATAATAAAAAAATCATAGCAACTGCAGTTTACCTCTCACAGATTTACAATTTTCAGCACCTTAAAAAACTACACTTCATATGATTCTTTGGGAGAAGCAATGTGCTTTAAATGCGGGTATGACCTGAATAGGGACGTGGGTGGCGCTGTGGGTTAAACCACAGAGCCTAGGACTTGCTGATCAGAAGGTTGGCAGTTCAAATCCCTGCCACGGGGTGAGCTCCCGTTGCTCGGTCCCTGCTCCTGCCAACCTAGCAGTTCGAAAGCACGTCAAAGTGCAAGTAGATAAATAGGTACCGCTCCGGTGGGAAGGTAAACAGCGTTTCCGTGCGCTGCTCTGGTTCGCCAGAAGCGGCTTAGTCATGCCGGCCACATGGCCCGGAAGCTGTACGCTGGCTCCCTCGGCCAATAAAGCGAGATGAGCGCCGCAACCCCAGAGTCAGCCACGACTGGACCTAATGGTCAGGGGTCCCTTTACCTTTACTTTACCTATGGCCTGAATAATATATGGAAGCCTCTTTTATTTACAGGGCTAAAAAAAAAGGTGTAGTTAGTACTGTACAAATCTGCAGTTGGGGCTGTGGTTAGTCCTAGAATTAATTTTAATGTGTCTACTGTGACTTGTTAGATACAACTCTCAATCCCCACCCCATCCCGGTGTTTTTAGTTGTGTAGTTCCCAAGCTCTGTTGGATTGTTCTGCTTTCTTGCCTCTGCCATAACTCATGAAAAAGACTGTCACAGTCAAGCCTCCTTGAAATAGTTCCTTTTATTCTCAGTTTTCAATTACTGTATCAGCCTTTCAGTCTTACTATGTCTCTCTCTCTGTCCTTGTCAGGTAGCGGAGAGTGAAAGGAGATATGTGCTCAGTACAGTTCATTATCACTGGGATTGTCATACCAATTTCAGATGCCTTAAATGATTAAAAAATAAAGAAAACTTGACAAGTGACTAATCAGTTGTGTTTTGCATGCATTTACATAGTACAGTACCTTAATAAAGGTGCGTCTTGAAGGTGACAGTTTCCCTCACGTATAAGGTGACTGAACATTTAAATGTTCTGAAAGCGACCACATTGCTTACGCTAGAGATGCCTGCAGGCAATACCCAGCCTCCCCTCTCATTCCCTTGTCCTCATTCATCCTCTCCCCACTCCTGGCAAGAGTGAAGGGAGCAATCTCTGCTTTCCGCCTGGCTAGCATCACTTCCAGGATGTTAGAAAACTGTGCTGGCAGAGCCCAAAGGGAGTGTGTGAGAACTGGCACTCCGGAGCTTTTTTCAACATAATAGCCAACAACAAACAAACAAACAAGCCTTGGCTCACTACAGACTGTAAAAACAAAATAAAAAAACCTTTGTGTTTTTACAGTGGATTTACATCTAATTGTTCCAATTTGTTTGCAATTCCTTTACTTATTTATTTCATAAAATTGATATGCCTCTCGAATGTAAAGAAAAGAAGACGTCTGCACTTGCCCACAGGTTTCAGGATACAGTGGTACCTCATGTTAAGTACTTAATTCGTTCCGGAGGTCCGTTCTTAACCTGAAACTGTTCTTAATCTGAAGCACCACTTTAGCTAATGCGGCCTCCTGCTGCTGCTGCACCACCGCTGCACGATTTCTGTTCTCATCCTGAAGCAAAGTTCTAAACCTGAGGTACTATTTCTGGGTTAGCGGAGTCTGTAACCTGAAGCGTATGTAACCCGAGGTACCACTGTACACATTTTTCAACGGGAAATAGACCTGACCAAATGACATACACATGCAGCACCTCACTCCTAACACCTTCTTTCATGCAGCGACCCCTTTCCCTCCTCCCACATGTAAACACAAAGCACTGTTCTTGTTCTCTCTCTCTCTCACACACACACAACACACAAAAGCACACACTGGCCACCTACATCCCTTATGAAGCAGATGCCCATGCCAAACCTTATACACGTACTGAAAGGACAAACCCTCAGTTTTAGAAAAATAGGATTTTCAGATTTTATAAATGCTGGACAAACAAGATGCCTTAGCCGTGGTGTTGTTCCTATGGCTCTATAATAAGAAACAAACTATAACAACACGAGGTACCACTGTAGACTTGTTGTACATAATAAGCAGCTGGTGACACAGTTCAGTGTACAGTATGTCTTTACATTAACCAGTGTCACTGGCAGCAGATTGCAGTTGAAAGGGAAATGTTTTTTTTGCTCAAAAGCATATGAGCAATAGGGGTAATTATTGATCCCCACTGCTCCAGTATTTCTCACTAACGGTGATCCCAAAGTCAGCTTAGGACATCATCCCAGTGCTTAGATTCATCACTGTCTTCCTGCGCTGCTTTCGCTGTCTGTCTCTGAGATTTCACCTTTCTGCAGTAGCTTTGAAAACTTGCCACATGCTTTGCCATGCTGTCCATATGCTAGGCATTTTTCTTTTCTCTTTACATGTTGTTTCCCGCAATACAGGCATTGTCTCCTGCATGCTCCTTCACTAGGTGGCACATCCTATTCAGAGTGATGTCCGGACTGTTGGGCAGCATGCACCTGTGTCTCTTGGGTGCCTGCTAATATTCTAATTCTTGCTTTAGAAAGTTCTGCTGACCTGCGTACGTCCAGGTAGCAATGTAGTGTTAAATTGGTTTCTCGCAACAGCTGCTCATACAAATGCTGATCTCTTGTCCCCCAAACAATTGTGAATCTCATGAGAGAGTCACCCTAAAATTACAGGTTGATGCTAGAGTCCTTAATACAGCAACATAAGCATCTGCCTTCAGCACCACGTTCCCTCATAAAGAACTTGACAGTGTTCCACTGTTTCATTTTGTATTCATCCAGTGCCTTAAAATATCTCCTCCAGAGTTCTGCCAGTGATTAGGCCAAGAGACATGTCCTTCTTGCCCCTTGTCTCCAGTAAGGCAATACGACAGCTTTACTTTGTGATTTTCCTCCTCTCTCTTCAAAGCAAGAACCAGATAAGAGTTCAAACTCTTCTCTCTACTGCCTCCATGCCTGAGCTAGATTAGCTGCAGTGAAATTTGGTGGTGAAACTACCCTCTGCAATGTGTAGTTATTGTGGATGCACCAGGAAAGAAAGGCCTGTAAGAGCTTTTTTGTTGTTGTGATTGTATGCTTTTAACAGAATATCTACCTATGTTTGTTTTTTGGCAGTTTCTAAAAAACCTGTAAGTCACCTTGAGACCCATGAATGAAAAATGAGGGTGCACACACAAATATATATAAAACCATACTACGGTTTTATATTTGCTGTAAGCCACCCAGCCAGATGGGTGGGGCACAAATAATAGAATTCTTCTTATTCTTATTCTACTGCTACTATTTCTAATAAGAATAAGAATAAGGGGAAATGCAGCGTTAGAGCATTTTAGTATAGAGGGGCGCCGGAGACGTTCCCCCAAGGCGGGGCGAGGGACGACAACTTGACCCAATAACAACAGCAGCAGCAGCAGCCGCCGCTTGAGGCGCTGTTGCTCTTTACGCCCCCAGCCGCGCTTCCCGCTTCCCTCATAGAGCGGCAGCCCAGCAGGTGGCGCCGCAGCCCCGCGAGCCCTGCAGGGGGCGTGGCTGCGCGCTGACATCGCCGGCGAGGGTGACGCAGCCCGGGGCGGGGGCGGAGCCTGGGGAGCCGCGTTTTGCATCGGGAGCCGGCGGCAGCGGCGGAGGAGGCGGCGCTGGCACTTGACCGGAGGGTCTCCTTCGGGTCCGCTGCCCTGTAGTGTGTTTCCCCCCTCACCCTGCCCCACCTTCGCGGCCGCCATGTACCGGGCCCTGTACGGCTTCCGCTCGGCCGAGCCCAGCTCCCTGGCCTTCGGCGCCGGAGAGACCTTCCTGCTGCTGGAGCGGAGCAACCAGCACTGGTGGCTGGTGACCCGGGCGGGCTCCGGGGAGACGGGCTACGTGCCGGCCTCTTACCTGCAGCGCCTACAGGTCAGGCGGGGGGCGGCGGCGGGGGCAGGGGGGCGAGGGAGGCGGCGGCGGCGGCGGGGACGGCTGCCTCGAGGGGGGCGCGGCGGGGCTCCGGCCCCTTCCTCCTCCTGCTGCTGCTGCTCCCCGTCTGCCATGGGTGGGAGGTGGGCCTTGCGCCCGTGTCCCCCCCCTCTTCCAGGTGTGCAAAGCACAGGCACGCAGCTGGTCCTGGAGGGTTTTCCAGGCGCAGCCCATAACTTCGAGGGAAGGAGGCCAGTCCGGATCTGCCTCGCGCGCCGCTCGTGTTTACGACTGCTTCGCTCTCCCGCGCACACCTTTTTGTCGCTGCGTAGGTCCATGGGGCAGGAAGGTGCACCTGGCCAGGGCTTCCTAGTGCCGCCTATGTAGCCTGGGTGCAGCTCCGGGCACAGAAGAAGCACTTCGGGACTGTGGAAGGAAGGGGCAGAAGCGTCCCCCACCCCCGGGGGCTTTGCTGCCTTTAGAGAGCTGCTGGGCACCCGGTGAGAATGGTGCGCGCACCTTCTGGAAAGTTGGGCGGCACTGGCCTCTGGGTCTCGGCGACGCCGTGCCGCTTTGAGTTGTGTCAAGTGGCGCAGGGCCTGCTCCGAGGAGATGGGCTGCTTGGCGTGTCTCACATGGTGTGTTGACAGGGTAGGGGTCAAATGACAAGACTCCTGAGACTTGAAGGTGACTCTGGGCTAGAGAGAGAGTTTCTCCTTGCTAAAGGAAGCCTCACTTTACAGTGCTTCCTAGTAGTGACTGTGTCACTTAGGACCTCTCCATTTCAGATCCTCTTCAAGGCTCTTTTGCGGATGTTTGTCCTTGGTTTGTCCCTCAGTGGCCTGGTATTGCTCTTGCCATGCACTTTAATTGACTGTGATTTCTTATAGTTGGACCAGGCAAGTGGTTAAAAATAAAAAGAATATTTTGCAAATCTTACATCAGTATCTGCTCCTAGTGTGCCAAAAGGAGGGGAGGAGGCATTTCTCATTACTTCCAAATATCGCTAAGTGAGATGGAAACTGATGGGGATTGGTACATAGGGAGAAATGAAAATATGCAGTCTTTCTCAAGTAGCAAGGAAGAAAAACAGGTGCAGAATGAAAGATGGGATAGTACTGTATATCAGATGAGGTGCACCCTAAGATGCTTAGCCTACACCTGCTTCTCATTGCCCAAGGGATGTGATACATGCATTTGGTCCTAACTTTCACACTAGAAAGTCAAGCTCTAATGTGGGCACGTTCAAGGCTGAGTTGCATACAACCCAAGGTATTCATGGTATACTGTATTCAGAAACTGATGGGGGGGGGGGGAGCTAACACACACTCCTTCCCTTTATCTCTAGTGTTTGCAAATCCAATGACCCATCTTTCACACCTGATCTCCATGATCAGAATATATAGTGCATTGGAGCTCGAGTGTATTGATGTGGATGAAATGTGAAGGCATTTGTAATGCGGAAAAGGAAAAGGAAAAGCTATGTGGCAGTTACTCCCAAAGGGAGCCTATGTTGGATGATAGCCATTACAAAGGATTCAGAGCTCGACTAATGCATATATTTCTTGATGTTTATGTATACATGTGTGTGTGTGTGTGTGTATACGTACACACACACACAAAATCAGGCAGCTGTTTAGAAAGTATATCTGAAGCTGGCTTTCTGTGTCTACTGAGAATACTGTGACTCCCTGAATGCAGAGGAGAGCAGCAGTGGTTTCAAACCTCCTTGTAATGTGGATTATAATAGAGAGAGGCTAATAACAGGCCTGTCCAACTACTGATGAAGGGGCCAGACGGCTAAGCCTGAGCAAATGTTGTAACAATAGTGGCAGTAATTATAGCCAAGTCAGACATGTTAGCAATTATGGAAAGTGAAAGAACAGATTGCTTCAGCCCAAATAGGAATCAGAGTGATGAGTGAAAACACCCTCCTCTCTAGTGTGAGGGTGTATTTAGTGGAGAATTCCTAGGGATAGCATAAACATTGAAATGTGAATTTGCTTTGAAACAAACACAGCTTGGCTTAAAGCATTTAGTTCTAATGCTAGAAACTTGAACTTGTGCCTGAAGCAGCTGCATAAAGAAACCATGCTTTTGTGCTTAATAGTTATAATTTACTTACTTAAGAGTCAAACTAGAGGTGATGTTTGTCACATAGTTTACTCTTGCATCGTTGATTCCCTCCCCCATATTTGGGGTGGGGGGTAGCCTCTTTTGGAACAGGCGTGGAAGAAGCGGATCATAAGTCTCTAACCCCAACCATTGTCCTAACCTCCCTCACACTTGCCGTTTGCAGTGGGAGAAACACTCCCCTCTACCAATGATGGGAGGATGCAACATACTTCATTGTAATATTTTAATGCACATATGAAGCTTCCAAATTTTTGAAAATGCGAAAATCCCCGAGTTCCCTCCCCCCAAACCCCCACAGCATGTTTACAAGGCCCTATAATGTTTAGAACACACTTGTGTCTTAATATAGGCAATTAATTAGTGTGCAAATTTTAAAGAAATTGTGTCTTAAAACAGGTCCATGACTCATCAGAAGCACTGGCCTTTGTGCTGTTCAGGCTTCCCTATGTTTCAGTTGCTTATTTTTGAAAAGGCCTCTTTTGCTTCAGTATCTGCCTGTCTGCCAAGAGAAAAATGGGGCCAGTGTAAGGATGGTGAAGCCTTGCCCCTTCCTATTAGTGGTCCTGCCACATCCTGCCAACACATCCCTCTGTGGGCTGGATAAAGTGGATATGTGGGGTTGGAGCTGATGTAAACCAGCCCTGTCTGCTGTCCCATGCTCCTTATTTACATTGATGTGGACCTAGAACTTGTAAGTCATTAGAACTTGTAAGTCATATTAATTCATGCTCCTTACTTCACGGGTAGCATTTTATATTATGTTGTGTTATGTGAAGAGCTCTGAAGTAAATGGGACAACCATGACTGGTTATGGGAAGTTGTGCTTTCATCATACAATATTTTTCGGCAACTGCTTTATAATGGATATTGGTCTGGAGCCTGTCATTAATTTAATGTCCTGTCAGAAAGTACCTGAAACATTTGTTTTTTGAACCTTGCCTGGTGCATGATTATAGGAGTGTGTGCAAGAGAGTATGCAGGGGAACAGGGAGCAGAATACATTCAAAACAGTAGACTGCACACTGACCTCTGCAAACAGCTTGATGCCAGAATTCCAGTTTTGTATCAAAAAACTGAAAGGATCAGACTGCATTGGGGGTGCGATCTTCATTGATGATGTGAGGGTGGGAGAGAACAGTATTTTTTTTTTAATAACCAAATTCAGCCAAACAGGAGTAGGGCATTTTGGAAATAGCTTCAAGCATTTTTAGAAATAACTGCACAAAAAAAGTTGTATGTGGCGCCTTCCATAGGGAGATGCTGAGTTCCCTGGGGAGACATAAATGCCTCTCATGGAGCAAAATGCCAGCCTATCCCCTGTCTATGCATGCAGTTGAGGATCAGTGTCTCAAACTTGTATTTAGCAAGCATTTTCTTCTTCCAGCACCTTAAAATGCATTTTTGAGTCCATCTTTTGCCATCTTTTTGTCTGTATACAGAAGAAAAATAACTAATGGACTAACTCATCCCTTCTGGTTTAGGGATACTCTGTATTGGTTTTTAAGAGGATTTGCTTTTTGAGCAATCCAGAGAAGTGAACTCCCAACTATGGGAGTTATGCTTTTGATGATCAGTTTCTTTCCAGGTTAAATTGCCAGCATCTATAGCACATACTCAGGGACGCGGTTGGTAAAGGTAAAGATACCCCTGCCCATACGGGCCAGTCGTGTCCGACTCTGGGGTTGCGTGCTCATCTCGCTTAAGAGGCCGGGAGCCAGCGCTGTCCGAAGACACTTCCGGGTCACGTGGCCAGCGTGGCCAGCGTGAGGAAGCTGCTCTGGCGAGCCAGCACCAGCGCAGCGCACGGAAATGCCGTTACCTTCCCGCTATAAAGCGGTACCTATTTATCTACTTGCACTTGGGGGTGCTTTCAAACTGCTAGGTGGGCAGGAGCTGGGACCGAACGACGGGAGCTCACCCCGCCGCGGGGATTCGAACCGCTGACCATGCGATCGACAAGTCCTAGGCACTGAGGTTTTACCCACAGCGCTACCCATGCGGTTGGTGCTGTGTTCTAAATCACAGAGCCTAGGGCTTGCCAATCAGAAGGTTGGTGGTTCGAACCGCCGCAATGGGGTGAACTCCTGTTGCTTGGTCCCTGCTCCTGCCAACCTAGCAGTTCGAAAGCACATCAAAGTGCAAGTAGATAAATAGGTACCACTCTGGTGGGAAGGTAAACGGCACGGTGCTGCTCTCGTTAGCCAGAAGCAGCTTAGTCATGCTGGCCACATGACTGGCTCCCTCAGCCAGTAAAGCAAGATGAGTGCCGCAACCCCAGAGTCGTCCGCAACTGGACCTAACGGTCAGGGGTCCCTTTACCTTTATAGCACATGCTCTGTTCTTCATAACACACTGTTTTCTCTTTTGTTGTGTTCAAGCACCAGAAACCTAGCTCTTCTGGTTGTTCAGTAACTTGCTGTTAATTTAGTTGTGACTTTTTTCCCCACACCAGCCTAAAGACATTTCTCCCATGAGTTCATTCTGGTAGGTACTTACAGTTGAGTTTAGCTAGCCTAATCATAGCATCCTGTATTGTAGAATAATTAGCCACTGATTTCAAGGATTTGCTAAGTTATCCATCTATCGATTTTCAATCAAAACAAGGTTTATTTTTTAAATTGCTGTAGCATAGCTAGGCCTAGTGAGCCCAAGGCTTCAATTGCTAGGAGACAGTGTTCTGGTTGTTTACAGTGACCCGAGCAGGAGGTTTCCAGTGTCTTGGTGACTGTAGGACGGCAACCTCTGTCCCAAATATTTCTGAGCTGCTTTCTAACTTTCAGTGTACGTCTATTGCTTCCAGTTTGGTGGTGATGCAAGTGTTGATGGATCGAAGATGCCAATAATAATATTTGGAAATGAACCAAATCTTTTATAGAAAACCCGTGTACAAAAGAGTAGCTTAAGGGTTCAAGAGCTGTCTGTTCTTGAGTCTCATTTAATAAGTGCATTGATGCTAATTAGCAAGATGCTTAAAGGTAATTTATGTTGCCACGCTCGCTGCAAGAACATTGCATCAAATGATAAGTGACAGTGTGTTGAGACGAGAGAGGATGTGTGGTGCCAATGAGAATCACTGTTGCAAAAAGTAACCCAGCAGCGAACTTCATTAATAATGCAGTCAGGTTCCAGGTAAACTCCACATGCTGCAAGAGCTACAGTCAGCGGAAGAAAACCTCCCTCAGCTGATGGAACTTCCCAGTGGGAGTTATGAACTGATATCACAGCATGGCAATTGAAATAATGTAATTTAAAGTGGGATCTCTGACTTAAATTAAGGCATTACACCTGTTAATGCCACCTGCATGTTTCCTTTGAGTTCTTCCATCACATCTTGGCTTCAAGGGGCAAAATGCACAACCAGCTTTGTTTTAGAAAACGTTCTGCCAGGCTGTGTGAGTTTTCTCCAGCTTAGTGGTATGTCAAGCTATTTTTGTTCTGTGCAACTACAGAATGTATAGTGCTTCAGTGCAAAATGGGGCACTGCTAGGGTTTTACTGTTGACCTGGTTGTAAAGAGCAGCTTGAGAATTTGAGGGTCATATCTGGTGAAACCTAGAACACCAAAGGGTTATTGATTTCAGCTGCAAGTGCATAACCTATTAATCCCTGTCCCTACAGGTTACCTGGAACAGATGTCCAAATCCATCTTTTCTCTTGTCTTATCCCCTACCATCTTTCTCTTCAGTAAGAAATGCCAGATTAATTCATGCAAGAGTCCAATTCAGTTTTACTTTGGTGAATTGTTTTTCTCATGTTCAGGATCTGTCACAACATATTTGAACCGAAGAAGCTAGCAGTGATCCTGGGCTTCCTTTTTTGCCTTCCCCTTGAAATTGTGGCTTGAGTCACCTTGAGCGTGTTTCCTGACTGTGTGGCTATTATAGTCATTGTCATTTTGAACACAGATGTAGAAAGAGACATAGTGGTAAATGAAAGGTCCTTTTAAGCCAGGAAATGTGTTTAAATTCATGATGCAGATTTTAAGTTCTTGGGCACAGAATTTGTTTGAATTTGCATCCATAGTGTTTTTACTCGCATGGGGACGGGACGGGACAGCAGCTTCCATGAAGTTGTGTCAACACCACAAAGATCTGGTAAACTGCTTCTTACTCAGCTGCAACGATAATGGGAGAGTTTAATGTAAGCAAGCCTTCAGTGCCTAGAGTTTTGGATACAGGATCTGAGGTCAGCTACACTGTAGGGAACAATGACTCGAACAGGTGCTACAGCTGAGAGGTATGAGAAGCGCACCTGACAGCATCATCTGGTTAATTGCTTGGAGTTACTTGAGAGTCCCTAGTAAGTGCTGCCAATAGTTTAATGCAAAGCAGATGTTGTGGTAGGAAAACCAGCCTATGAACTTCACAGTGTCTGACTGAACAGGAGGATGCCAGTTGTTTGAAGATCTCAAGAGTGTAAGAGTGATACTTAAAGAGGTTGTGAACAGCAAAAAAAGTGTGGTGGCTACAATGGAAGCTTTCATCTGAGGCAGAGAATAATTTATTGTAGATAGAAGAGTGAAGTTTTATATGGAGTAATAAAAAAAATCAATTTAAAAGCTTCCTCAGGAGAAAGGGATTTATTCTGTGTGTCAAGGAAGTGAATAGTTGCTGAATAGGAAAGAAAGCCCAATGTAACAAATGAGGGCCTTATGGTTAGGTTAAACAGTCCATACATTATCTTAATAGTAAAACATGTAATCACTTAATGGGAATCTGGATCTCTTCCAAGTTTCAGCTTTTAGACCATAAGGGTTTGGATTGCACCATAGCTGTACAGGATCTTTGTCATCAAAGATGAAAGTGAGAACAATATTGCCTCTATCTCTGCTGTTGAAATCATGACACAAAAAAATAACAATTTATTATCTGTTGCTGTAGGACTGTTGTCTTCTGTCTTTGAGAGTGAGATGAGGAAAAGACTGGCTCAGCTGTCACTGTAGCCTGTTTATTCAGTTGCGGGAAATGGTCTGTGAAATATTAATCTGTTTTGAAACCCTCATACGTGCAAGCAGGCACATGGGTAACCAGTTGCAGCACGGCTACATGGGTAGAGCTCAACATGACCATGAGCAGCTCATCAGGCAGGTTGGATGGATTCCAGCCATGGCAGTGCAATTCCAGCAAAAAATAAAATAAAAAAATGGGGGGGGGGTTGCATTGACATGGCTAATCTATATGAACCATGTAGAGAGCTTCTCTTACATATGGTTCGCTACATGTAACTGCGCCCTTGCTGTGGCTTTATTTAAGAGCACTTGTTACCAGCTTAATATCACAAAAAATCTCTTAAGTGGCATACAAAGCTCAGAATATAGAACAGTATAAAACCAGGCATCCCACATCATTGTAATAATGGGTAAAACACAAGTCACAATTGTCAGGTACAGGGGTCCAGTTTCAGCAACCAAATGCAGAGGTCAGGGAAAGCGTGGGGAAAGAAATATGCCTTTTAAAGATCTGTAAAACACAACAGAAGTATGGCAGAAGGAAGAGCATTTCAAAATGCAAGGGCACAATAGCCCATAGGACTTGTTGCTACAAGTAAGATCTCAGATGATTGAAGTGATCTATCTATGGGCAGGCAGTCTTTCAGGTACCCTGGCCTGAAGTTGTTTAGGGCTGTATATGTCAACAGCAAGACAGCCATGGACCAATGGATGAATCGGATCTGTCTTTTGAGCACTGTGGTTTTTCGTTGTGGCAGGTTAATTCAGACTTTTATTTCATGTCAAACTCTGAGCATTCCATGCAACTGATTGTAGAAAGGGTCTTTAAAGGATGAGTGGTGAGGACAGAGCAATGAGAACACAGCAGATGAGTCAGGGCAGGAGGTTAAGGATAATGGCCAACAGAAGAAGCAGTGCAGGAATGGGGAACCTCCAGTTCACAGGCCAGACTTGACCTGCCAGGAAACCACACCCGCCTGCCCTATACCTGAAATCAGGTGTGTGGCAGGTAACTGTGGGGCTTCAAAGAAAATGGGCTACGTAGTTGCTCCATGGCTGGAGCAAGGTTCCTTTGTTGGAATGTGCCTTGCTCAGCAAGGAGAAACAGTAAATATTCTGTTGGAACTGTGTCTCCCTCTCTGCGCTTTGAAGCCTCCCTGTGCTTCTTTCCATCCCCACCGTGGTGGTCAAGGAACAACTGTGCTCCCAAATGTTCTTTTGCAGTGGGGTTTCATTTGGTGCTGGATCCAATCCCTGCTGAAAGCAGTGGGACTTGCATTTGGTGCTAAATTTAAAAAGGACTGAGTGCATGCTTCACTGCAAAGGGACAACTGGGATGATACTCTCAGCTGCGCCCTCCCAGTTGTTCTTTGGCAGCAGGGCTTGCAGTTGTCACTGTTTAAATTCAGTGCTGAATGCATCTCTTCCACACCCCATTGCTTTTGGCAGGGATCGGGTCCACCTTAAGCCAGGTGATTGGCAGGTGGGCAGACCCCACCCACCTGTCAGAGGTGGCCCACAGAGGGTCGGCCTCCTGGACAAAAGTGGTTTCTCCTTCTAGGAGTTAAGGAAGTGCACAAGTCTAAAAAAATACAAGCCATTCTGTTTAGGTGGCTTCCTGCTTTCAGTGAGTTCTCATTGGAACGGCCTGTGTTCACGTGCTCAGGCTGGTTTGCTGCTTGAACGCTGCTTCCAGTCTTTAGTGTTGTATCCTTCCTCGTGTGAGTTCTCTTGTCCTTCCCCCAGCAGTATTGACCAAGTTCAAGGGTTAATCTTGCACTAACCTTATCCGTGGTTAATGCTACCGGAGTTCCCTCTGTAAGCAGAGATTGAAACCAAGACATGAACCTGGTTTGCAAACCATGGTTAAAAGGGAACCTATTTAGCATAAAGCATGCTACTGTAAGTCTTCGACTGTACCTGTGCACCTCAGAGTACCTTGGGCCTTTATTGGACTGACCTCTGAGTAGAAGTGGACAGGATTGCACTGCACACTGAGAATGCAACTACAAAACGCTAGCCATGGGACTGTGTGCTCCCTACCCCAACCCATTTATGCTTACTCTGGTGACTAGATTTCTACAGTTGTATTCTCAGTGTGCTAAACTTGAATTTGCAGTGAAATGGTGTGGAAGGTCTACTGTTTCTTTTGATTGGACACTTCTTCCAGTCTGGGAATAGGATTTTTAATTGCCTAGGTTCACTCTCTAGTGTGATTAATACTGGGTTATTTTAAGCCATGTACAATGGAGCTAATACTCCCTCTCTCAGTGGACTAGAGGATTTTTGTGACAAAGGAGGTACCACTGCAATGCCAATTTTAAAAGGAGCTGTTCTCCTAGTTTATTAGTCTAATTTCGAGTCTTCTCTTTAGAGAAAACAAAGGCATTGCCCATGGATTATAGCAAGGTTTGTAGCTTCTTCCTTGCTCTGATCTCCCTGCCTTAATCAAAGCCTCTGAGGATCAAGCTCAGTTCTGACAGCTCTATTATGCTGGCAGTTAAAACCTTTGTTGCTTTACAGTGCTAAAGAGGGCAAAAATAGCTACCTTAGTGGCTCTGGCTAAAATTGCAAAGGCAGGCATTTAACAGTCTTAGATCAGGTGAAGCTGAGTAAGACCAGGTGGTGTTCCTTCCTCCTTTGAGGCTACAAGAGCTATGTGCAGAATTGGCCTGATGTCCTGCTGCAAAAACTTGCTCATACTTACTCGGGAGTAAATTCCACCGTGTTCTGTGGGCTTGCTTCCAGGTTCGTGTTCATAGGATTGGAACTCCAGTGCAGTAAATACTTATGAAAGATTTTCTTCGATAAGCTTCTTTATCAGTTTCTGCAGAATTCTCTAAATGTCAGATTTAGTGATTATCACTGAATCTCAGTGCTATATTTTGTTTCTTATTATAGAGCCATAGGAACAGCACCACGGCTCAGGCATCTTGTTTGTCCAGCATTAACAAAGTCTGAAAATCCTATTTTTCCAAAACTGAGGGTTTGTCCTTTCAGTACGTGTATAAGGTTTGGCATGGGCATCTGCTTCATAAGGGATGTAGGTGGCCAGTGTGTGCTTTTGTGTGTGTGTGTGTGTGTGTGTGTGTGTGTGAGAGAGAGAGAGAGAGAGAGAGAGAGAGAACGAGAACAGTGCTTTGTGTTTACATGTGGGAGGAGGGAAAGGGGTCGCTGCATGAGAGAAGGTGTTAGGAGTGAGGTGCTGCATGTGTATGTCATTTGGTCAGGTCTATTTCCCGTTGAAAAATGTGTATGTGTTTTCTACATACCATATTTTCTCTCTCTCTTTTACTCTTACTCTTACTGTATACTTTGTCTTGTGACTTCAGTTGTAGCCTCTGGGTTGACTCATTCCTTGAGCCATTGAAATTCCTGCCATGGATTTACTTGATCTGCACTCTGTGATAATAATGGGCTACATTCCAAAGTTGTTATAAACTACTCTGTGTTAGCCCCCACCCCACCCCTTTGGGCCAATGCACAATACTGCATTGCAAAATTGTATGCCGACTATACTTCTGGACCAAATGACAAATGATGAGCAAAACAAAGAGGCAAGGTGGGGGATAATTAAAATGGCCTACATTTTACAGGGCTGATGTAAAGTGATTTCGACACATAAAAGTGCAGTATATAAGTATTTATAAAGCCACAGTGATGTTAAATCTTTCTACTTTAAAGATGGCTCATGTGATTCTGTGAATTGTTTTCAAAAACAAGAAATTGTAGCATTATAAAACCTCTAGTTTTAAGACTTCAGACTCTTACAGATTCACACATGTACAAAAAAATCACGGAAATTTCAAGTTAAAGGAAGAACCTTAAGTTGTATGTCATGCAAGCAGCAAGTACTCCATACGTACACTCATTCTTGTTCTGTGCACACTTACAACTACTTTCCTTTGTCTTTCAGCCCCAGGCCCCTTTCTCTGCTTAGGGGAACCACTGATACTTGCTCTCCCAGCTCCATGGTCCCAGTTCAGATTGGCTCTGATGGCTGCTCTTATTTGGCAAAATTTGAAAAGATGGAAGATTCATTCACAGATCTGTGGTCTCTCTTATTTTGGCATTTAAGATACAGTGCAGGCTTTATTCAATCGTGGTTCTGCACAGTTGTTCCATGCTTGTAAACATTTAATTTTGACATCATATTATATTTAGCTAAAAGATAGCTAGGTGTAGCCTTGGTCTCCTGTTACTAGGATGATAAAAGCAGCAGCTTGAACTGGAGGAAGCTCTTCTGAAAGTGACAGCCCTTTATCATAATATGTTTTACAAATGAATAGCTTATTTGGAAAAACTAAACAAATGGAGAACGAATGCAGAAAATGCATCACCTGGCTTATTGGTAAGTTTTCAATTCCTTACAGTTAAAAGTAATGATACAAAATGTAGTAGCAAACGTTGAAAATATGTTGATGGAAAGTTTAACAGTTGGGGTGGCAGGGTTGGGAAAGGAGATATGAACAGAGGAGCTAAAATATTCTAGGCCAGAATAGCTGAGGTTCCCTTTCTCCCTGTCTTCATACAAGAATAACCTGGCATGCAATGAATCGAGAGTAAATACTCTGCCAACAAGCAGTCTGTGAAATTCACACCCACAGCATATTGCTGAGGATATATATAGGAATAACACTGCTGCTTTAATAAAATTGTGAAGATAAGCATTTGTTTTTGTGTTCCAGAGTGCCTGCCACAAGGTTTTCAAGCAAGCCAAAGTTCCTCTAAATATCTACCACACTTGCTCTTGAACTGCAGGATTGGGCTATTTTGAGGGGGGTGCTTAAGAAGACCCTTGATGGATCAGATCAAAGACTTACCTGGTCCAGCACCCTGTTGTCAAAAGTTGTCAAACCCAAAAATCTTGGCAGTTTATTGCCATGGTGATGTTTAGTCTGAACTCGTTGATATATTCGGCTATTATGCTGTTAATTGTTTTTAGTTTTTCAGGGGGCATTGAAATGGTTTTTTGGGGGGAGGTTGTATTTTGAAATAAGGGTGCTGTGGTGGTTGTAATGGTCTTTGGCTAAAAGCAATAAAAGCGTATTAACCACAACAAACCAGAATGGAGGGGAGGGGGATATTTCCTTCTGCCTGTTAGAATAGCAAAGATACTCAGTGGGAATTTTATTTGAAATTAGATTGATCAGTTGCTATAGTTAGCTTCCACTAATTACTATAGCTATACAGTATTTTTATTGGAAATCCCATTTTTGCACCATTCATAGTAATTAAAGTTTATAAGCTAATGATTTTTGGACCTTTTAAGGTGAATATGGATAGACTGTGCTCATTTCTGGCACTTTGAGCAGAAATAAATTGAAGCCTTGGTATTGAATAAAATTGACCACCATGCTTGGATTCCCAAGTTTGAGTGACGTTGGCAATCCATTGTTCACAGATTCTGTCAGGCGATGCCTCTGCACAAACAACTCTTCACTTATTCAGACAGCATAGCACTGGAGCATGCTAGGGATGTGTAAACCTCTTTACAGAATTTGCTGTGATGACATCTGTCATCCAGTGTTGCCCTGATCACACAAGTTGACCTCTCCCTTAAGCAGTTGCAGAAGATTCATTTTGAAACAGGTTTCAACCCAGTCTAGAGCTGTGGGGCTGGGTTAGAAGCACTCTATATTCACTCCAAACACTTTCTCTTTAAAGGTTATGCTCAGAAAAAAAGGTTATTTTAAGTCTGTGGCATTGGCCACCATACATGGTTCTGATTGGTTGCCATTCTATGATGTCACCAAGACCACCCACCCTCACATTCAGAACGTCTAGATAATGAGGGCATAAATGTGCATGCAGCACTTAAAAAAATGAAACAGGCAGAATATGGGGAGCATGTGGAGAAGAATAAAAGTCAGCTTCATTGTTTGCAAGGCTCATCCAAATTGCAAAGCAAGGGTGAAGCCAAGCTTATCTATGCCTAAGGTCATGTTGTGAATTCTTTTTATATTGGGCTCTGTCTTCAACTAGAGGGGTAAAGTCCACCTTGTGAGTTTTGAAATACTACATGTTTTGGAAATGGGGAAATGGGTTGATGTCCTTTCTAAGTGTCAGCACATTTGAAAGATGTGTTCATGCTAGCAGTCTGGTTTACTGCTATAATTACCCCTGGAAGTGGCTCTGCCCTGCAGATTTATCCTTTTTCAGTAGCAGATGGGTGTTAAAGTATCACAAAAAGCACCTAGCAGAAGTTTCAAGCATGCTGGGGATACATGTTGGAAAACAATTAAAGGGTGTCTGGATAGATAGAAAGTTCTGCATTTGCATTTTTCTGGACACATATACTTGTTGGGGCTTTTTAAAGATAGGAAGCTGAAAGTATTCTCTTTATGCAAGGCAATATGAATGGGACTTCTATTGATATTGGGGAGGGGAGTAAAGACAGATTCAGTGCACATGGCAGAGGCAGTACAGACCACTCAGAAATGTGCTTTTACTGCTGAAGTTAATGTTAGGTTAGTCCACTGATGTTTGAAGAGGTAAGTGTGAATGTGTCTAATTTTCAATTTGGGCTCCCTTAGAGGTCTTTAGAGTACTTGACGGATGCATCTTGGTATCTTATTTTAGAAAAATAAAAATTCAATAATGCTTCTTTTCCTCGTGAGATTGGGAATTAATGTCTGAGAAACCATGATATGCTGAATTGGAATGGAAAGCACTAAAGAGAAATACAGTTGCCATTGGTACTAATTGAAATGATTTGCATTTGCTGACATGTTGTGTAACAGCAGAGATAATTGAGCCATACTAGAAGAAAAATGCCTGTGTTGTGAGAAATAGGGTTGCCCTAAGGAGAGGCTGAGATGTAGGGTACTCTGGCTCTGAGCACAGGACATACTGCATAGTGCCCTAGTTGCAGCTATAGCTATTATCATGCCCCTTGAGATAGCCAGCCAATCTGCTTGCTTCCAAATAGGCATTCACTTCCATTCAGCAGGTGTAAGCTGAGAATCTCTCTCCTATCCTTTACAGGAGCAATACTTCAGGGTACTGCTTCCCACCTTAGCTTGAGGGATCCCCGGAAAGAGCAAGGCAAGTGGTAGAGCAGCAGCTGATCTGTGGCTTGCCTCACTGCAACTCTTAAATGCTCTCTGTAAATAGGATTTTGCCAGTGGTCATCAGATCCACCCATCATGCAGGTGGATCCCAGGTGCCTCAAACAGGAAATAGTTTTCCCCTCTTAAACAGTCTACTGACAGTGCCCATCTTACATACTCTCTTGAGGCCAGTCACTCTTCAAGCATGTAATCCTTCGCCCTTTTAAGTCTTGCATAGGTGCCATACACATTTGGCAGGAATTTTAAAGACCATCTTCACCGTTCTATTTCGCTTCCTAGCATCTCTCATTAAACAATCCCTCATAGCAGGGCCTGGAAAAACCTTTATCTGAGACTTCAGGTGCTGTTGGGGAAGACAAGACATGACTGGGTTGGATAAACCATGGGTCAGACTTTCCATATCAAGCCACAACATCAGCATGTGTTTCCTTGGCTGCATGTTTTGTCTCAAGCTACAAAGGTAGAGGGATGTATGTCTCTCTCTCTGTGTGTGTGATGTTGCAGCACAAGTGTTGACACATGGCTTGTGCTCAAACGCATGTCCAAATCATGGATGTTATGGAACGTACTGGAAGGATGCTTCATTATTGCATGTACATAGTTAACCTCTATGCACAGCTAAAATGAGGGGATGGCCATGCCCACAGGATTAATGTCAAATAAAATTATGTTAAGGTTGTTCTTCTAGGGAAGGAGAAAAGGAGCCCTGTAAAGATTTGGTGGGATAGTTGGAGTTGTATCTAGCTAAATCATTGGATGCATGGAACAACATCCACAAGAAAAACAGAATTTTGCTTCTGCCCTTTGGAGCAGATTTGGGGGTGGGAAGGAGGAGAAGGGGAAGGTCTGTTGCACTAATGGAAGGGATTCTGTGCACAGTGATCTCTTTGGATCCAACCCAGATCCTCTGAGCACAACCTCCATGTGTGTAGTAGAAGAATGGGAGTAACAGCAGAGGCTTGGTTAGAAATCTAGTCCCTTAAAAAGCACTGATAAGTAAGTAGAGATCATTTTTGCAAGCGTTGATATTTGGCAGTGGCTATTCTGACCTTGCTGATAAAGAAATCCTTTATAGGGCGTGTCAGTGTCTCAGACCTGGGCAAACACTTAGGCCTCTGTTTCTGTTGCAGAGACCAATCTTTTCTCTTCCTCTTTTGGTAGAGTTTCAGTGTAAATAAAAATAAACAGAATTTTTAATAATGTCTTGGCGCAGTTCCCGGTGAACAATTTAAGCTTCATTCTGTCTCTAGCTAAGATTATGTATTCAGCAACTGAGCTGTCAGGGAGCTAGTAAAAGGATAAATCCTGAAGGAGTTTTGAAAATTAAATACAAAATAGCCCTGATACACAATCATAGTATCAGTCTTCCAAAAAACAAACAAACTCCTTTCGTTCTCTAAACTTAAACACTGACACGAGTGGTCAGCAGTAACCCAAATTACATAGCCACCAGGTTGTGAAGGATCCACAGTGTGCAAAGTATTAAATAGGTAATTATATTATTCTGTGATTCCGGAGAGGCTTAAATTGCATCCTTTCTTCATTACTGTAGCAATTTCAGTTGTATAATTTGTTTTGCCACCAGATGCATTTTGAATAAATCGTTGCAAATGCCAAGCAACCATTTGGAGCCCCATTGATCCTAACAAACCCATACCAAATCCAAGAGCTTTCCTTTCTGATATATATGATTAGGTTGTATGTTTGGGAAGTGTGTTAGTGCCAGTGAAGGCATCTTCAGAACTAGCTTGCTACATTGCTGTGGAAAGTGCAGCATCTTGCACAACGCCATGTTAAACATATTTTAACTCTGCTCACGAACAAATGCAGTAAAGCAACAAAATAAATCTGCCTGACAGGTGACAAACTAGATTCCTTCTTAAAATGCTGATAATCAATAAAAACGAACCTCTTCTAATCCATTGTTGCTGCTAAAATAAAACGGAGTACTTCATTGTAAGTCAGAGAGGCGACTTAAACACTACCAAGAAAACACATGTGTTTTCCCCTGCTAGAGACGGTTGCCATCTGTCTGTTTTTGCTTTTGTTCTAGCTGTGGGTTGGATCAAGTCTGGAGTCATTTAAGCGTTTAAGAGTTGAAGTTAGTATGATGCAGGCATCATTTTCCGTGGTAAATGCACTCAAATATAGGGCCCACCTTTAAAATAAAATAAATGCATTCCACAGGTGACCCTGGAATGACTGAACATGCCAGGAACAGTTTGGTATCTTCAGCGTGTGTGAACTGTTATGTTATCTTCACTTATAATGGATCTGTTAGCTTTCCTTTTGATTCTCATGGTATGGTGCAATGTGTTTCCATTTCTATATGTGCTAGCACATATATTTAGAAAATGATAGTTTAAACTCAACAAGAGTCTTGCTGGATCAGGCCAAAGGACCATTTATCCAGTCTTCTGTGGCCAATCAGATGCAAGCAGTACTTCACCTGCAACGGCCCACTCTACGCTTGTGGTGTTCTCAGCAAGTGGTGTTCAGAGGCATACTGCCTCCCACAGTGGAGTTGTTGTTGTTGTTGTTTAGTCGTTTAGTCGTGTCCGACTCTTCGTGACCCCATGGACCAGAGCACGCCAGGCACTCCTGTCTTCCACTGCCTCCCACAGCTTGGTCAAACTCATGTTCGTAGCTTCAAGAACACTGTCCAACCATCTCGTCCTCTGTCGTCCCCTTCTCCTTGTGCCCTCAATCTTTCCCCAACTTTAGGGTCTTTTCCAGGGAGTCTTCTCTTCTCATGAGGTAGCCAAAGTATTGGAGCCTCAGCTTCACGATCTGTCCTTCCAGTGAGCACTCAGGGCTGATTTCCTTAAGAATGGATAGGTTTGATCTTCTTGCAGTCCATGAGACTCTCAAGAGTCTCCTCCTGCACCATAATTCAAAAGCATCAATTCTTCGGCTATCAGCCTTCTTTATGGTCCAGCTGTCACTTCCATACATCACTACTGGGAAAACCATGGCTTTAACTATACAGACCTTTGTTGGCAAGGTGATGTCTCTGCTTTTTAAGATGCTGTCTAGGTTTGTCATTGCTTTTCTCCCAAGAAGCAGGTGTCTTTTAATTTCGTGACTGCTGTCACCATCTGCAGTGATCATGGAGCTCAAGAAAGTAAAATCTCTCACTGCCTCCATTTCTTCCTCTTCTATTTGCCAGGAGGTGATGGGACCAATGGCCATGATCTTCGTTTTTTTGATGTTGAGCTTCAGACCATATTTTTGCTCTCCTCTTTCACCCTCATTAAAAGGTTCTTTAATTCCGCCTCACTTTCTGCCATCAAGGTTGTGTCATCTGCATATCTGAGGTTTCTTCCGGCAATCTTAATTCTGGCTTGGGATTCATCCAGTCCAGCCTTTTGCATGATGAATTCTGCATATAAGTTAAATAAGCAGGGAGATAATATACAGTCTTATCGTACTCCTTTCTCAATTTTGAACCAATCGGTCGTTCCATACCCAGTTCTAACTGTAGCTTCTTGTCCCACATAGAGATTTCTCAGGAGACAGATGAGGTGATCAGGCACTCCCATTTCTTTAAGAACTTGCCATAGTTTGCTGTGGTCAACACAGTCAAAGGCTTTTGCATAGTCAATGAAGCAGAAGTAGATGTTTTTCTGGAACTCTCTAGCTTTATAGGCTTATCCAGCATGAATCTGCCTTAAGCCCTTTAAAGGCCAGTCAGTTTTATAGAAGGCACCAGCACCACTGGAAATTGCTATTGTACCCAGGTAGTTTCCTTTCAGTGCTAGGAAAGGAAAACACTTAAGTTTACAAAATAATAATAATAAAAATATTTATGGCCCAGCTACTCTGGGCAACTTACAGCACATATAAAAACATAGTAAAACATCAAACATTAAAAACTTCCTGATACAGGGCTTCCTTCAGATGTCTTCTAAAAGTTCTGTAGTTCTTTATTTCCTTGACATCCTAAGGGAGGGCGTTCCACAGAGGGTGCCACTACTGAGAAGGCCCTCTGCCTGGTTCCCTGTAACTTTGCTTCTCGCAGTGAGGGCAACAAGACACATGTGGACAGAAATGCTCATGCTGTTATGCCATTGTGGTATTTACTTATGAGTCGAACTACTCCAGTTTCTCTCTTCTGTAGCCTAGCTAATGTTCTTGCCTTTCTCCCGACTCCCATTTATGGCTTGCACGGTAGTATCGTTTGGGTAGTGCATGAGTACATAGGGGCTAAGTACTCTGATGTTTTGTTAGAGGTTTGTTTTAAAAGATTGAGCTACAAGGCAAGCAAACACCATGTACACACCTGACTTATATGTTACCTGGGTGCATAACCTTACATGGTCTCGTTTGCTAAGTAGTTTGGTGTAAGTGATGGTGACATTACAAGCACATAATGCATTCGTTGCATTTTTCTAAGTGATCACCAGTTGAATTCACAGATGAAGAAACATGGACTGACTCCCCTCCATGGAAAGAGTTAAGTGTTCTGCCATCAGTAATGGTGAAATTTTATGATTATGGTTCTTTTGGTTGTCGATCTCACCACAAAATTGGGCATTCTCTAGAAAGTTGACCCTGAGGGACTTATACCTTATTTATTTGTGTACTTACTGGAGAGTTGCACAGCTATATCTCTGTCATTATGCCATTCTTAAATAACATACTGTATACTGTGTGGATATGTGCATTTTGACAAAACCGTTTATCATATCAAATGTATGTGAAGGCCCATCACACATGAAATAGCTGTATTCTAGACATTTTTCTAGTCCTTCACACCAATTTCCTCCTGTTCTCCTCCCCTTGTGTTAGCAGAGATCCATTTAATAAGCAGTATTAGAGAAGGTTATAGCCTTTTGAATTGTAGTATCTTGCCTCTTGCATTATAGAAACCTAGGTGGTGTTCCTTATAAAATATAATGCTAGATATAATAAAGGATGAATGCTTTTGGAGGTAACAGCTATGTGAGTAGTAGAAATTTATTACTTACAGTGATGACATAAATATTCATTCTTTCCTTAGCCTGTTGTTCACTGCTGTATTTATTCACACAGATTTTAGTGTGATGTTAAAATGCTGCTAACCCTTTTCTTTGTTCTTTGGATATTTAATACATTTATTTATTGGTTGAAGCATAATTGGATCTGTTCTTTTTTAAGCAATGTACAAGAGCTTGCCCTAAAGTGAAGAGAATGCAGACTACACAACATAAAGTCTATTTAAAGGCTGAAAGGCAGAACTTTAAATTGCAGCTGAGAAATTTTGAAGGAAGCTGTTTACATCTCACCACTATGCTAATCTATTGGGAAATATGATAGACAGCCTTGCTTTTTCTACCCAAGTTAACAGGCTCCCACTTGATATTGGCTGTGGAATTGTTGCAAACACTTTTAACTGCTTGTAACTCTTAATGCATCTTGTGTTTTTTGAGAGTAGACAACAAATGGCAAGTGAATAGCACATATTAGAAAATGGTGCTTGCAAAATGTGTTCTGAATTAACAGTGAGCCATAGGAACTTGCTGACACTTATCTGATCCTTAAAAAATTACTTACTTAGAAGTATTCCTCTCTGGTGGCTTGGATATCTGGGCAGTCCATGTATATATTTGAATTTCACCTTTTTAAAGGCTTAGTATAGGCTAAAGTAAATTTAAACTGCTTGAATATGAAAACTCATTATACCATCCAAATAAAATGTACCCTAGTCATCTGGGCAGCCCAGGACCTCCATATTCACATCCCAGGCTTGTGCCCCATGGAGGTCACGTCGGTGCTGCCAATGCAGCGGTTTGACTTCACTCCCAGAGGTGCACTCCATTGTCTCTTGAGACTGACAGAGACTCTAGGTGGCTCACAGATAAAATAAGAACAGCTAAAAACATAGGAAAAAATAAGCATTCAACAGTTATAGTAGGCCAGCAGCCTGATTTTCCCCTGGCTATTTTTATTACAATAAATGTGCAGTTGATAACTCCATTTTGTGTAGCATTCCAGGTCTTTCTCCGCTGAAATATTTTGTTGCTGGGAAATTTAGGGTTTCCCTCAGGTAGTGTGTATGTTGCAGTTATGAGTATTGTGTGGAACATGTAAAAGCCCCCTATTGCATGGACCCTGTGATAAGCGACACAGCTTTATGTCCCTAATTACCTAAAACACTTTGGGAACTTTTTAATTTTATCGCTTTTTCCCTGAAGGTTTAACAACTTTTGCTATACAGTAAGTGCACAGCTTATGCAGGGGTTGTGTTCCAGGGATCTCACCTAAAGCTCCCAAGGCAGGCCCAACATGGATGTTAAAATCCACAGGGCAGCTGTGTGTGGGTTTTCCCAACACTGCAGCTCAAACAAGGAGACTGATGGGCAATGGGATGATTTTTATAACAACAGAGTTTATGTGTATTACCTATATATAATGACAAATGTTTATATGTGTAGATTAAAATGGTGGGTGGGGGGTGATGCGTGTGAGTCTTCCAGTGTTTTTGTAAAAGACAACATGAGGGGATTCTGGCCTCTCCATACAAACAGAAGTCTATGCATGAGTAATAATAATAATAATATAATATTCCACGCTGTGTAATAATGGTGAGTTTCCTCCACATAGATAAATGTGATGCTATATTGATACCTGAAATCTTTTACCATGTACAAGCCCCCCTCCCCCCAAAAAACAAAAACCCCATATGAAAGTGACTTTTCTGTACATTCCTTGTGATGGAGATTCACCTGATGATAAGCTATAGTGGGAGTTATTTTGAATGCATATGACATTAGAATTTATGTGGGTGTTTTTGTTGTGAGGTGATGGCCCAAAGATAACCCCGTTTTAGGAAAACAGCCGTGTGAATGACCTTGTTTAATATGAGCGTGTCCCGCACGAGGCAAAGCCTTGTCCTTTAGATCAGAATAAAACGTGTTCAGGGAACATCTCAAGGTCTCTTTAAAGTTTGTGCTGATGCCTTTAAATTTCACAATGACAGCTTTGTAGGAAGAAGTGGAGGCTTCTCTGTCAAGCCCCTGGGTTCTCTTCCGATTGCTGTTAAAAAGATCCTTGGGATTTGTGTCTCTGGTTTACTGTTCTCTTTGTACAATTTCTCTCACATCTGTCCAGGAAGAAAAATGTAACTAGTGGCATTTTCTTTCCAAGTCCGTCCCTTGAGCATAAGAGGAGTGCCTTTCCCTCATTAGTGGCTTTATTAAAGTACACATGGCTTTCCTTATGTAGCTTATACCTGAAAGCTATATTTTGTTTTTGCATGGGTTTTAAGTCCACAGCTTCCCCACTGGCTTCATTGATCCGGTTCCTTCCCCCTTTGCAGCTGGGCAGCTGGGCTGTTGACTGTAGAGCTGTGTGACTGCTGGCAGCTTCCCTTTTAATAACTACTTGCTGATGCTGGCTATTGATCAAGCAGCAAGCTGAGCTTCAGCTCAGGGGAGTAAGGTCAGCTTATTCTTCCTCACTTTTCCTTTCCTGTCAAGTCAGTGCAGAACTCCCTTTTGAGCTGTGAAACTTCAGAACTCATGGCTGGTACTGTGCCTGTGGCAAACAGGCACTATCTACCTGGCGTATGCCAGTCGTGAGGAATGTAACCCAGCTGTGCAAAGGAAGGGAGGGAATTTCCCCCTTGTGTACTAAATATCTGCCCCGTAAACTATTTCCGCATGTATCCGGGGGTGTTTTCGGTGTGGGGAGAAGAAAAGATGGAGACGTGGTTATGTTCCCTTGGTAAGGAATGGTGTTTGCTAAGATGCCAGGGTTCTTTTGGTTATCAGCACCTCCACAGCTAGAGGATAGCCAGGGCAAAGGAGCATTTATTCGTTTATTGCATTTATTCCACACCTTTCACCAAATGGGCTTCACTGCAGCATACAATATAAAACAATATAAAACTAGATGGGGGAAGAGGGTGGACTTCGTTGGATGTCTAAAAAATAGCGAAGAAAGCACCAGAATAACATTTCTGGGATAGGTGTTGCATAGTTTGGGCACCATCAGACTAAAGGCTGTGTTACTGTAGTTTAGCAGATAGGTTACTAGTGCATGGATAATTAGCCAGACTGTGGACACAGTCCATGCATCACTTTAAAGTGAGCTGGTGCATATTGCTTGAAAGTCCTTTCAAGCAGCTCCTCTGCTCCTTGTTATTACATGTGAACCAGACCATTATCAAGCGCTCTGGAAAATAGTTTTAATGGGCAAGCCTGTGAAAGAAAGTCAATGTGTCTTGACAATTTCATTGAGAGCTGGTACCTACTTGCATAGTATGCCAACCAGCATTCATCCTGTGGACATATTGCTAGAATGTATGAGTAGTTCTAGTTGAATATTTTACCATATAATTTCATGGCTATTCTGCTATAATTCTAACAATTTTTCTACCTCTATGACCTTTATTGCTTCTATCGCCGTACTTGTACTCTCAGTGCTTTCTATGTTTATAAGGTTCAAAATTTATTTTTCTCTTCATTTTTATTACTCTTGTGAAAATCCATAAAAATGTAATGAAGAAATGAATCCTGAAACAGGGATGGCTTAAAGCCCTCAGTATGCACTGCCAGGAGTCTGCTTATTCAAAAAGGTGCACAACTTGTTTTTGCTTGGGAGAAATCTAAGGGTTGTATCCAATGCTACTCAGAGTAGACCCACTGAAATTAAAATATGTGACTAACATAGGTCCCTTTATTTCAGTGGACAGGATTTGCCTGACGTCATGACAGCAGAAGCTCAAGGACTTATTGCGCAATGGGGCTTCCCCTCCTCCTCCCATGTACCCTTGCCCTTGAAATTGGATAAGCCCCCAAGGGACAGGGTTCAGGGGGAGGAGAGTGGGGATTGTTTCATCTGTGAGATGCTTGCACTGGTAGGAGGTTTGTAATAGAATTGAATTCCACCCATTGGGTCTAGCATTAGGTTAGGAGATAGCCCTAATAGGGTTTCTCTCTCCTCTCTCTCTCTCTCTCTCTCTCTCTCTCTCTGTGTGCTTTTCACACTTAACCCCTAATCTCAACCTCTCGTCCATTTAGAGTCAAGAAACACACTCACAGTTCAAGACTTGTTGCTTTTACTTTGCTCCATATAGACATGAGTTTTCCACTGACCTTTTTGTAAGTGCGAGATACTAGTTTTTAAAAATACTGTAATGTGAAATGGAATCTGTAATGTGAAATGGAAGGGCTAAGTAATAGCATTTCTGTCCTTGAATTGCAATAAACCTTTACTCATTTCCTGGATTCTAGTTACAGGTAGGTAGCCGTGTTGGTCTGCCGTAGTTGAAACAAAATTAAAAAATTCCTTCCAGTAGCACCTTAGAGACCAACTAAGTTTGTTAGGATTTTTATTTTTATTTTGTTTCATTTCCTGGAGTCTCTGCTTAATGAACCAGTCCAAATGTGATATGTACAATCTGTTGCAAAGTGGGATTCCCAACTAAAATCTGATTTTGTAGTCCTCTAAACTTAGTGTTGGCGGAACAATTCTTCCTGTCTTCATCCAGGAAAAAATGGCTCACTAAAACCAGAATTTTCACTGTTAGCAAATGTTTATTATAACACAAGGCTTTCTGAAACAGTTTCCTAAGTTTATTTTATTTATTCCCCATGCAAGTCAGCAGCAATGTAAAATGTCTGCCTGGCCCCACTGAAGTGCTGTAAATCCACGAACTCAGTAAACTGGCACTTGTGTGAGTCTACCACATCAAGGCACTAAGAAGCAATCAAAAGCAATTTCAGAGGTATTTGACCCAACTTACTGGAAAAGTGGTCCATTCAGCTGTCATGTGTTGGCTAACACCATGTAGTTTGTGTCCCGAACTTGTATGGCAGTGATTAGGGCAGTTTCCATGCTTCTTCGCCTATATTTTTATTGCAATGGATGTATTTTTCAGATAAGAGGGGGGAAACATGGATGTATTGATCCTGACAATGTTGAGCTCCTATCTCCTTCATTTTAGCCCTCTGCTATTAGTGTTGGAACTAATGCTCGATAGCCAGATTTGTTTGGGAAGGAGAGGAGCTGCTAAAGGAGAAGGAAGGTCTTATTTCTTCCCAGTAGTGCTGTTCTTCTAGGCTCCTCAGGTGGGGGAAGAGAACCTTGCACATTGTGTTATCCAAGGCGATCCAAAGTTGATTGTACTATTAATATGTATATTTTGGTCCAAGCCAGGGGTAGACAGGCTCTGGCCCTCCAGATCTGCCTCAATGAACCTGGCAAATGGCCAGAGATTTGGGGAGTTGGAGTCCAACAAGATCTGGAAGAGAACAGCCTTCCTGTCCCAGGAATTACTCTGAGGGGAAAACTGTCATTTGGAACAATCAGGCAACCCCTAAGGGAGCAGAATGTTCTGGCCGCTTATGGTCTCTGCGTTTGTATTGTATTTTGGGGTTCACCTTCTCTATTGAAACGGGATTTTAGAAACATTGTAGCTATTTATTTAGGCAAGTTTTAAAAAAAGAATTTACACTAAATTCTTCCATGGAATCCATATTCACAGTACATAATCACATGGACAAAAGTTAGGGGGAACCACATGTACCTTCATGCATTACAGTACTGAGATCATGGCTAGCATAAAAAGTGCAACTATAATCATAGATATGTTTTCTTTTTCTCCATGTGTACATGCAGGTGCACACCAACCTTTTCCCATGTGGCTGTGGACACTTGACTATATGATTTCACAGAGGAACGCAGCAACTGGCCTTTTGTCTCCACATGTGCAATAAGCCTGGCCCTTGAGGACATAACACTTTAACCACAATTAAGTGTTGTGTCTGAAAACTTAAAGCTATTCTTTGCTTTTTCACTACCTTTATATCCTGCCTTTCGTCTGAGTAGCTCAAGGTGGCTCTCTCTCCCCCCTCATTTTTATTTTCACAACAATCCTGTGAGGTAGCTGAGTCTGAGAGACAAAGACTGATCCAATTGTACCCAGTTGAGATTCATAGTCCAGTTTGGATTTGAACCTTGGTCTCCCAAGCCCCGATCCAACACTTCAGGCACCACACCGCCACACTCACTTTTCAGTGCTTAAGAATTGGTCACAGAGCAGGTTGTAAGCAATGTTTAGCACTAACCATGGTTAAGCATTTACAGTGGTACCTCTGGATGCGAGCGGGATCCGTTCCGGAGCCCCGTTCGCATCCTGAAGCGAACGCAACCTGAGTGCACGGGTCGCGATTTGCCGCTTCCGTGCATGCGCATGATGTCATTTTGACCGCATGCGCAAGTGGCGAAACCCAGAAGTAACATGCTCTGTTACTTCCGGGTCGCCACAGCGCAGAACCCAAAAATACTCATCCCGAAGCTACTTTAACCCGAGGTATGACTGTAATTTGCACTGAGCAAAGTGTGATTCAGGCAATTTCTTCACCTCACAAGCTGGTTCTGATACTGCCTTCACACTGGCATCTTTTGGGTGGAAAGTATTGAAGAAAAGTGCAGCTAGCAGCAGTGGCAAGCATGATTTCTGTTGCTTCCAAAACCTTACAATTTTGCGGCAACAGCAACAAAAAGGTGAGTGTGTGGTTTCACATACTCTTCTGTTTTCCTGCACTGAGCTGAAGAGTCTCTAAAGACCTTCTGGCGTGGCTCTGATTTTAACTGGGTTAAGTCAGCCAGCCATGGTTATGCAAAATATGGTTAAGCATTATGTCTGCAGGAAGCCACTGTAGCAGAAAACACCTGAACAACATCTTTGTTTCCCCTCTGTCTGCTTCCTTGGGAGGGTATGCAAACTATTGTTGACACTTGCTTGAATGTGGTACATTAGCTTCTGTAAGTAATTCAAATTCCTAACCTTGAATGTAGAAAGCATCTTGCTTCTAATTTAGCATGTGACCTCTGGAATGAAACCATTTCAGGCCTGTGTTGCTGTCCCCTAAATTGGGAGAGACAAGGAAGGAGTAGAATATTATTGTGCTTAATCTAACCTTGCCAAAGGAAAGGAAAAACTTGGTTTGAAAGGCACATTTTTCAGGGGCTTGTCATATCTGTAATAGGCCCATTGCCTTAAATATGTAAATTGCACGCACAGCGCATGCCTGCAGTCCATCTTTGGTTCTGTCAGCAAACCCTATAAGATCCCATTTGTCTAGAAAAATGCTTTTCTGAAAGGTATGATTATTCTAGACTGCTGAACAAGTTTTCCTATGTGACTGGCATTTAAACAACCATGGTGTTTTGTAGAGTGACACTTAGAGAAGTACTCTGCAGGAGTGATATAAGTGTGTTGGAGGGAGGCAGAAAATGGAAAAGAGAAAAGTGGTTGGGGGATGGGGTGTAGAAAGAAACATACTGTACTATCATTACGTCCCCCCTCCCCTTCTGATCAGCACAAAAGCCTGAATCTTCTACAGTCAGAAGATTCCGAGCAGTGACTGCAAAGAGATGAGTTTTTATGGAGAAAGGGGTGAAGGCAGTTCTTTTGGGAAATGCTGATTAGTAGCTTGAACACTTGCATGAATATTCTGTAACTGAGTTTAATTAAAAACGCTTCTGAAAAGTGAAGATAATCTGTCCTGTTAGTTGTTGGGAAAGGAGCAATTTCTTTTTATGTTGGTCTCAAATGCAGGCTCAAGCATGTTGTATGGAGCTTTCAAGCAGGAAATGTCTTATTTATATTATTTGTTGTCTTAATCCAGCAGAGAAGTAAGAAGGCCTCTGAGATTCAATGATTAAATTGCCTGTTTGCTCATGTTAATAACAGAGATTGGAAATATCTGTGTCTTGATTCAGTTCTATAGCTTTGCCTCTTGCTAGACTGTAAAGAAGGTATCCTCTGCACAATTAATGTTTGATGATTCAGGCCTCTTCCAGAGTCAGTCTAACATGTTTGAGCAACATGGACCTCTCATAGTACAATGAAAACACACCACGGGATCAATCACTGCTGTAAGGAAAAGCCTCCACATTTATTTGGTTCACATAATAGTTATACCTGCTTTGACTCCTTTATTTGAAACCTGCTCTATGTTTCTCACATCTTTAAACATGCATGCTTACAAAATTCATTCTATTGTACAAAGACACCTGCATTTCCCAGCAACGGTTTCTTTGCTGGTAGTGATTGTGCAGGGATTAGGAATGCTAAACCATTGAGGTATCTGTCGGCATTATAAAAGGGCAAAAAGCCTACTAGACCCACAGAGGTGAGTCTAGCATCCTCATTGTATAGCTTCTGTCATATGGTACAGATGCAACTCTTTGCCCCTGGTCTTTGACACCTAAGATACATGTTTTAAGGTCCTAACCTTTTCTTCTGATTTTAAATGGTTTTAACTGATTTTAATATGGTGTGTTTATATCATTGTAACCTGCCCTAGAACATTATGGTGAAGGTTGGGTAAGAAATTCAGTTAATACTATATGAAGGTTATCGTTATCATCACCATCTTCTTTCATGAATTTATTGAATAATGCTCCTTTTAAACTCACATCTAAGTCAGACTGGTTTTGTCTCAGGGGCATGTCATAAAGTCCTAATAGCATGGTTTCCTTTTCAAAACAGCTGTCGATTGAGGCACTTTGAAGCAGAGAAGGAGTGGAAGGAAAGGAAGGGTGTGCTCACCCCTTTCCCTGCCATCCTATTTTCCTATTAATCTCCCCATCTCCTAAACTCTGTATAATAATAATAAAAAATCATAATGAATGCATTTTATTTATAATAATAAAAAATCTTTATTGCAGTCCAAAGACCCATAGAACAATTTCAGAACAAAATACAGTTAAGACAGCCAACCACAAAAGAGAGAGAAACCGAGGCGGTCATTTTGTTATGTCTCAAGCATGACAGGTCTAATGATATTACACTGGCCATGGCATTTTATTTATATGCCATTCTTCTGCTGTCGTACCCCAGAGTGTAGTCAGAGCCAGCCCAAGGCCCTTTGGCACCTGAGGCAAACCACAAAATGCTTCCCACCCCAACCAGGGAAGAAGGTGTGAGTGAAGATCTACATCAGGAGCAAGGGCAGGAGGAGACCAGCAGCCCCTTCCATTCACCAAGAAGCCCCTGTAGAAGTGGCATGGGGTTTGATTTGTAATTTACAATTGCAATGTACTGGTTTTTATCCCTGAGCTACAGGCAGGGCGAACCCACCCTTGAAGCAAGATAAGGCAACTGCACCAGGCAGCAGGACCCACGGGGGCAGCAGATCCAGCTTCCAAGGAATGCATTGCCCACTGCTGCTGATACAGTGGCAGTGACAACTGTGGCGCACTCCTTGGGGGTCGGATCTGCTGTCTCCTTGGCCTTTTGGCCAAGGCAGAAGGTGAAGGTTGACAGGGGAGATGCCCCTTTACTGTGCCAGTTCCCAGGCTGGTGCAGTGAAGAGGCCTGGATAAGTTGTTGCCATCATGGGCCAGCTCCTGAACTAGCATTTCAGGATATTTTGTTGGCTGCTGCTAGCAGAGATGCTATCAACAGTACCTTCCCCTACATTTTGGGTTGGGTGAATTGGGGTGCTCCTTGCTGGTGGGGCTCCCTCACTGATGAAGGCTGGGATGGACAGAGGAACACACCCCACTTGTATAGGGGCTTGGATGGTTCTGTTAAACAGTGGTTTAAAACACTGTTTGAAGAGATCTGTCTAAATCAAGTTTCCACTTTGTCATTCATAGATCCCCTGAAAAGGAGTGCCTGCTACTTGGCTACTATACCAATGGAAACTTGATTTTTTTTTTTTTAAAGATATTTATTAAAGTTTCAAGAAATACAAAAAAAAAAAAAATACAGAGTACAAAAAAAGAAGAATAACGTTTTTAAAATATAACAAAAAAATAAAGAATAAAAAGAAAACATACAAAATAAAACAGTTAAAAAGACATTGATTTTTCAAACCTATCTTCCCTACACTTATTTCCCCAGACCTCCTCATACCTCCCTTTTTTGTATTCCAGTTCAGTTTGTTAGTTCAGCAAATCCTTACCATTAAACTTTTACCCAATTGTTAACCTTTTTCATATCTCTTAAAGCATTACAGCTAAAAACCTCTTAGTTTCTATCCAACATCCTTCTAAGATTCCTTAATTTTGCAATATTTCTGTAAATAGTCTTTAAATTTCTTCCAGTCTTCTTTCACCGACTCTTCTCCCTGGTCTTGGATTCTGCCAGTCATTTCCGCCAATTACATGTAGTCAATCACCTTCATCTGCCATTCTTCCAAAGTGGGTAGATCTTGTGTCTTCCAATACTTTGCGATGAGTATTCTTGCTGCTGTTGTAGCATACATAAAAAAGGTTCTGTCCTTCTTTGGCACCAATTGGCCGACAATGCCCAGAAGAAAGGCCTCTGGTTTCTTCAGAAAGGTATATTTAAATACCTTTTTCAGTTCATTATATATCATTTCCCAGAAAGGCTTGATCTTTGGGCACGTCCACCAAAGGTGAAATAATGTACCTTCAGTTTCTTTACATTTCCAACATTTATTATCGGGCAAATGATAAATTTTTGCAAGCTTGACTGGGGTCATGTACCACCTGTATATCATTTTCATGATATTCTCTCTTAAGGCATTACATGCCGTAGAACTTCATACCTGTGGTCCATAACTGTTCCCAGTCAGCAAACATAATATTATGTCCAACATCTTGTGCCCATTTAATCATAGCAGATTTCACCGTTTCATCCTGAGTATTCCATTTCAACAGCAAGTTATACATTCTTGACAGGTTTTTAGTTTTGGGTTCTAACAATTCTGTTTCTAATTTTGACTTTTCCACCTGGAAGCCTATTTTCTTATCCAAATTATATGCCTCCATTATCTGATAGTAATGAAGCCAATCTCTCACTTTATTTTTTAGTTTTTCAAAACTCTGCAATCTCAATTTATCTCCTTCTTGTTCCAAAATTTCCCAATATGTCGGCCTGGAAACTTGATAGTTTACAACTTTTTAAAGGGTTAAAACTACCTGGGAGCATGCTCTAAAACCTCTGGTCTTGCAGATCATGCTTACTTAAGAAACAAGGGGTTAGGACTGGAATTGTGAAATAATGGATTTCTGTCTGGCTCTTCGGTACACACTGAAAGGCAATAAGCAAGGTCATTTGCATAAAGGTAACTTTAATTTAGGATAGAGTTCAGTATGCTGGGTTGTAGGTTTGTTTCCAGAAGCAACTTACTGCTCACTATTTGATAAAACTGTATTTCTCCACGAGATGGAAAGTAAATTTCTGTGAAGCTAGTTATAAATATTCATAATTTGCTGTAATACATTGTCTGCAATCCATTTTAATACAGAATTAAGCATCCTTAAATCCATTGAAAACAATTGGCTTAAGCATACTTTATGTTCTATTTATAATGCTTGACCTGACAACTCTTCTCCATAGAGAAGGGTAGGCTTAAACTCAGGGTGTTTGATGGAGGGCCATGAACGGAGTTTCATGAGCAGTACAGAATTTAATACATTAGTATTAAATTCAGATTTTATGTTTAACTGGATTTTTTTTTAAAGTAACCATTGATCTAATGTGGGAGGGGAGACTGACCTTTAAAAATATGGTTGTATATGATGGTGGCTTTGCATCAATGGAAGCACTATTGATAGTGATCATCCCTCCTACTGATCACAGCCCTTTGTGCCATAACCTGTACTGTTTGAGGGGTCCCCAGTGGTTAGAAGAAGCCAGCGGTGGAAAGTATGCCTGTGCTGCCCAGGGTGGGTTGACGGGGCACAGAAGGCACCCTCCATGTACCACAGTTCAGGGTTAGGAGATGGGCAGGGAAGCTGTTGCCCACTCTCTTGCTCTCTACCACCAGGTCAGGCACCAGGCAGAAGCACTACAGTCAAGGCACAGCTCCTTCTGGCATGGAGCCAGGCTCCGATGAACGAGTCTGCTGTGGGGGCGCCTGTTTGCGCCCCCTCTCAACATTGCCCCCGGGGCCATGGCACCCCCGGCAACCCCTGCTATGCCTCGGGGAGAAGCAGGCATCCCGTCTTGTGCAAGGAGAAGCAATTCTGCTAGCACTACAGTTTGTTAATTTTTACCCGCCCTGGATGTGATGCTGGTGGCATAATCTGCAGTGCTTCTCTGGAAAGAGAGGTGTCTGTTTGGGGTGGGCTGTCAGTCCCCGATGCAGTTTTTCTACTCAGAAGAACAGGTGGTGCCTAGGGCTAGGAGCTTCTTTTAACAGCAGATCAGCTGTCCTTCTGCTCCAAAATTTTGGCATCTTTTATCATGCATTTGTAGTCTTGAGGATCATTTTAAGATTATGCTATTCTACCAGGGACTGCTTTGAATATGACTTGCAGCTTTAATTTAGTGCAAAATGCTGCATGTACACTTCCTTGTAAAAGTGTGAATGTGAGGATGTATTCAGCCAGTATTGTGGTCACTCTAGTGTTTCTGTTGGTTTTCTCAGCCCCTTCACAACCTGTTAACAACATATACCACCCACCTGGGTCGCTTTGTCAAGAACCTCCAATGTAAAAGAAGCAATAATTGCTGTGGGGTGGATTATGACGTTTGTGCAGCAGCCCCAAGACTTTAGAACATGTTTCTCCCAAGTTATGCTTTAAAATGATGACATTTTTAGAAACCATTTCTTTAGGTGCTGGTGGTTTTGAGGGCTAACTTGGTGCCGCTTATGGCGTAGTATAAGTACTTTTGTGTGTGACAGAAGTTACTTGAACTTTAAAAGAAGAGGGGGTGCTTTTTTAAAAAAAGACATGCAACGTTAACATGATAACTGAAGGGCTGTGTGTGTGCATTGCATAGCATTGTTAAAGTCAATAAAGGCACATAGCTTATGTTCAGAAGCTTTTGCTGTGAATTCATAGAAATGATGTAGTGCCTGACTCAGAGGAGGGAAGAAAGGAGGGGAAGCCCAAATGAGATGATAGCTGACAAAGATGCTCTAAATGTCTTAATTGTTCAGTTTTAGTTGACACCAGTAAGATGATGTCACAGGAATAAACAACAACCTCTTCTTTGGAGAAGTCTGCACAGTTTGATACTGCTGTTCGGGGGGGGGGGGCGTGGGAGGGTGAGCTCCCCAAAAGAGTTGTACAAGAAGCATTGTTTGTGGTGAAGGGTTCTCAAGGAATTACCTCAGCTGTAAACTGACTTCATCTACATCTCCTGGCCTGGTGTATGGATCAAGCAAAGTTGCCCTCATATTTTATCACTTTGTAGAATTGTTAGTAATTTTTGCACATTTTTCAAAAAACTAAAAATTTTGGTAACATGATGGAATGGACTTGTGTCATGGAATGCAATGACACAAACTGGAAATAGACTCTTCCATTTGTCTCTAGGTGAAGGTGTTAAATTGATTTAAGAACTGGTTTATGTGGTGCTCTTATTTAAATGTCATTCTGATAGCTATTTTAAATTCTGGAAATGTGTTGATCTGTTGTAACCGCTGGGCATGCACCCTAAAAAAGTATGTGAGACCTTCCATGAAATGATAGTGAATAGTAAACTATTTTAATAGCGATTTTGTTATTACTAGGGCAACATCTTTGGCCTGTTGGTAAAAAGATCAGGGAAGATTCCCAAAATAACTTCTTCCAAGCATGAGAAGCAATTCTCATTTGCTGAGCTGCATTGTCATAGAATTTTCTCCTCAAGTTTTTTACTAGTCTCGTTGGGGCCATGTCCTCTTCAGCCATCACCATGACTTTAGTGGTCTTGATTGCATGAATTGTTTGGGAGAGGGTGTGGCAGATCTTACAACTTGGGTGGGAGATTAGACCATGTGACCATTTGGATCCTTTCTACTCTGAATTTAAATACATAATAGCTTTCCCTACAGAAAGCTAAGATAACCTGCAAATGAGATTCAGTTATCTTCTGCTTAGACTATTAATCACACAGTATCTCACACTCTCACTCTCCATAGGAAAGGTTTAGAGAGGGCTTTCTCACAGATTTGTATTAAAAACACCAAGGTAGCTTAGACCCATTTTTGATATTTTTAATGAGTCCGCAGAGTGCTAATGAAATTCAGATTCTTCTCCCCCATTTCTTCTCTCCCTGTCTTTTCTCTTGTAAGATAATTATTTCGAAAAAACCCACGAAAGTTTCATCTTGACCTAAAAGCTCAGCTGATGGCAGCGTTGTATCTAAATTTTGGAGGACTGTGAGGTCACGTCCCTTTGTCATCTTTGAAAGTCTATTTCCATGGTATTCATAGAATTCTTTAAGTACAGATTTGGCATAGTAATGTAATGCCTTCATAATGTACAGTACTTTATTGGCATTCATATTCCTTTGTATGGGCAACAAAGATCTTAACCCCCTGGGGAGCTGGTACCTTCTGCTGTACAAGAATCCTGCCTAAGGCAAATAAAGTTTCCAAACACTCCTTAACTGAGCAGAGAAGATGGTTGGCATTTAGATGGCATTAACCCATCTAAGCAAATTGGGTTTTGCCCACTAAAGGCTAATACGTAAAGGCTAATATATCAAATGTCAGTCAAGTACTCTTTCCTTAAATGTGGCAGGGCCACAAAGCTGATCCTGTGCTCTGCTTCATAAAATGAAACATTAGGCTTACAGTACTGGTAAAAGGAATTTTCTAAATATTGCTCTGACTTGGGGAGTTGCCACAACAGCTGTATCTAACAGATTGAGGTTGAATCCTGACAAGACAGAAGTACTGTTTTGGGTGGACAGGAGGTGGGCAGTTGTGGAGGACTCCCTGGTCCTAAATGGGATAACTTTGCCCCTGAAGGACCAGGTGCGCAGCCTGGGAGTCATTTTGGACTCGCAGCTGTCCATGGAGGTGCAGGTCAATTCTGTGTCCAGGGCAGCTGTTTACCAGCTCCATCTGGTACGCAGGATGAGACCCTATCTGCCCGCTCTAGTTATCTCTCTCTTGGACTACTGCAATTCGCTCTACGTGGGCTACCTTTGAAGGTGACCCAGAAAGTACAACTAATCCAGAATGCGGCAGCTAAACTGGTGACTGGGAGCGGCCGCCGAGACCACATAACACCGGTCTTGAAAGACCTACATTGGCTCCCAGTACGTTTCCGGGCACAATTCAAAGTGTTGGTGCTGACCTTTAAAGCCCTAAAAGGCCTCGGTCCAGTATACCTGAAGGAGGGTCTCCACCTCCATCGTTCAGCCCGGACACTGAGGTCCAGCGCAGAGGGCCTTCTGGCGGTTCCCTCGCTGCGATAAGCCAAGTTACAGGGAACCAGGCAGAGGGCTCTCTCGGTAGTGGCACCTGCCCTGTGGAACACCCTCCCACCAGATGTCAAAGAGAAAAACAACTACCAGACTTTTAGAAGACATCTGAAGACAGCCCTGTTTAGGGAAACTTTTAACGTTTGATGGACTATTGTATTTTAATATTTTGTTGGAAGCTGCCCAGAGTGGCTGGGGAAACCCAGCCAGATGGGCGGGGTATAAATAAATTATTATTATTATTATTATTATTTATTATATCTGGGTAGCTGTAGCTAGAACTCTGCTGCACTAGCATGGGAAGAGTGGGGAAAGAGTGCTGGGCAGAAGCCTTGGAGCCAACCAGCCACTATCTCTAGAGCTAGATCCATGTCTATCAAATACTGGAATAATTGAGTGATGGCAAACGTAATGGTGGGCTTTGAAGCAGGTTTTAGCAAGGTGTGGACTGCACAGCTCTGCCCCTCCCTACTTTCACAGAATGCCCCTAAAGCTGCAGACTTGCAGTGGAGGTTGGGACTGGGCTTCCCAACTTCATAACATGCTAGCCTTTAGTGGGTCAGAACCCACTACCAGGCCACAGCCTGATCTAAATTGGGTTGCAACAGCAGCATCCAGCACTGTACAGATATATGTAAAATAAAAATAGGAATGGGTCCTCAGTTGCATGTTTGGGTTAAAGGTGGGTCCTGAGTTAGCAAACATTGAAGACTATGGATCTATTGAGCTCCTGGTTGTTCTTCCCTTCAGATCAGGGCCTTTTTGTACTACGTAAACACTTACTGATTAGTCAGAGGAAGTTAAAATAATAGCCATGTTCTTGACCAGCAAGAATTCCTTCTCCTTGACTTCACCTTCACATAATGCTTTCCCCGTTTTCCACCTTTCAATTTTATAACTTTCATTTCGTTACAACTCCTTCAGCTTTCCAACAGGACCTTGCCACTGCTAACAGCAGCATATATAACTAATCCAAGAAAGGTCGCACTCAGTATGTCAGATCATGCAGAGCCAATATGTGAGTGTCAGTGATGACTTGTGCCTGCAGTGAAGCGAATGGAAGACCGTAGCCAGCAGTCATCAACATTCATTTGTTTTCATAAGCATATTAAATGTCTGGGGTAGATAACATTTTGGTGAATGTGAGATTCATGATTTGCCTTAAAAAGATTTGACGAAAACAAAGCTGGTTGATGAAGGGCATGCCCATTTGCTTGGAGAACAATAGCAATAGGGATAACCTTACCACAAGGTTGCTGTTTAAAGGGGCTATAGTGCAACATAAGTAGGATGAAATAAACCTGAATAGTTGTGGTATAAATGGTACAGGATTTCAGAAGTAACAGGATATGCGCTGACTGGAAATGAAGCAATAGGACCACCCTACAACTTTTGCCGGTGCAAGCAATATTTAAAGTGGGATCATGTATGACTGCCCTGATAACAGCATGAGCACAAATCATCATGAACGTGCAGTAAAAAAGGCTGTCTGGAGGAGCCTTAAGTAGTGTGAATCATGGGATAGCTGTTCTCAGGTGTCTGGTTGCCTGACGTATTTCAAGTCAATGCTTGCGCCTATATTTTTTCAAGATGGGTGTTGGCGGTATGTGGGAATCCAGCCCCTTCGTTCTATTCTAAAGGCAAGCAAAGATAGTGGAAGGAAACACGCTTCAAATTGTCACAACTTGCAGTGGAGGGTGGAAGAGTCACTGTGGCAATTTGAATGTGAAATTGATCTGAAGAGCTGCTTTGCGCCTCTGAAGTCTTGCCATTGATCTTCATGTAATGAATTGCTGGGGCTCCAGGGCCCATGATGGGTGAGTGGAGTTGTGATGTATCCTCTGCTGCCTCCAAACAAATGTTTTTCTACTCCGCCAATAAATCTTGCACAGACAGAATCCATTTTGTATATTACTTTTTTAAAACACACGCATACACACACCCCCCTTGGGGTTTATTTTTTGTTTATTTTTAAAGAAACTTTTATCAAATACCCATAAGAAACAAAATGAGGGAATTGATTTCTGTTACGAATGTACGTTGTGGTTGAGTACCAAAACAATGAGAGAGTTTCTAAGTCTGTCCATAAAACAGAATTAAGATGGCTACGCTTGACAGTTTCACGTTGTCATTATAAGTGTTGATGGGGAGATGAAAGTGAAGGTGTTTAACACAATGCCTGTTACATTCCTTAGGTGCTGGAACAAGATGTGGTTCTGCAGTCTATTGACAGAGCTATTGAGGCCATTCATAATGCGGCGATGAAGAATGGGGGGAAATACAACTTGGAGCAGAGGGATGTCCTCCAGTAAGTACAGCAAGCAGGAATATTCAAGACAGTATGGAAATAATGTTAGGGAAGGCAAATGACTGTAAGGCACGCGGTTAACATTCAAGGCCAAGCCAGGGCGTTTAAAAGAAACATGGAGTGGTGCCTGCTCTATCACTTTTTTGTACTCCAGTCTCATCAGGAATTGTTGGAGCTAACACCTGATTGCTTCACATCTCTGCATAATCACAAAACCTGCTCTCTAAAAAAATAAAATAATACTAACAACAATGTTATTATTTGTACTCTGCCCTTCTGACTGGGTAGCCCCAGCCACTCTGGGCAGCTTCCAGCATATACAGGATGTGATAAAACATCAAACATGAAAAAGAACCTGGTGCCTCCAGAGAATGGAGAGGGAGGAGGAGGGAGCAACGAGTCCTGGAAGCCTAGAGCTTCCTTTGCTAGCAACTCCTTGCAGCCACTTTGAACCCCGAGAAGCGCAGAGGGCGGAGCAAGGCATACACATTCAGAAAAATCAGACTAAGCACATCCCAATAGTGGACAAAGAAACATGGGTTTTCTGGAGAGGGTCCAGGGCAAAAGTAGAAAGTGCACACGTGAACCTCAGGATTTTGCTAGCAGTTCTAGATCAGCCCTGAGAAACTATCCATTTACTACAGATTTTCTCCTGTTAGTCCCACCTAGAAAAGGCTGCTGGGTATCTGGGCTTGACATGTGCAGACACAATCTTTCTTTTGTAATATATTTTTATTTGTTTTTCAATTGGTGGAGTGTTATCTGACACTAATAATGGTGGCTACAACTACTACCCATTCCCTTTCCCAGCCCTGCCCACCCAATTAAGGAAAAGGGGGAAAAACAGAAGAAAAGCAGTAGGCTACTAGAATAAGCAACCCAATGTGGTAAGCAACAAGGAAGACAAAAGGCTTGAATATGCAAGAAGAAGTGGGAAGGGTAGGGAGAATGGGATTTAGGAGGGATGTGCAGCAGCAGAGGAACCCAGATAATATGAGAGTCACAAAGAAAACCATGCCATATAAATGGGAAGATGTCAGCATGCTTGCCAGTGATTAAGTGATGCTAATCCAGACACCCTCCTGGGGGAAACATGAGGATTTCCAGTTGTAATAAGATGATTCTTCTGGCAACCAAAGCACCTCTATGAATCCAGAGCACCTGATTTTTCAGAAGTGCCCATAGAATTGGTATGTATTCCAGATCAAAGTATTGAAATTTAAGGAAGAAGATAAAGCCACAGTAGTTTCATCACGAATTATGTGCAGGTGCCAAGATACCAAAGAGTTGTGTAATCTTGAAATCAATGAAGCTTTCTTTCCAAGGCGGTAACCAAAGCTTAAAATGCTGCATTCACACTGTTTGCAATCGAGTTTCATTGGAGGGGAAGTAAAGAGCTTTGCAGAGTTTCTTCCTCTAAACTGAACTCCTTGGTTTTCTAGGCTAAAAATGTCTGGTGCCTGCAAATCAAAACAGGTTTGCTTTCCTGCATTGGTACTTCAGTTTCATGAGAGATACACTCTTTCCACGCACACATCTTTTTGTCATCAAATATGTCATGAATCACGAACAAAAGGGCAAGAAATACTAAACCTTGCACACCATGAGTAGGAGATGGGGAAATTCATTGGGAGGAATTCAGCATTGCACAGTGGAAGCTTTTCAGCTTGTCAGATGGAATGATCCCCTCCCCACTTGCATGTTGCTCTGGGAGTTCTCCCAAGCCCCTCCCCCAGCCAGTTTCTATGGGCGCAGGGAAGTGGGGGAGCCCTGTTGTGAAAGGGGAAGACCTTGCAAAGGCACTCATTAGATGAATCCTGCCCATAGCTTTCGATAGCTCAGCGGAATTGGATTCATTCTGCTGTTGAAGTAAGATCTTCAAGGTAATAATAATAATAATAATAATAATAATTTATTATTTATACCCCGCCCATCTGGCTGGGCTTACCCAGCCACTCTGGGCGGCTTCCAAAAAAATATTAAAATACTGTAATACATCAAACATTAAAAGCTTCCCTAAACAGGTCAGTCCATGTTCACAGTTCAGTAATATGACTTCAGCTTTGGAACTCTGGACCAGTCCTGTGAGCTCTACTTCCTCAATATGGCTGTTGTTTTATATTGCTAGGAAGCTGATACATCATCGGAAGGAAACTGTTTCCCGCAAAAGTCACTCACCATCCACTCAAGGAATGACTCCATCTTCCAGTGATCATCACCTGGACCTAGCCAGGCAACCCAATGGCGTCTGCAGGACTGGATATGAGCGACACCATAGCTTGCCTAACACAGATCCCCAAGAGGAGGAAGTTGGTGTTTACCAGGTGAGATCTGTGGCATATTTAATCCTTTATCTTATAAGATATCTACTCTGTGTGCTAATCATGTCAAATTTTTTTCTTGGGTGGGAAAGCGAGAATTTCTACCTCTTACACTTAACCATTTATAGCTGGCTGTGAGTGTTGATCCTACAGAGTAAGTAAAGAGCTTCTTTTTTTATTGGACCTGCCAGCTATTTAGAAGCTCAACCCCCATGCCTTATTTTATTGAGCATAGGTGAAAATATGTTACATGCCACCTGCTGTTTCTTGTCGGTGTTCTGCTTTGAGAATGAAGGATGTGACTGCAGGTGATATTAACTGAACGGCAGCTTGAGACCAGTTCTTACGTTGTGTTCGCTACAGTTGACAAGCACTATAGAGTAGCTGAACCTATGATAGACCTGGCTACTATGTGTGATGGTTTCATTTGTAAAACTTTGGGGAATTCCCGGGAAGAGGCCAATAGGAGAGAGATTTGTGAGAGCAGATTAGGGCATTCAGCAGTCTCGTAACTCGCTTTTAAAGAGATGCTGATTTCTCAGATAAGTAGGGAAAATGTATTTGGGACAGTGTTTCTTGTTGTCTTGCCCATTCTTCAACAGATTAGTTCTTTTAACTACAGTGACTGCTTGTTCCCCAGTTTACTGCATTGCACGATATGCCTTAAATTTTCTGTGCTGATGATAAACTAAGGAAGGAAGCACAGGAAATATGATTTGTAAGCAGAGATTTGTTTATTTAAGGCATTTATATCCTGTTTCTCTAAAAAGACTGTTGGAGCAGCTTACAAAAGTTAGTACTAGGCTGGTCCATGGCACACTAGGAAAAAAACAATGGGAGGGACAAAAGAAGCAAAACTTAGTTTTGTAGACATTTAAACATATTCTGAGACTTCTCTGATGCCCGTGTATGTCTTTCAATTGGTAGGCTGAGTTCTGAAGGTGATAGCACGGTTTGCTGGAATTACTGGCCCAGTAAAGTTTGGGTTCCTTTCCCTCCCAAAGGAACAGGGAGACTCTTCCTTCAGAAATGACTTTATTTGTCTTAGTGATTGTTAGGACATTAATATTGACGGGAACTATAAAAAAGGTCGTATGAATGGAATGGAGCATGTCACTTGCCATAACAACTTGTTTCTTGATCTATTTATATCTACACTCAAGGCAAATAAACTCATTAGATCTCCTTTGGAAGAGGCCAGAGAATGCTTCTCTATAGACAGAAAAATGAATGATGGAAATCCACTCCCCATCTGTATTCTCCATCATGACCCTCAGTGCCAGTGAAGCTCTAGCAAAACATGAAGTGCCTTGACTAATAGGAAGGAAGCTTCCCAAACCCAATTTGGCTATAAATCCTCCGCAATCTCTTTTGAGTGTGCTCCTGATGGAACGCGCTTTGCACTGTGATAATGGGGTTTGGAGGACACGTGTCGTAGGGCACACATCTTGCAGAGCCAATGCCCCTCCCCAGATACTTTTAAAGATCCTTAAAAAAACCACACAACCCAGAAGCCTTGGACTTGGGGGAAGCATGTTCTGTTAGACTGTTAGACAGCTTGCTCTCAGCCCCCCATACTAGGGATTTTCTGGATATCGGGACATGTGCTCCTTTTTGCACAAGAATCTCTAGCTACCAAGGGTATGCTAAACCTGAAGTGATCAGAACTTATTTAAGGGTGTGACTTGTGATATGGTCTTACACGTGATATGTGACTTGTGATATGGTCTTACAGCTTGCAAGGAGAGAAGGAAGATGAAAGTAGATTCGCCATCAAACAACCCCTCCCCCCACCATTTCTTTTCAGTATTCCCTTGTTATTGTTGGTGCTTCTCTTAGAAAGCATCAGCAGCGTGAAATTGACCTGATTCTTTGAAATTTCACAGGCTCTCACTTCTGGTCGACATCCAGAAAAGCAGCAAGCAGCAAACATGTTCAAAACTGGGCTATTCTTGTCATTCTACAAAGCAAGGGTAGATGCAGAGGAAACTCAGGCAGCTTCAACATTGAGAGCAGAATTGTGCTTCATTATGGAAATATGCCGTTTCCAAGCTTGTGTTGCCTGGTAGTGCTAAATAGGGACGGGGCATTTACATGGGAGAATTCTTCAACCACTGAGTGGTATTGACAATGTCCCTCTCCCGGCCATTTAAAAAAACTGTTCCGCCCACCACCATGGGCTCTGAGGCTGGAAGAAATCTGGCTGTTGGGAGAAAAACATTCTTGTGGGTATTGACAGGGGAGGATTAGCAGGAGCTGTTGAGCTTTCTTGCCTGCAGGCACACTAACCAGCAGGAATGTATTTGAGAAATATATATTTATTTGCCTGTGCAAAGCATACTTACAGCTACACCTGCAGCTGAGCTTCCAGCCTTCATAACAATAATGAAGGTGTTGCTTTATAATCTTATGAAGTCTCAGACGGAAGTTTTAAAAATAACTCATGTTTATGCAAAACAACAAAGTATATTTGTCTTATCTGTGTTGCATCCTGCTTTGGGGTTTTTTAAAAGATTTCCTGACCACCACCCAGGACTAAAGTACAAATTTTCATCATTTTGTAAAAAAAAAAAAAGAGAACAAATAGGGGTCAATTTGAGAAGTTTGATGGAAACCATTGAAAAACCAGGATCCTTTTCTTAGCTGACTTCAATGGAACGTTGAAAATAACTGGCTTATTTACCGTATTTTTCACCCTATAGGGCGCACTTTTCCCCCTCCAAAAATGAAGGGGAAATGTGTGTGCGTCCTATGAGGCAAATGCAGGCTTTCGCTGAAGCCTGGAGAGCGAGAGGGGTCGGTGCGCAAAGACCCCTCTTGCTCTCCAGGCTTCAGGAAGCTATCCGCAAGCCGTGGGAGAGCTGCACAACTTCACGCAGCTCTCCCACGGCTTGTGGAGAGCTGCCTGCACCCAGAAGCCTGGGGACGCGCTGAGCTCAGCGCCCCCAGGCTTCGGGCTTCGCGCAGCTCTCTGCAAGCCGTGTGTAGCTTGTGGAGAGCTGCCTCCATCCCTGAAGCCCAGGCGCGCTGCCTCCATCCCCGAAGCAGAGCTGCCTCCATCCCCGGAGCCCGGGCGCGCTGAGCAGTCGCGCCCGGGCTTCGGGTAGCTCTCCGCAAGCCGCAGGAGCCCTCCCACAGCTTGCGGAGAGCAGCCTGTTCTGGGGGCTGGGGTCGGGGGAAGCTCGGGCTTCCCCCGCCCCAGCCCCGCGCCTGGGGGGGGGGAAATAATTTTTTTTCTTTATTTCCCCCCCAAAAAACTAGGTGCGCCCTATGGCCCTTGCGCCCTATGGGGCAAAAAATACGGTAGTTATGTTTATTTGTTGGTTTCTAAGTGGCATGAAGCACTTTTATTTGCAGTTTTGCACACTGCCCTAGAATCCTTTATTGGAGCGCTGCTAAGAAGTAACTTAAATAAATAATATAAAAACAAATTCTGCTGCTTTCTTGTCATACCAAGAAGTTTTCAGAGCCTGTGAAGTTTACAGAATGCCAAGGATTGAAGATTTAAGTTGACTTGGTGCATGTGCATATACATAATCTTTTAGGGCAGGGGTGGCCAACACTGTGATCTACTCACAGAATGGCAGTGATCTACCCCCTTTTTTGGAAAGGAGAAAAGCACCACTCACCAACGGATTGCTGGGGAAACAAACAGCCTCACTGAGTAAACTCCGTCTTCCATTCTCCAAATCGTTCAACAATGGGGGGCAGGGCGAGGGGGGCGGGGCCGGATTCTATTTTACCAATGCTAAAGAAAGGGACCCAGCACTCCACCATGATCTAACAAAACCTCCCAGGGATCTAACAGTAGATCGTGATCGACCTGTTGGACATCCCTGCTTTAGGGAAAAGGAAGTATGCCAGTATTTTGAAAGGCATCCTTTATGTCCTTAACTCCCAGCTGTCTGATACTTACTGAGATGGAATACCGATAATTTCTAAATGAACAAATGAGTTGTTGTCTTTCGTTAGAATCATGTGTAAGCATTGCCATTTTTCAAATGAGTAACACTTTTTTCTTTAAGCTTTAAAAAAAATAAAGGACTGAGCTTGCGCTTCAGCATGGTTTTTAAGTATTGTGTTTATGAACTGTAACTGTTAATTCTGGGCTTGGAGTAAAGAATGACTGTGGAAGGCAAACACATAGGCCTCACTATGGTAATGTAGTGAATGGGATGGAGCTGTTTAAATAGTATCTTTCATTTTTAAAAAATTCATTTCATTTTATCTTTTTTATTATTATTCTGGATTACGATTGTCAGAATGATAAAAGGCCAGAAACAAAGTATAGCGTAAGTTAACATATTTTATGGTTGTAGTTTCTAACTCCCTATACCCTAACTTTGACTTTTTCATACTTAAGTGTAAAATGTTCTGCAAAGCATAACCATAGGCTATGCTTGTTTTGTTCAAAAGCTGCATTTCATTTTAGTTTCCATTTATCTCCTGCTTACTGCTGTTTAACCAATAATGTTTATATATAATTCCTAGTATACCGCTGACATGAAGCTGCCACTTGCAAATCACTGTTCTGCAAAATATGCTGCTTACATTAGAATATGCAAACGACTGGCTATTTGGGATGCATGGAGTTCCACAAATAAACTGGCCTAAGCACATGAAAAGTTTTGAACATTTTTCTTCAAATGAACATCTTTTGAACATCCTTTAAAGCAGCAGCCATCCCCAACCTGATACCCTCTGGGTGTTGATAGAATATAACCCCCCAGTTTGCAGCCAGCATGGCCAGTGGCCAGAGATGATGTGACTTTTAGTCCCAAACATCCAGTGTAGCTTCAAGAGGAGCCAGGTTTGATTCCTTTTTACTTGATTTATAAAGCACATTATAAAATGCTAAATTCATCAGCAGACCATAAAATGATAAATTCAACAACAGACTAAAATAATAATTTCTAAAACAGTATTTGTTTTAGATATGACATGCAATTCAGCAAAGCAATAGGACCTTGAGCAAAAAAAACCTCAGCTTCCACCAAAGGCCTGAGTCAACAGATGTGTCTTAAGTAGATGCCCCAAGCCTAGAAGTTTTGAAGCCACTGGTGTCTCCAAGAGCAGAGAATTGCACAATCTACTGTACATCATCACACAGCAAGCTGCACCTAATGATAGGACAACTAGAAAGGCCCACCAACAATCTCTATGTTTGCACTTTTTAAAAACATGAAAACCAAGACCAACACTTGCAAACCAAAGGAAGCATGCCTAACTCATTGTGCAGTGGATTGGGGCCATACTTGCGAGGAGTGTTAAAGACCTCCCTATCCGCCAAGCTATGTTCGTGATCCAAACTGGGGCCCCTGCACTGGCAATGTGTGGGAAAGAAAGAACCACCTACACATACAAGCACAGCTACATATCTTAACATAATGTGTAGTTTAACTCTGAGTGGTGCATCCAATAAATCGGCATTCGCCAAACCGATGCCCTCCAAAGGTTTTAGATTACAACCTCCATAAATTGGAAAAGGTTCCTACTAATCGAAGACACTGGGCATTCCTTTTGTAAATGCTGTGTCCTTTTCTAAGAGATCACTCTCTGTTTAAGGTGTATCAAGAATGAGGAACCTGCAGCCCTCAGTGCTGTTGGGCTGCAGCCCAGCAGCCATCAGCCTTGGCCATGCTAGTTGGGGCTGGTTGATGGTAAGGGTGTCCAAGGACATCAGAAAGGCCTGAGGTTCCCCATTCCTGATGCGTATGGTGAGATCTTGTTTCTGTGGTATATTACAGGTCCCATAAAGAGCACTCATAAGTAAGATGGCTTTGTTTTTGTTTTTTGAAATACTGTCACAGAGTTGGAGAGTGTGGAGGACTAGATGCTACTGAGTTGCCAAAGGAGGAACAGATGGATTGGGAGATGGGGGTAAAAGATGGAAGAGCTATGGTGGACTCTTTCTTGGGGAGCTAACCAATAAAACACACACACACACACACACACACAGACACAGAAGGAAGGACAGAGCCTCTGGCTCCAGGATATTTGAATCCTCTGAATTTCTGTCCCCCCCTATATACTTTTATACTGCCATTTCACAGGGTTTAGGTTGTGTTCTTGTTTTAATGATACATTATCTGTTTTAGACTGTACACCGCTTAGATATTTTTGAAATAATAATCAGTATAGAAAGGCATTTGAATAACTATAAGGAAAGGACTGTCCTTTTTTTCTGGGAGGGGGAGAGAAGAGGGAGAAAACACAGATGAGGAAGAAGAGTGCAAGAGACAAGTGCTGGCCCAAAGGGTGAGATTTTTGGTCTCCACCATCCTGACTCCTGCAAATAAGCGTTGGTGTCAAAAGAGTTGCTTCCAGCTGCCACCTGAGTGGCAAGAACTCCAGGAGCAGAATGAGGCCAAATAGAGGAAATCAGGTGCAGGACCTCTGTGGTGATGCAGCCCCTCAGAGCCTTAAGTTTGGGGAAGTGGGTTGTGTTAAGGAGCCCAGGATGATGTGTGCCATTGAATGGGAAACTGTTCTCTAGCTGGCTAACCACCTTTGTTATAACAAACACTAATGGGAAGCAGTGTTAGAAACTGAGATATGAAAGCTAGGAGCTAAATGACACCTTAAGCCTAGGTTATGGGCACAACAACGGAATGTCTAGGCGCGCTTTTTTATAACAAGAATACAAAGCTGAAAATGAATGAACTGCAGCTAAAATAATATGTTCATTTTTCACATGGTCTAGTCCTTCCCCTGCCCACTCCCCTAAGAGGGTCTCTTCTCCAGTCTTCAGAAAGTAGCTGGAAGTGGGGAGGGAGAAAAAGGTCCTCCTTTCCTTCCACTCTGCAGTTTTAATCTGAAATTTTAGGCACAGTACGGCGCCTAAACAGATCACGCTAATGAAATTCCCTGTTGCAAAATGCGCCTAGAACAATGGGAGTTTCTAACACAGATGGGAATTGCTTCTTCTGTATCCCAAAGGAAGGAAATTGAGCCTTAAAACCTAGAGCTACTTCTGTCTAATCCAGATGTCACAGACGGACTATCTAATCTAGCCTCTGCCCCACTCACCTCCCCCCACTGCTGATCAAGCTATGCAATTAATATTCCAGCCTTATCTGCTCACAGAAGAATTGTGTGACTTTGGAAGTGTGCTAGCTGTAGGGAGCTCTAAGCACCGTGCACGAGTCAAAGCTTTCCTTGTCAGGAGCCTCTGCAGGGAATGAATGGCATTGTAAATGGCCTTGTCTAGCCTGAGACTTTTTTCCGGTCTCAGTAAAAAATGCTCTGAATGCATTAATGCGAAGAAAACCTACATGCTTCTAGTCTTTGTCTTTATCCCTTTGCGAGCATAATTTGTTGAATGGATCGCTCCGAATGCATCTAATATGCACATGATTTGCTGCCTCTGTGGAGGGGCTGAGAGGAAGGCAAAGTGTACGTGTTTGACAGGTCTGTGTAACACAAGCACACAGTGCACTGCTGAACGTAGCAATTAAACATGCTGCTTGTCTTGTCCATGGGAGGGAGGAAAGCGACACGTTCAGACGGTTCCGCTTTGCTCTTGGAGGAAACTGATTATTATTAACATCGCTATCCTCCAGCGGCATCTTTAAGGAATGAAAAGAGCAATATTGGGACAAATTTGTGCACACAGAGGAAAAAAAATGATTTATTTTTTATGTGTCTGTCTTCGCTACTTCCTTTGATTGTTCTAAAACCTTTTCTTCTAGATCCCACCACAGCCACGCCGTGCAGCTCCCGTTACTCCGCCACCGCCAGAGAAATACAAAAACACACAGATGGCTGCCTCTGTTAAAAGTAAGAAAAAAACTTTTTGCAGCTGTATGACACTGAGGATCAGATGCATTGCTCAACTAACTTATTTGGTTGTCAACTATTAGGAATGTGGAAAACTTGCTTATAGTATGTCAGGCTGTTGGTCCGTCAAGCTCACTATTGTCTACATCACGGTGGGGATCCTCTGAGTCACAGGCCTGGTTAGGCCCACCAGGCCTCCCCGTTTGAACTGTCAGATCGTTTTGGCCAAGCCACATCCACCGGCCCTATAAACATCTGGGGTAGGGTGGGTAACGTACCGCTGAGCTACTTCCGGCTGTGTGTGTTCCACAAGATGGAAAGGAGTATATTATGGATAAGAGTTTATTCCAAATGTTTTGCTTTTGTATCTTTTGCCATGGAACTTAGAAGAAGGCTTGCAGTCCTAGAACGATTTTTCCCAGTTGTTCTAAAACCTTCTAGCAGAAAGCTTTCCAGACTTCTCATGTTGGTGACACACTTTTTAGACATGCATCATTTCGCAACACAGTAATTCAGTTTTACTAGCAAACCGGAGGTTAAGCTAACCCCTTTCCAACCCTGGAAGCAACGTGGGGAACTTTTGCGTGACACACCTACACACTGTAGCTGACACGCTAACGTGTCGTGGCACACAATTTGGAAAGCTCTGTTCCAGCACGATTTCAGCTAGTTGAGAACTTCAGGCTGTTCCCGTATGATTTTTTTTACAAAACCACCAGTCCTATGACTTAAAGCTATTATCATGGGAAGATTTGCATGAGTAAGCACACAATATAAACATGCGTATTTTAGAAAGCTCAGGAATGGATTGGTGTATGTTTGTGTCCTTTGTGGCTAGATTTAGGTATTCCAGAAACTGCTGGAATCTTTCATCAGAGAGATACATGTGCCTAGGGCTCCCACCTTAAGAATTTTGGTTCTGGTAGTAACTTGGAGAGAGAACTTAAGAGATTGATGATAAATAGCTTCATGGGAACCACCACCCCTCCTTCTTCCTTTCTAGTCAGTTTCAGATGAGCTGGAAGTGGCAGTGGTTGGTCTTTCCCAAAGGACGTGGCAGTATTTGAATGACAGGCATGCCTCTGTGCTGCTAGTTGCTTTGGCTAAGGTGCATAAGCACTTCTTGTTGTTCTTTGGAGTACTGCAACCAAGTGTACTGAGAATCCCAGCTTTCCCCTGGCCAAGATGTGATAATTCCATAGATCACCAGGGGGAGCCCACTAATAATGCAATGATGAAGGGCTCAATTAAGAACGAGCTTTCTGGGAACAATCCATCCTGCTCTTTGTTCGGAGCTGAACATTGTAGAAGCGGTGCTCTCGGGAACCATATTCTTTCAGCTTTTACCAGGAGGGTGTGTCAGTTATGCAACTGCTGGCTGTCAATGATGTATGTTCATTAAATCTGAAATGCCCAGTGTTGTTGAGAACAAAGCAGATAATTCTCCGGTGCTATACTTTTTTAGAAAATGGATTATCCAAAGGGTCAACCTTACTCAACGGGAACTATTTTCTTCAGGAATGCCCAGTGCAGACATAAAACATAGCCATGGTTAGAACCAATCAGCATTTGTTGCTTTAACCCTGGTTAAGGTTCCTAAGCTAAGTGTTGCCCCTTTAAGTCACCAGTGAGACCCACCTGTCACCTTGTAATCAGAAACGTTTGAGTGTCGGAGGCTGAGCCTAAGTCATAGACCAGGGTTGCTCATTCTGGATTTCAGTCAGTCCTGACTACTGCTAACCAAAGTTATAATAGCTGTACACACAGCCTCTTTGCCCCTGCTTCCCTCTTCCTTTCATGCACATAGTAAAACAAACCAGGAAATTGCAGTTAATCAAAGCTTCCCCTTATGTCTGAAATGGGCAACTGTGGTTAATGCCTTCCAAACAAGTCGGGGAACTAGAGGTGAATTTTAAACCATAGATCCATATCTGGCTTGCTTCTAAGCCATTAGTTTGGGCATGTTACCATCGGCTTTCTGCCTGCTTCCCCTGCTTATGCAAAGGGAGGAGTGAAGAAGGAGCAAAAGGGCCTTTTTAGGTGCATATGTAGATTCAAGCTGAACTATTCCAGCTGAACTATTTAAAAATTTAAAAGATGATGCTGTTAAGGTGCTACACTCAATATGCCAGCAAGTTTGGAAAACTCAGCATTGGCCAGAAGATTGGAGAAGATCAGTCTACATCCCAATCCCAAAGAAGGGCAGTGCCAAAGAATGCTTTAACTACCGCACAGTTGCACTCATTTCACACGCTAGCAAGGTTATGCTTAAAATTCTACAAGGAAGGCTCAAGCAGTATGTGGACCGAGAACTCCCAGAAGTGCAAGCTGGATTTAGAAGAGGCAGAGGAACCAGAGACCAAACTGCAAACATGCGCTGGATTATGGAGAAAGCAAGAGAGTTCCAGAAAGACATCTACTTCTGCTTCATTGACTATGCAAAAGCCTTTGACTGTGTCGACCACGGCAAACTATGGCAAGTTCTTAAAGAAATGGGAGTGCCTGATCACCTCATCTGTCTCCTGAGAAATCTTTATGTGGGACAAGAAGCTACAGTTAGAACTGGATATGGGACAACTGATTGGTTCAAAATTGGGAAAGGAGTACGACAAGGCTGTATTTTGTCTCCCTGCTTATTTAATTTATATGCAGAATTCATCATGCGAAAGGCTGGGCTGGATGAATCCCTAGCCGGAATTAAGATTGCCGGAAGAAATATCAACAACCTCAGATATGCAGATGACACAACCTTGATGGCAGAAAGTGAGGAGGAATTAAAGAACCTTTTAATGAGGGTGAAAGAGGAGAGCGCAAAATATGGTCTGAAGCTCAATATAAAAAAAACGAAGATCATGGCCACTGGTCCCATCACCTCCTGGCAAATAGAAGAGGAAGAAATGGAGGCAGTGAGAGATTTTACTTTCTTGGGCTCCATGATCACTGCAGATGGTGACAGCAGCCACGAAATTAAAAGACGCCTGCTTCTTGGGAGAAGGGCAATGACAGGCCTAGACAGCATCTTGAGAAGTAGAGACATCACCTTGCCAACAAAGGTCCGTATAGTTAAAGCCATGGTTTTCCCAGTAGTGATGTATGGAAGTGAGAGCTGGACCATAAAGAAGGCTGATAGCCGAAGAATTGATGCTTTTGAATTATGGTGCAGGAGGAGACTCTTGAGAGTCCCATGGACTGCAAGAAGATCAAACCTATCCATTCTTAAGGAAATCAGCCCTGAGTGCTCACTGGAAGGACAGATCGTGAAGCTGAGGCTCCAATACTTTGGCCACCTCATGAGAAGAGAAGACTCTCTGGAAAAGACCCTGATGTTGGGAAAGATGGAGGGCACAAGGAGAAGGGGGTGACAGAGGACGAGATGGTTGGATAGTGTTTTCGAGGTTACCAGCATGAGTTTGACCAAACTGCGGGAGGCAGTGGAGGACAGAGGTGCCTGGTGTTCTCTGGTCCATGGGGTCACGAAGAGTTGGACACGACTAAACAACAACAACAAATAGATTCAAGCTGAAATTTTCAATAACAATAACTCCAACACATCTAGAATCAAGAGCACTAGGAAGAAACTGTGTCCAAATTTTTTTTGTCTGTTTCCTCTTCAGAGATAGATAGCTAAAAATCCAAAAAAGTTGGAAGGAACCATGAACCTTACTAAACTAGGCACATAGTGAGGCAAATACAACAAAAGCAACTCATATCGCTTATAAAACCAAACAGAAGGCTTGAGGTGTGACGGTCAAAGTATTGGATTGCGTGTAGGTACTAATAATTTGCTTAGTACCAGATTGAGCACATACAATGAGTTTCATTATTTAAAGTTTAATCATGCTGGATTATTAGGTGCAAAGGAATTATGCTAGATCAGCCCTAGTCACCCAGGGGAAATTTATACTCTGTTGAAGCAACCAGGCAAATGATAGCATTGGAAACTTGGTGTAAGGAAAACAAACATTGGTTAAGCATTATGACTTAGGCCAAAAAGAATAAAGTATAGTATTTAAACTTGTGCGTTACTTGAGTCCTACTGGTCTTTGACCGTAATAAATTATCTGAATCTGAGTCCTACTCTGTATAGAAAAGAGATCAGTAGGTATAGAGGTTGCCAATGTTTCTTTAAAATAAATAAAGTAAAGTAAATATTCTGGAGCCAGATCCTGCTAGGCATGTGTGCTGAGTACAAGGCAATGAGAGCGTGTTAGTGATTCATTAGCAATTTAAAAAATCTTTTTGGGAATTGAGAATAAATCTGTTCCCCTTTGGTTTTTAAGAGTGGTGGGTAACATAAGGGTGATACAGTTAATCAAGAATTAGAATCAGCGTTGTTGCCATTTGAAAGTACTGCTTATTTCCTTTTACAGATAAGATTCTCAAGTTGTTCATCTATGTCACTATTTACTATATATACTCTTCCTTGTCTTAGCAATGAAAGACTGACTGTGGGGTATATAGTAGCCTATTTTGGGAAGATAAGGAATAAAACTTTGTACGGAAATGCAGGCAGAATCTTAAACAAGACATTCCAGCAGTTGGACTGTTCGTACATATATGCTTGATTTGCCTTGAGTATTCGGGTTTGTGAAGGTATGAGTTTACTGCCGCAAAAATAGCATGGTACTCAGAAAGCCTTAACCAGCAAGATTGCTGAAGAAAATAAATTACACAAATCTAATAAATTTATTTATTTATTTTACTTATTAGGTACAAACCATTCCTATTATCTGTAAAAGTTGCAACTTCTTTCCACTTCTTAACAACGCCAGCCATGCAAGAGCGAATCGTAATATAATGCAAGGTTTTTTTGTTACTGAAAACCAAAGGGCATCCAGAAATTCCATGCAGGAGGAAGATCTCTGACCAATTTTAGGATAAACCTTGTGAACCAACATCCCATTGTGTTAACCAACAAGCTAAAGGTCAGGCATGCAGAACTTTTTGGCCTGGAGGGCCAGATCTTTATCTCCACCCCACGGGCCAGTTTTGTCAGGCGGATGGGACCACATACTGGTCAGTCATATTACAATATAATGATGCCAGGTGATTGACACCTGTCTAAACACAGTGTTCTTCATAGTGCTTTCCAGAAGAAGAAGAAGAGTTTGGATTTGATATCCCGCTTTATCATTACCCGAAGGAGTCTCAAAGTGGCTAACATTCTCCTTTTCCTTCCTCCCTCACAACAAACACTCTGTGAGGTGAGTGGGACTGAGAGACTTCAAAGAAGTGTGACTAGCCCAAGGTCACCCAGCAGCTGCATGTGGAGGAGCGGAGACGCGAACCCGGTTCCCCAGATTACGAGACTACCACTCTTAACCGCTACACCACACTGGCATCCAACATTTCCAAGCATCCAACATCCAACTGATTGTTGGGCACTTCTGAAATGCTGCGTGAAGCACTTTGTAAGCCATGCACATGGTGACTGTCAGCCAGCCAGCAGGGCCAGCAAAGCCCATCAGTCAACATCCTATGACTTCACTTAACGTCCTATGACTTCAGGCGTATGTTAGGTGGGCATGGCTTACCTGATATAGCCTTGTGGACCCTGGCAGGCTAAGTTTTGCCCATGAGCCACAAGTGTTATAGAGGGGTGGCGGTCAGTACCTTTTAGCCAATGATCTCTGTTGTTGACTTCTGTACATAGTACATTCTCTGTACTATTCTCTGTACACTGGTGCTTGAAAGTAGCTGCAGAAGGGAAAAGGGGGATGCTTCAGCAATGGGCAGTTTTCCTCTTGTAATTTGAAATATGTAAGAAACATTATTCAAAAGTAATAGCCGTATGCTTAAAAATGAAAGAGAAAAAAAAGTGCATCTATTCCTGCGGGGAAAATCTCTTCCACCCGCAGATTAATGCTTTTTAATAAAAACACTGGGATCTTTGAAGAAAATTCATGTCTGCAGAGCAGCTTTTTCTCCCTTGTTGGAAAGAGGTTAGTGATCAGGAATACTCAAGGGAGAGTTAATACAATTTTGCTTTGAGATAAGTGAACCAGGAAGGCTAGTTAAACTACTTTGGAAGCATGCACAATGAGCTTCTTAACGGACTCTGCTGTTGCAGTTTGTTTTTTCCCCTCCTTTCCTTTGATGCTGTTGCTAAGACATTTTAATCGTTGCCTTTCAGACGCAGTTGAAATCACCTCTCGGTCAGTTTCTAGTGCCTCCTCTGTAAGCACAACTTCGCTGGATACCTTGTACACTGGCTCGACAGAGTCTGCTCTCCCGACTGCTACTCCCAGCCCCAGCAACACCCCTCCCCCTGTTCCCAGCAGAAGTGCCCACACGATGGCATCGCACAGCTTGGATATTAGCCCGCCAGGGCAAAGAAAGCATGGGAGTGCAAGCAAATCACCCCAGACCAAGAGGGCTGCCCCACAAGTGCCCGTGCAAGCAGGGGCTTCAGGTGCAAATGACGAGAAGACCGTACAAGCCAAGGAGACTGTGCCAGTTGCTCCTGCGGAGGCAGAGGAATTTGACTCCCTTCGCCCGGAAGATAAAAAGTCAGCTGATCTAGAGGATGCAGATCATGAATCACCGAGCCTAGTAGTATCTGTGCCAAAGACAATAGGCGCCGAATTGATTGAACTTGTCCGCAGGAACACGAATCTCAGCTATGAGCTCTCCCGGGTTGCCATTGGTGTAGTAATTGGCCATATCCAAACTTCTGTTCCTGCCACTAATAGCATCATGGAGCAGATTCTCATCTCATTGGTGGAAAGCAAGGTAGGAAAATACATAGCTTGAAAAGCATTTTCTGTGGCTTGCTGGCTGATGAACTTTGTTTTTAGAAGGCATGGGGTTTTTTTGGTGGGCAGGCAGTGACATGAGTTGGGAGCTCAAGTACTTAGGTGACTGAGGCAGCGTGGATCATATTCTGTCCAGCATAAGAGTGGACATATCCCCTTGAGGTTATGTCGGCTCCTTTAGAGATGGTTGAACTTCAGACTAGCAGGGTGTCCTTGATTTTTTTGTTCCAGAATCCCAAGATCCACCAATCACAGCCAGGTGCAAAATACACTGAATAAGAATTAAATAATTTTGAGCCCAGAAATTTGATTCCAGAACCAGAGCTGAATTGAGGTCACAGTCCTTTCAGACAAGAATCTGCTCCTAACTACCCCTGTCCCCTGGTGTGTCAGAAGAATAATTTGTGGCCGGGAAGGGGGTGTTGTTACTGTTAAACAATTGGGAGTCAATAATCCTTGCCAATCTGCTTCAAATTACCCAGCTCTACCAGTATATCCTGCTTTCTGCCCTTCCTTCTCTATGGTGTTTTTGTCACCTCAGAAAGTAGCAGAATGCATGCTCGGTTACTGGGCTTTATTTATGAAGAGATGGTAGAATTACTGAATACTTCATATGCCAGAAGAGCAACAGAATAAAAAGGGAATGGGATCATGCGGTCTTGTTGACATCCTTATTGGTAAACAATACACTGGCAACATAGGGTTAGGCATACAGAGAAAGAACTGCATAAATCTGGCCTGCATAGTTTGGAACCCTAAATCGGAGATGATTTAGGCAGCAACTTAATGACCCTGGTTGGTATAGACTGAGTTAGTGTTATAAAAGTAACAGTTGTCTATAAGGGGAAAAAATAATACAGAATCTGCAAAGAGGTGGGAGAACCATAAGCAACATTGGTTCATTGCGAGGTCCTGTTCAGATTATTTTATCCAAAACCACATTTCCCCCCCTAAATTAAGAGTTCTAGAGATAATGCTGTTACACTGCTTTGCGTTCATATGGCCCCAAAAGTCAAATCCTTTGGTCTTGGTCAACCTGGGATACAATGTTTTCTTTTTCTTTTTCTTTTATTTATATATAAACTAGTTTTGTTTCTATCCTGCTACATCTTTTATTTACCAGTGTATGGTCTGAGGTCACTGCCTTGCTGAAGCTAAGCAGGCCTGGATCTGGTCAGTGCCTGGATGGGTGTCCGCCTGGGAACCATGTGTAAAAATTAGTGTAAAATAATCAAGTAACATCCCAGCAACATTATCACAGGACAGAAACAGCATCAAGAGCATTGCCATAAAAAGTGTGTTTGGAGAGGGCTCTTGATTTCCTGGCTCAGTGCGCTCAGTGACATGGAAAGCCAGATCTCCCACAGCTATGAATTACATGATGTGAGCACTGATTATGAGAAGGTCTGATCCGTGTCCTCTACACCTCACAGGTAGATGGATGCTTAACACAGATTCCGATGGGTGCAGCATGTAGGGCCAGGTTTATGCTTTGTTCACAGTTTCCAATTCCCTCTTTAACTCACCAAGTGGCATCTTCAAGCCACTTGAGCTATGCTGGAACTGCTCGTTCCCCCAACATTAAATTGCGCACTCTTGCCACTGACTCCATAGTCTGTCTGGCTAACTGGCTTTAAGTGGAAAAATATTAAATTCAGTTCCTTTCTGTTGTGTGGTAGTGGAGAAGGAAACTTCCTACTGACCTCTAATAGGAAAGCTTTATTGATGCTGGCAAGATTACAAAAGGGTTTAGCGAGGCATACAGTTATGGAAAACTGTTTTGCTCAAAATTCAGATCAAATCGTAATCCACTTAGCTGTCCATAGTGAACACAATCGCTAGATGCAGCAGCGGAACTTCACATTTCTGGGATCATGTGACCCACTGGGTAATCAAGATAATTGCTTTTTAACTTGATAAAGATGGCGTATCAATACTCAGCCTCAATTCAGCAGAAACCTATAAGCAATTTCCTGCTGCAGCCTTTTCTCCCTGCACCCTGTCTACAATTTGGCTTAGACTGTTGGTTTCTGTTCCTGTTCTATGGCTCAAAGGAAACACCTACAATACTTTGAGCTGACCGTATCCTGATAAAACACTAACAAAACTAATTTTTAATTGAAGACTGGAAATGTGTGGAGTCTGTGCACCAACTTCTTGTGTAAGCATAATTTTAAAGGGCTGTATCCAATGCTACTGCTACTCAGAGTTGCTCCATTGAAATTAATGGGCATGACTAGCTTAGGTCTCTTAATTTCAGTGGGTCAACTCTAAGTAGGACTAGCACTGGATCCAACCCCAGATGTGCAACCTCTCTTGTCACTTTTTCCCTACTCAGAAAAACAAGACCGTGGTTTTTCCCCCATTGGGCAGCGTATGGCAAAAAATTATCAATATTATTAATTCCATTTCTGTACCGCTTTATATTTTAAAGAAAATTTTCAAAAGTGTTTTAGAACACATTAAATAATCAAATAAAACAATCCAAAATAAAACATTACTGAAGAAAGTCAAATATAAAGTATACAGTCAAAGCAACAGGGCAGCCAAGAGTGTCTACGAACCCAGGCAATTTCCTTAATACTTTAGTGGAAGTGAAGAAACCACCAAAATCTTAAAAACAGAGCTAAACCACAATCCTAGAAGTATTGTTCTGAGTTTGAGGGGCAGCATGTAACAGTATTACTTCATGATTCATCTCAAGGTCAACCCCATCCCAATTACCTTTTTTTTAGCTGACTATAAAAACCTAATTGCATAGTGTTTGGGTGAGCTAATTCAGCACTTATTATAAAATAAAACCTACAAGCATGAAATTGTTGACAAGGGAAGCCATGTGTATGAAGGTAATGCATAAAAATTATTCGGGGCCAGCAACAAATTTAAAAAACCAAATTAAAATTGCGATGATAAAATGTTGGGGCAAACAAAGCCTTAGAGCCCACATATTTTCACAGTTGCTCTGAAGCGCTTTCCCCACCTTTTAACAGTCCACTTTATTTCCCTCCCATCTCCCATCCACAGGGTTTCCACTGTGAACCAAGCCGTTAATGGACTTGAACGAGATTAATCTATTAGCAAAGCTCTCTAATCTGACTAACTTCTTGACATATCATGCGCCTCCTTAATGCGATTTCATCACTAACTCCATTTCTTTCACTCGCACTGCTAGGGTCAGGTCTGCTCTTATTAAGTAACTAGCAGCTATTACTGCTGTATAGCCACCCCATACATTTCCAGGAACCAGACTATGCCTTACAAAAGCCAACTTAAATGATTTACACTACAGTATTTGTAAGATGTGCCTTAAGCTCATCTGTGTTTGTCATTCTGCATTTGGAGGGCAAAATTATACGCGGGAAACATCCAATCGCAATCTTTTCCGCTGAAGAGAACATGATTATTTTGGGAAAGTTCCCTCTGCTGCTATCTCGCCTCCACTGCTAACAGATGGAATGGCAATTCTACTGTGCGAATGTGGCTGCACTTCTGCAAAAGCTGCTCTGCTCCTTTCCCCCTAAGTCCTGGCTAGCCGTTCTAGAGAGCCAGTGGCACTCTCAAAAAACATGTAAGCAATATTTTTAGGGGCGGGGGTTGTTTTTTTTTGAATGGGTGTGCACAATCATCTCCCCAGAGCCCTAAATAAATAAATAAATAAAGGTATCATTGTACATTACTCCGTTGATGACTGTGTGATAAATCCCTGTACTAACCTATGCTTAATGCAAGAGATGGGGCTGCCATCTCAACAGCACATCCTAGGAGACTCCAGCCCAGATTAACAGTGCCGAGTGAGACAGACACTTAATTCAATTTACTGAGCCTCTCTCTAGGGTAGAGCCTTTGGAAACTTAGTGTTTCATTTAGGAGCAAGCTCAGCTCCCTGGCTGAGTGTGTAGTAATTACAGGGTGTTTCCTTCCTCCTTCTTCTGGAGTTATAATCCTCTTACAGAGAAGGCTATTTTACAGCGCAATGGAGGCAAGTGCTTACAGATGTTCAGCAGCACCGGACAGCAAGAGGAGTTTTTTTGGCTTCTCCTATTGCAATAATTATGCTTCCCCCACTTTGCCTGTCAGGTATTCCCATCGTCATCTGTAGGCCAGTCACTCAAGCACTCCTTCCACAGAGTTATTGGGCTGCAAGATATGCTTTGGTGACTGCAGTCAAGGGACTTAAGGCGCAGCCAGGTTTCCTGATCCCAGAAGGATCCCAATGTTTGTCTTGTAAAACTGGAAGTGCTGAACAGCACCGGACACCAAGCTGGGTTTCTTTTATTTATATATAAGCTTACATTTATTTCTATCCTTGTGTGTGAATCCCCACACAGTTACTTCTGCTCCAAATGTAGTAACTTTCCCCGTACAACTAGTGATGGCTGTCCAATTCCAGTACTTGTTTCAGCTCTGGATCTGGCTCTCCCATATTTATAGGAGGAGGCAATATCATGAAGCATTTTCAATTGAAGACCCCATAGTAATGCAATGGGCATAGGCCCCAGCCAAGAAAAAGCAAATCCCGTAGCTGCTTATAGATCAAACCAAACCCCTACAAGAGGATGTTTGGAGCTATTTAGTCTAGGGAGAATTTTTTAAAAAAATGAGTAAGTGGGGATGCTATGGAAGTTCACAAAATTACACATGGTGCAGAGAAAGCACTGTCACAGATGAGTTGTGAATGCTAGCAAAGATAAGAATCCGGGAATCCAGCCATATTTACAGAGATTTAATGGTTACTTCAAAGTATTTACAAGAGTTCAAAGAACGATACCATCACGATGAGTCAGTTGCCTCGACTGGCTCTTTCCGTTTCTTCCCCCAGCTGATCCACCTCCTAAGCCCAACCCCCCTTCTTCCTCTGCTACAAGAGTGGCTGGGCCCCGGAAATGACTCCCCCCTCTCAGATTCATTGACTCCCGACAGCCCTTTGTCTCCTTCCTCGTCCGAGGAGGAGCAACTGCTAATTAAAGGCACAGGATCTCTGTAAGTGCCCATTCTCTCCCCCTTCTCCCCCTTCTCTGCCTCCAATTCCCTGACAAGCACACTGGGTGATTTTTTTCTCTCCTCTCCTGTCATAATAGTAGAACCCAAAAAGCCATCCAATGAAGCTAAACGGTGGGAGATTAAGAACAGACAAAAGGAAATACACAGTGCATCTTTACGCAGTGCATAGTTAAACTATGGAATTTGAAGTCCAAAGATGGCCAACATTGAAAGAGGATTAGTCAAATTCCTGTAGGATAAGGCCTATAATGACCATTATTCATTCATGATGGCTATAGATTACATTGAGTGTCAGAAAATCAGTACCTCTGGGTACCAGTTTTTGGAGATTATGAGCAGGAGAGTGCTGCTTCCCTCACCCCCTGCTTGTAGGCTTCCTGCACAGACATTTGGTTGGCCGCTGCGGAAGCAGAATGCTAAACTTGATAGGCCTCTGGTCTGATCCAGAAGGGCTGCTTTTTAAATCTTATGGATGAATGCATGTTTGCCACACTTGGATATTAAACAAAATGTGCAGAGGGCATGTGTGCAGGGGCACTGAAGTTACCACAGGAGCAGCTTACACAGTGTGCGAGTGGGCCTTCAGCAGCCTGTCATTATGAGGATGTATGTTCTCTTACTTTGCCCAAATGGGCAATATGTTAAAAGGCAATTTAGAGAAATAAGTGGAAACCCAAAGCTCAAGGGAAAGCTAGCCTCTACTGACATTTTAAAAAGAAGTCTCTCCTACATCAAAGGAGGCCTGAATTACACCTTTGGCTAGATTCTCTCCATTCCTGCCTTATTTAGGTATATGAGAGTACCTGAGAGGTACAAGTTCCTTCTTTTTGAAATTGCTTCCACTATAGAATAAGTGCAAGGACACCCTGGCAGACTATGCGCAACATCAGAGGTATGAGTATATTTCTTTTCCCTTGATCCTTGTATTGCATGAACACAGCAGCAAGGCAGACCTGAATGAAAAATACCACAAGCAATTCATCCTTCAAAAGAGCACATTGGGAATAAGTCTGTGGTAATGGATTCTAAAATTGATTTAGTAAAGCAGTGCTTTGACTTTTAATTTAAAGTAGGAGGACAGAAGAAAGGATACAACTAATTAAAGAATGTAATATGAAGCCTGAAAAAAGGTTGAGAGATTTAGTATAGAGCAGCAGGAAGCTTTAATCAATGATGATCTCTTATTCCATTTGGGAGGAAAAAATTCTTAGAAAATCTTTCAGCTCCCTCCTCCAATTCTCACTTTCCCCAGAAAAGTTGTTTGAGAAAGAAGCACTTAACTTCATGCTGAAGCACTGCTGTCCATACACACTTCATGAGTTTGTAAAAAAACATCCTCACATTCTCAGAAACACTACTTATACTCAAAAAGCTTTCTTATACTCAAAACTTAGTCAAGCACCATTTTAGCTTGAGGCACCCTGATGGGCTGGACAGAGGTTCCTTGAAGGAAAGACCCTCAAGACAGGGAATTGCCCCCACCCCCAATAGCACAGGGACCATGCTGCTTTGAGGCAGTCCCTTGGGGCTGGGAACAATGTCTCAGTGTTGTAAACCTGTGAGGCCACTGCCTCATCACTATGCCCAGTGTTCAAAACTCCCATTGTTCTAGGCGCATTTTGTGACGGGCAGTTTCATTAGCGCAAGCAGTTGCTGAGCTCAGGGCGCCGTACTGCGCCTAAGATTTCAGAATACAACTGCAGAGTGGAAGGAAAGGAGGACCTTTTTCTGCCTGCCCACTTCCAGCTACTCTCTGAAGACTGGAGAAGAGACCCTCTTAAGAATATTAGGGGGTGGACAGGGGAAGGACTAGACCATGTGGAAAATGAACATGATATTTTGGCTGCAGTTCATTCATTTTCAACTTTGTATTTTTGTTATAAAAAAGTGCGTCTAGACATTCTGTTGTTGTGCCCTTAGCTTAGGTTTAAGGTACCATTTAGCTCCTAGCTTTCATATCTCAGTTTCTAACACTATGCTGCTCCCACACTGCTGTTGACTAGTCTAGAGGTCATCTTATATGACACATTAGTTAAGCCCTATCTTGCTGATTACAGAACAAAGTTAGTTATTGCACTAAGCAAATAGCTGACTTGGATCTTGAAGTTATTATAGTTCCGTGATAAGTTACATCAACCCAACTTTCAATCCATATACACCCAGGGCACACACAGTGGCTCTTCAGGAGGAAGGACTGGATATAAATTTAATAAATGCACAAGTAACATAGTGGAACTGCTATTATGGCTGCCCAGCATGGATAGAGGGGAAACAGTTTTGAATATGCAGCTGCCCAAATACACTGACCTTTGACTTCTTTATCATCATGGAGAGTCTGGTCATGATGCCTCAAAATAACAGTGTAAAACTAGGGTCTAACTTGTCTTCCAACGACACAGCTTATTTGCGCACCTTTGCTCGCAAACACCTTTTGTTTACACTCTATCAATGAAACACTTTAGTTCTGCACTCTTCAGACTACCGACTCTTAAATAGTCAGCCAACTACAAATTTAGTTTATTTCTTACCCAACTGGCAATATGGAGAGCATGGACGTGAAATACTTTAACTTACTTCTGGATTAAACTTTTGCTGTTTGGGAACTTGCGTTGGGAACTTGTCTGATTTGTCTGATCACATCCTCAGCAAGGACTGAGCTAGTGGTTCTGCATGTACCTTAGCATCATACAATGCTTCTCCCCTGGTTTGGGTCATATTATGGTCTGAATTGATCTGTTTGTGGAAAATCCTGTCTCAGACCATAGGGCTGGATAAAGACCTCCAGCACTATAAGTCTATGTGAAGATAAAAGCATAAAGTTTTATCTTGGTCCTGAACAAATGTTGCATGAACCATCTATAAGGCTCAGTCAGTGTGGATGCACAGAACAAGGACTTATTTATTGTGGCATCACTTGTTTGGGGACACTCCTCCAGGAGAAGCCTGGTTTTTGTTTCACCAAGCTTTTGTGGTTTTCAGAGCCTAGTATCTTTTGTCCTTTTTCCACTCTCCCACCCTCATCCCAAATATAAGGCCTCGGGTTCAATCTCTGACATTTCAAGGAACTGCTGGGCATTCCTCCCATCTGAAACTGCTGAACTACAGCTAGCCACTGTAGTAGGGTCAGCATTCAGCTAAGTGAACTAATGGTCTGACAGTATAAGGCGGCTTCCAATTTCCTTCCTTGCAAATTGCTTAGATACTGAGAGATGACATTTCAAGGTGCTGATGGCAAATTCTAGGGCATGTTTTGCATGGAAATCAGGCCTCTAGAGAAATCATCTTGCTCAGTTCCAACCATGTGTTATCCTTTCTACATGAATTACTTTTCAAAGATCTCCCCCATCCACACTGCAAATTAGCCAGCTAAGGAACTCTTGGATGTATCTAAGCAACTGCCCCTGTATGGTTTTTGTTGTTGTGGGTGGTGGGGAGGCACCCAAAAAAAAAAACATTAGCATGATCCTTTACCTATTCCCAATATAGTACCAGTAGCGCTCCGTCTAAGGAAGGGAAAGAAAGGGTTGGAGAAATCTGATAGAGTTAACGGTACTTCTGTTCTCACAGTGTTGATTTAAAATGAGGTTGAATGAACAGTGTGATGGGAGATGGAGATCCTTACCATCTTAACTCTAAAATGATGCAAGGCTCTTTTAGTTGGGTTCCTAGGGCTATGATTTTCATCACATTTTGCAAGCACATAGCGTCACTTTCATGCCTTGTGAGAAAATGAAAGTTGCACAAATAGGGAGAAATAGATTTCTAATCTTCAAGAGAATCACAGTTGCTTTATACACCCCCTCTGCCAATGTGAATTCATTTGTTTAATCAGGTTAATGGCATAGTTGGCAGGTGCAAAAACCCAACAGTTGTAAGATTCCCAAACTGCCTCCTTCCTTACAGATATGATTGTGCCCAATGAGCTGTATTGTGTTGACACTTCTGCTCCCCAGGTTATACACATCTTTGAGGAATATCGTTTTCTGTGTACCAGCTGAATTAACTAATTGTTCAAGCTGTTTGCCATCCATTTCCCAGGACACTGAGCGGAACAGACATTTCAGTTTTCAGAGTACTAATTCATGCTTATGACTGAGGGTATTCTCATAAGTGATACTAACCCCATTCAACCTCTTGTGGCCAGTTCAAATAAAACCTTTATTATTATGGCCAATGACCATTAAGAAACCAGGGTAAGAAACAAATAGAAGACATTATCCGGATGTGGAATAAAATAAAGTAATATAAGTCCCTTGTGGCATTTATGGATGCCTGTACATGATTTGCAAATGGCAGTTCATTGAAGGCCTTCACTTGGAAGGTGCACTTACCTTAGCCATTTAAATCTCAGTTGAAAATTAAATTATAGTTGAAAACAAGTGCTTTTCCAGTAAGTGCTCACTGTTAAAGCGATGTGTATTATTTTTGTTGCAGGATCTTTGTTCAGGACTGCCTTCTGGTCAGATCTGCCATGACGAACAGAGGCTAAAGGTTATATTTGCAGATCTGGCCCGCCATAAAGATGATGCCCAGCAACGCAGCTGGGCCCTCTATGAAGATGAAAATGTCATTTGCTGTTACTTGGAGGAACTGCTTCGTATTCTGGTAATTTCCTGCTCTGGCTTTTGCATGGCTGGAGACTTGGTTACTTTCTCAGAATTCTGTTCAGCAGAAATGTAAAATTTGATTTATGTATTATTTATTGAATTTATACCCCCACGTATCCTCCCGGAGGAGCCCCGAGTAGCAATCAAGAGAGGGTAACTTAGAGCTTTCCAAACTTTTCATGTTGGTGACACACTTTTTAGACATGCATCATTTTGCGACACAGTAATTCAGCTTTACCCATTAAACTAACCCCTTTCCAGCCCCAAGAGGAGCACGGGGAAGCGTTCGCTTAACACAACTACACACTGCAGCCAACACACTAACGTTGCGACAGTTTGGAAAGCTCTAGTGTAACTTTTTAGCTGGGGTGGGGGATGAAAAAAAATGATACAGATGCATTTCTGTTATATATGTGGCATGATAACCTTGTCTTGATCCATATCTCTCTTGAGAGGCCATCATGTGTACGAACATGAATGTGAACTGAAATGTGAAATTGCCTAATGTTGCTTGTTTTTAGAGTGAACTTCAATAGCGTTTCTAAAGTAAGGAGTCTGCAGGTGGGAATTTACATTAAAAGGCCGCCTCTTTCAGAAGAGGCATCTATTAGCAAGCGGGAAAGAAGTCCAAAACAACTTATACATCTCATATTTGGTGCATTTTAGTGAATGTTCATTGTTTAAGGATGTGATTGGCTCGAGGGGGTCCTTTTCCTCTTCCAGGACTGAAATTAAATTGGAAATTTGGGGGTTTTTTTGGGGGGGAAACCCTTATAAACTATTTTATCTTCCAGAATGAGAGATATATTACTTTATAGGTAGCAGCATGCTCTTGTTTCAGCAGCTTGCATAGTTCTCTGGAATTATATATGGGTTTTTTTGTTTGGACCATACATCTGTAGACTGTTTTTGCTTCAGGACAGAGACTTGTTTTGGTACTGAATATAACTTTAGTTTGCATTATATTAGTTTATGTTTGGGGAATGGAAAGATTGCGGTTTGGGACAGATCTGCAGGTTCATCTTGCATGGCTATTGTCAGAAACAACCCATTCTTGGTTCACTGGGAAACTGATTTTTCCATCCACATTTCCAGACCGATGCGGATCCTGAAGTCTGCAAGAAGATGTGCAAGAAGAATGACTTCGAATCGGTTATGTCCCTTGTTACATATTATCAAATGGTATGAGGCTGCAGTCAATATTTTTTGTTTCCAGATAATGGTAGAGGATGTTTTATCCCACGTTGATGGCCTTTCAGCTGATTCCCTGGTGGGCCACTGGAATGCAGAGTTAACCAGGGCTATCGACTGTCTGGCTCCAAAGTGCCCTCTCCGATTTCATGGAGCCCGGACAGCCCCGTGGTTTTCCCCAGAGCTGAGGGTGATGAAACAGTCGTTGAGACGGCTAGAGCGCCAGTGGTGGAAAACTCACTCTGAATCTGACCAGACACGGGTGTAGAGCTCCAGAGTGGCTGAGAAAACCCAGCCAGATGGGCGGGGTATAAATAAATTATTATTATTATTCTTGTTGTTGTTGTTATCATCATCATCACAGCTGCATGTAGGGGGCACACTGTTTTCATGTAATCCTTGTTCACAAATCAAAACTGATGGAGAGTTTTTGGGGACAGGAGTAAGTGAAAATGTGAACACAAGTTTACAACATTGTTGTCAAGAACCTTAACCTCCTCCTGGCATTCTCGGTTCCAGGAATATTTCTAATTGGTTTGTCTAGCCTGTGAATAGTGAACCTTTAGCCATCCGGGTGCTGTTGGAGTCCAACTCCCATCTGGCCAGTGGTTAGAGATAATGGATGTTGTAGTCTGGCAACATCTGGTGGGGGGCACAGTTTGCTCATGCATGGGCTTGCCAGTTAAATCAGGCAACTATGAAGGCTGTAGTATTCCACACTACGATCAAGTAGCCAAACAGTAAGAGCAAAGGAAGAATATGAGCATGCTGAGTGTGAGCTTAACACTGTAAATCTAGAGAGCGTAAGCTGTAAATGAACCCATAACAAAGGACTGCTTATTTCCAAAGTTTATTTGTGGCATCAGGAAAAGTGTGCCTGAAAACAAGCCTTATATCTGGGTCATGGACACATCTCTGCTAGCGGCTTGGAAGATAAATCTAGCTGCCCCTTATAAAAACACACAAAGGCACTCCACTCAGGAACAGAGGTAGCAGCTTTGCTGTCATCGAGAGGAAGGATTTCTGAGAATGCCTTGGGAACATTGGCAGGCTGTTCCTGCTCTTCTCTTAATTGATGCACATCTGTGCATTCATAAACAGCTTTGGGTAGGAAATTAGGTTATGAAGATACTTCTCTGGGACAAAGGAAGGAGATCAAGTATGCGGAGGAACATGTAGGTGTTTCTCTTTAGTGCCTGCAAGAATGCTTCTTTGCTCCATCCCTTTCCGAGGGCTCGCTGTTACAGCCATCTGTCCTAGATAATCCACTCTCCTATGCTTGTCATAATTAATTCATTTTATTTTAAACATGTTTTTATTTTTAAAAAATCCAACGTATGGAAAGTAGGGGGAGGTCTGTAGTTTACTGCTGGAGCATCTTATTTGCATGCAGAAGGTTCCTGGTTCAATGCCCAGCATCATCAGGTAGGGCTGGGAGATGGAGATATTCCTGTCTAAAACCCCAGACAGCCGCTACCAGTCATTGTGGTTGTGTCTGAACTAGATCGACCAACGATATGACTTGGTACGAGGCATGTTCCTGTGTGGTGAGAGTTGCCATTGTGACAGATAGTCAACTTGTATGGGTCAGAAATTAGTTTTACAAGTGTAATGTTTCCTTTCTGTGATGAAATATCTGAAAGGATCTTCACACACAAAAAGAAATTATAGAGGAGTTGGAGTTATTTATTAGTGGATAATTCATCTGTTCCCAGTTGTATCAATTAGGAGACTCTCTCTTGAGGAGTAAGCTTACTTTCCTCTAATCCCAAACAATACTTGGATTGCACTCTATCACAAAACTTGTGTGATGCTACAAATAGACACAGAAGGCAAATTGGAAGGTGGTAATAAGTGGGTCTGCCTCAAGTAGGAAGAGGTTTTCTGGCACTGTCTTGTAGTGCGCGGAGCTGGTTCAACAAGCCAGGAAGTCTAGGTTAACTGTCATTTCTCTGTACATCCAGTCCAGGAAACTGTGGTTAATAACTCCCAAACAATCTGTAGCCTCATATCTGGCTTGTTTAGAAGTCAATAACCATGGTTTCCAGGTTTATTGATTATCTTATTCATAAAGAACTAGGCAAGAAACACTAATGGTGAAATCTGGTTCGCCACCATTTTGCATACCGTGAAAGGCCAGCTTCCATGTGAACTCACTAACTTGAAACTGTTCCAGTGAAGATAAATGTACTCGCTTTGCTGAGCTCAGTTCTTAAACTAAATACTTAACCTCGGTGAGTACTGATAACAACCAGGAAGTATTTGCCTGGCATTTTGTCATTTAAAATTTGTCGTTTAAAACTTTTTAGGAGCACAGAGTGCCATTACGGCTACTGCTTCTGAAGTGTTTTGGAGCAATGTGCAACTTGGATGCTGCTATTATCTCTGCTCTGGTGAATTCGGTCCTGCCAATGGAGCTAGCTCGAGACATGCAGACTCATACCCAAGGTAAGGCAAGCTTATAAAATGGCTCTTGCTACATCTCTGCTGCTTGTCATGGAGATCTTGAGGTGGTATTATTATTATTATTATTATTACTACTACTACTACTACTGCTGCTACTACTACTACTACTACTACCTACCCACCCATCTGGGCAGCTTGTGAGGTATTGTGGGGTTATGAAGATTGGGCATCCAAAATAATTGTTACAGGTATTTGGACATCAGTCTAATCCACCATTGCAAGATTCTATGAGATGGGTGTTAGTAGGAAATTAAGACTGATGGGCACAGTGGAGTTTTGCCACCAAGTTGAAGCAGATAAGGGCTGAGGCTGGACTATAAACAGGAAGAGAAGAGAGTGAGGGAAAGTAGATCAGAAAGTACATTCTCTTACCCTTATCCTTGATCAATTGCCTGGCATTTCTTCCATCTTCTACATCCTTGGAAATCCTGTTGCAAGCTGAGGAAGTAGCTCACAATAACCAAAGAGAGAGTGCTTGAGTTTTAGTTTGGGTTTTGCAAGCATCTCCCGGGTAGCTGAGTGAGTAGTAAGGTGCTGGTCTATGTGTTTTGAGTTTACTGGCCTCCTTCTAAATGATCATTCAAGTAGCTTCTGTTTCCATTTCCCCAGCTAAACTCTTCAAATCTTGCTCATTCTGAATTGTTATGAATTTGGGCCCCTGGGATTGTAGTTGAATGTTCCGTTTTCAGTATTTGGCTTCACTAGCATTTCATTTAAGTGACTGCATGTCTCCCAGGTAAATCTTCAAGTGGCTCAGAAGTTGGCTTGGGTGAGTTTGGAGACCATTGATAAAGGTTCTATGATGGAAAGTGTGTGTAAATCTTGGGGAAGGGTGGCCTTGTTTATTTCTGATTTAGATATGAGGGAAGAGCAATAGCATGGATATGGCTGGGGGGGGGGTGAACTTGCCTGGTTCAGGCAGTTTAAAAAGGGCTGGTAGATCTTGATCTCGTGGGTGACCTCGTGTGAAGCCATGTCTTTGAAAGCAAAGTTTTGCAGAAGAAAAAGATTGGAAGTGCTTTCATTAGACAGAGAACATTTTTTATTAACTAGGTTTAGCAGAGCCAGCTACTTCTGCTCTTCGATATGCATAAAATATGCAGCAGGCTGAATAAATTAATTCTGCAGTTTGTTTATTGCTGCCAAGTGCCGATTTAAATCTCTTGGCTTTCTATCTGTTCCATGGCTTTGATGGGCAATGCATACATATCTCGGAGAAAGAAGCCCATGGTGTCTTTCTGGTGGGCTGTATCTTGTTTCCTTTCACCTTTTTATATTCAGCTGCTGAACATGGAATAGTTAAAAAAAAGAGTTGCTGTCTTTGGCCTCGCGTGTTGTCACCTGTTGCCATATAGTACACTGGCAAAAGAGTGGGAGTTTTATTGAGATTTAATGGGCTATTTGATTTTTTAAAAAATCAGTTAAGTATCCCTTAAAAATTATCTGGCTTAGTATCACATACACACACATGTGCTGCAACAGACTGCCACCATGGGAACTAGTTTAATTAGAACTCTGAAACTAATGCAAGCACAAATGATAAAGTCTAGACCCTTAATCTTTTAAAACTGAATCCATAATCCACTATCAAACGTGGCATTAACAGCCTGCTTTTCTATACAAATGAATAACCCTTTGAAGGTAAGCATTATAAATGATCATTATATGACTACCCATATTTGCATCCCATCCTTTGACTGAGCTCAGGGTAGTGAGCTACCTGTACAGGTGAATTACCTCACTTTATCCTCATAGCATACTAGTGAGAGGTTAGACAGATGGTGTTAGCTGTGTAAGCTTAACTCTGATCTTCCCAGTCCAAGTTCAGCGCTAACCTTTGCACCCCACTGCCTCCTGCGATACAATCCTGTTCAGGTCTGCTCAGTAGTAAGCTCCTCTGAGTTCAATGGGACTTCCTCTCATCCAGGTGAGCATAAGATTGCAGCTTTACCAGCTCTGGGTGGGATTCAGCTGCACAACATACATCCGCACAAGCATTTCAGCTTGCCATATGGAACAACTCCCCCTTCCTCTGTGTAGCTGTATACAGTGGAACGTCAGTTGTCGAACGTAATCCATTCCGGAAGGCCGTTCAATTTCCAAAACATTTGACAACCGAGGCGCAATGGGTGGGCGGAAGATTCCATTGAGAAACGCGTCTCGGAAGCTGTTCGACTTCCAAGGCACATTCGAAAACGGAAGCAATTACATCCAGGTTTTCAGCGTTTGAAAACCGAAACGTTTGGCTTCCGAGATACACGAAAACCAAGGTTCCACTGTATCTAAAACGAGGTTTGCTGTCAGACATCCCAAGGATTTGGAAGCTTAATGACTTTAATCTAGAGTTACGGGTTAGAGGGAACAACCGGACATTTACTAAATGGGTGCAATGTAGCTGTGGTAATGAGAAACTGTGTTCCATCTGTCTAGGGTGCAAACAGATCTGTTCGATAAGTCCAAACAGAGGCTCACTACACGGTTTCTTTGAAGAACAAAACTTTGAAGAGAATCCATTGGCCATCTTTAAGAAAACCACAGTTCTGTTTTGTTTCATTTGTCGCATTCAAAAACCATTCGAGGGGTACACTCGGGTGCTAAGCATAGGGTTGATATGTACCAGTAAGATGGCCTTTCCTCAGTGCAAGCAGCAAACAAGAGAGAGGGGATTAATTAAAGCCAGCAGAAGCACAAGGTAGGCTAGAGAACATGAATGCCCTGCGCTTGATCGGATGCAACTCTAAGCCTTGCTGAGCTGCAAGGGGATGAGAGGGAATGCCAGGCTGCCGTTATCTGCATACAGATAGCCAAGATTGTTCAGCCCTGAAGGTATAAAAAATTGGACAGTCACACTTAACACAAATAAAATGGGAAAACTACAGAGCAGAACTAGCATGGGGGAGCAGGCGGGCGATATGTGTTCTTGAGTGGGTGGGATGGTGATCTGGGAGATGGCAACTGGCTTCTCACGCAACGACCCAGCTATGCTCTGTGATACATTCATTCATTCCCTGTGTTGCTGTAATGCAAATATGATCTGTGCCTGCACTTTATACTTGTTATGCTTATAGATGTCTGAGCTTTCTCTTTATCACAGCAGTTTATTGATTGTCCACAGTGTCTGAAGTTGTTAGCATTTTTTATCTTGGCATGCAAAAGTCTCTGTAAGGGTGTTTATTTCTGCTGGTTAAGATGGCAGTACTTGAAGCTGTAGTTCTCATTGTTCACTCTAGCGGGAAGCTTGCCTGGATTTCAAGATTAGTCCTAGCTTGCTGGCATCTAAAAATAAACTTTCGGCTCCATACATCACTAATTTATAAGTTCGTCTACAGGCAGATGTTTTTATTCTATACTCCGTATTTCTCACAAATGGATTCCTTTTTTCATCTACTGCTTGGATAATTCAGAGTTCAGGTGCCCTTTTAGACCTCTAACTTGTCTTTGCTGGGGGGCTCTGAAAAAGAAGGTCTTTTTTGTCTCCTGTTTCTTCCTTCCTCCTACAAGTCTATCTTGCCAGAGCTGTGTGGTAGCACCTGCACAACCTGGCCAGCCAATTTAGCTGTCACCAAATGTGCAGACCATGTTCTCCTGGTAGCTGCCCTGGGCTGTTCCTTTGTGATCTCCCTACAGATAGTACCTTCCAATCTTCTAGAGTCAGCCTCTGGCTTTGTGGCCAGTAGTTGCTTACTGGTTAGTATTAACTAGCTTTTGTGCAATTGCGCCCTAACAGTTTTGTTTTTCAGTTCTGTGCGCTTCAAATACAATACAAATAAGCTGCTAGGGGAAGAGACCATAAGGCCAGATTATAAATATTACATATGCTTTTGTTTGACTGAAGCATCTGCTTCTGGAAAGGTATTCTGCCCCATGCCCTCCTGTCACGTTTATTTTCAGCTTGAGCATTTTCTATCCCCACACAGCACATCTGAGGAGCATTCATCTTGCGCACACACTATTGCTCATGTGTTAGCAATGGCAGACCTTGACAGGTATGTGATTTTGACAGCCCAAACTATCCAGCGCTTTCCCTTCATGTCAGTTACCAGTTCATTTGAAATAACACTTCACAAGGAAACAGGACTGATCACCGAGACAATGAAAAAGTGGCAAAGGACAGTGAATACTTTGCCACCGGTCCATGTCAGCCATTTCTTTCTTTCCAGGGGCCATTTTGTGCAACAGTGCTTAGATGATTTCTTTTTCTTTTTTTGCTGTTGCTGTCACAAAACTGTAAACAGATTCTCTCATGAAAAATGACCTTGAGTGCTGGAGTGATAGAGGCTTACTTTGTTGCTTGGAACTTGGGAATCGAGGCTGATCTGTCTTCTGATAGACTGCAGAGCATCTAATCCCTTTTGCGGATGGCAAAGAGCAGAGCAATCCATGCCAACTCTCAGGCGGCTGGGGATTGTTGTCAAGCCAGAAGCAAGCGTTCCATTGGATCCTGCCTGGTGCTTAAAGAGGAATACTGGAGGCTAAAGCTCTCTGCATGGATTCTGGATGCTTTTGATGAAATAATGCTTTCCCCTTGTGCTGATGCAAGCACCTTGGCTGCCGTCCAACTTTTTCTGCTAGATGCTTCTTGCCCCTGGACAGCCACTTTCCTGTGGTGCTTCTAGTCTGCAAATCTTTTCCACATGGTATTTTTTGGGGGAAGCTTATTATAAGACGCAGCAAGGCAGTATTAACTAGAACAATTCTGTTTATAATCCACTCCTGTAATCAACTGTCCCTTGTCATTGCTACATAGAGACACAACACTGCTGTCAGTTCTACATTTTTCTTTTGCTCTCTCCTTTTTTATGAGCTTCACTTTTCGAGCCCTTCCAAAGTCCTAATCTTCCTTTGTTGCATTTGTGGTCCAGAGGATTAGCTTTGTGGTTAAGTTCAGAAAACATTCAAGTTGACTCAGAACTCTGGGTAATGCGGTTTTCATTTCCTCTGCCCTTCATAAACTGGCCTCAGCTTTGTGTGTAGTGTCAGTCATCAGAGGTCCCCCCTGGTGAATTGCAGTACTGTGTCTTCAAAGTGAATTGGGTTGAATCGTGGTTTTTTTAGTCTTCGTAGAGCTACTGGTAACCCTTTCCCCTCCTCCTTTAATATGCCCAGGATAGAAAAGTGACTGGTCACATTTGCTAAGGACGCACCATTTTGCCATGGCTTAAGAGAAATGCACTAGGTGCTCAGAACAAATCTTAAGGTTTTGTATCAATGAATTTAGCATGCACTGAATAATTGAATTAGCTTACATATTGCATTCGGCTTCTAGCATTCCAGATATATTTCTTACAAATCTTTAATTGCCTTAGCTCTTTTCATTCCTCCGCAAGTAACTGCTACCGGGTACAATACCAGAGAAGAAGGTAGCAGGGGCCAGTGGCAGCTTGTACATTGCCACTTACCACTGCTGCCCAGTGCAAAACCTGCTGCAGTGATGGCTAGATATCTTTAGAAAGCCCATCAGCCCCAAATAGTTCCTTGCCTAGAATCCCCATACACTGGTGGGCATGCTATTTGAATAGCAGAGACCCTATACAGCAGAGCATGTTTCATTGTTCTGCTCTTTCCTTGTTTTAGTTTTAGGGTGCTTTTGAGTTGTTGACATATTGTCAGATCATGTATCATTTCCCCCAGTTTCTTTATCCTTTCTCTTGGCTAACTGGGGCTTCTGCTCCTTGACTCCTTTCCCAGGCAGCCAAAGGCCTTCTCCCAGGCAGCTGCACCCATAAACAAAGCTGATGGTGTCTGGACACGAGAGTTTCCCCTAGAATGGCACATTTGCTGGTAAAATCAAAGAGCGAGGTACCTATGAAACATTGGCGCTCCCTAACCTGTTCTGGAGCTTCAGGGAAACCTGTGTCCAACCCTGCCACAAATTCTTATGTTCATCTGCCTGACTGGTGGTCACATCCAGCGGAGGGAGATGGTTATGCCAGATGAAAGTTGGGACCCATCCGGGAAACAAAACATGTTGAGAGAGAAATGGACAAATCCACACTTTCGAAGTCCAAGTACTTTCCTGCTAATCGTCACATAGAGTACATAACCCAAGTATTGGCCTATACAGAAATGAGCCAACTTTTACTGGGTTATTCATCGCTGCACATAATAACTAGGCTGTGTAAACCTCTCCATGCTTTAATGATCTCTTGTAAACAGTGCAGTGCATATTTCATTGTGGCCATATGCCCTATCATGTGGCGTTTCTTATTTAAACCCCTACTGGAACATGCCAACTAATTAAGATTCAGGAAAGGCAGTGGCTGTGATTCTGTGGAGCGCTCATGTATAGATGCTGCCAGTGAAAATTGTGCTATACTAGCAGGCTGCAGGACAGGTTGATGCATGAGGTACAAATGTGCACTGGAAAGGAAGCGAAAACGCACACCTGGAATAGTCTGAATCTCAGGTGACTTGTAGCCAAACTATTGCTGATTTATGGGAAAGAAATGTGTTCTACAGGAACGGCTGTAAAAAACAACAACACCAAACCAAATTACAACATATGTGAGATCTTGAAATATTATTTGTGGTAGGGGAAGCTGTTTAACCCAGTTTTATTATATTTTTTAAATTGTCCTTCTTTTCTTTCACGTAGGAGCTCAACACAATTAACAGCAAAGCAAACAAACTAATCCACATACAAAGGGCAGAATTTAATGTGTGAGCAAATTTCCAATCGTGCCCAGTACCTCCCCTTTCCCTCTTCCCCCTTGCAGCCCCCCCCCCCCACTATCCCAAAATCTGTTCCAGAGGCTCCCCATACCTTTTGGAGAAGACTCTGAGGTCAGTGGAAGGCTCTGGGAAGTGGGGAGAAGAGCGGTGAAATTCCTCTGGGCAAGCAGAAGTCTGTCCTTCTCCAGCACAGCATTTGATAATGTGCCGTACCCCCTGTTTTATTAAAAAGCAATCAAATCAGAATTTAATACTACAATAATACAATTAGCAGTCAGAGAAATAGGAGAAGAGGTCCTGTCCCGATGTGCCTCAGTAACGAGTTAAGACCAGTAATTTTTATTAAATCCATTTTTCTTTAAATGTGTGCTCTAATGCCTTAACCAACCTTGTTTTTCCTTTGAAAAGCAAGTTTATCCTCCACAGTGAACTTCATTTGTGTAAAATTTACTTCCGGTTTGGTCTAGTCAATTTTACCAATCTGAAATGTATTGGGCAAGAGGTGATTGGAATTAGGAAATATGAAAGCAGGGACTGAATAGATTCTTTCCTCTACTGCCGATTATGTTTGTGCTATTAGAGCCAATGGATGGAGGCACCCTTTGCAGTAAGGAGTAAGTCACTACCATTTTGCTCAACAGCAGGGGTGGCTAATCTGTGACTCTCAGGTGTTTATGGGCTACAACTCACATCGTCCTTTACCATTAGGTGCTGGTGGGACTTGGAGTCCAACAACATCTGAAGGGCCACAGATTTCCCATCCTTGTCCTGCAGAAATCAAACTCGGTTGCCTTAACCAGACAGAATGGATATCTGAAAGGTCAGTTAGAATTAACATAGAACAAGGATTGTAGAAAAAAGAAAAACCCAGCAGACGTGGAACTTGGCCCTTGCCTTTTGCAGTGACATGCTGGTCTTTGGACCAGATAAAAGGAACCTGTGGACCTCCAGATCTTGTTCAACTCCAAGTCCCATCAGCTTTAGCCAGCATGGTCAGGGGTCGGGGATGGTGAGAATTATATAGCAACATTTGGCAGTGGGCAAATTCCCTATATTTAAACTTAACAGTTCTGCATGAAGCTCTTGCATACTCCACTTCAAGACTCAAGACTTTGTTGACGGTATCAAATATCGAGAGAAATGTACCGTATTGGCCCAAATATAAGCCACACTTCCCCCCCCAAAAAAATATATTTCAACTGTGTAAAGTTAAAATGTGGTTTAATTTGCGACCTTACAAAAATTGGCTGTTATGATATCATTGCTGAAACACATACAGTAAAACGGAACGGGTGTGAGTGCCAGCAGAATTTTAAGGGAGCGGCTTATATTTGGGTATTGTCTCCCCCCCCCCTTGAATTTTAAAGGTGCGGTTTATATGCAGTTGCGCATTATATTCAGGCCAATGCGGTATCTGTTTAAGAGCTGACACCATGCCGGAAATGTAACGCATATCTTCTGATCTGCTGCATTCATTGTATAATCTATTTTTCCATCTTGACTTTTTTCAATGTGGCAGAAATTTTGCCTTAGGGAAGAAAAAGAGCAGACCTTCAAGCAAGCCAGCTGCCTTCCTTCAATGGCTGTTCTAGATGCCTGCCATGTTTAGATTGCATGAGCATGTGCCCTGGCGCAGGTGTAACTGAACTCGTGGCTTTCTTTTCCAGACCATCAGAAGATGTGCTACTCTGCTTTGGTGCTGGCTATGATATTCTGTATGGGAGAACCGCTGCCATATCATCACTATGGTGAGAAAAAGCTCCACCACAGGGGGTGGATGGCAAGCTGCCACTGAGCAGAGGATTTCTGCAGCTTTTTTAACCTATAATTAAAGAGAGACAGCTTGATCCGAGATTGCTCTCCACAGTCTGGGAAACGGCTCACCAAAACGCTTACAGGGAATATGAGAACTGGATGGAGCCCAGATGAGTGAAAACTTGCTTGGTCTTCCCTTCAGAACTGTGTGTTGAATTCAGCTTCCCCGAGATCAGGCAGGGCATTTGTTGGAGGGCAGCCATATCTTTCTTATTAGCTGATAAATTACCCTAAGCCTTCAACTCCGTCCTTCCACAGTCTGTGTCTGTCTGTCTATTTCATTTATACCCCAAGGAGCTCAAAGTAGCATACATAGTTCTCCTCCTCATTTTATCCTCACAACAACCGTGTGCACTAGGTTATGATGAGAGCAGGGGAGACTGGCCCAAGGTCACTCAGTGAGTTTCATGGCTGAGTGGAAATTTGAACGCTGGTCTCCCAGATCCTAGCCAGGCACTCTGACCACAACACCACGCTGGCTCTCAGTAAACCACCCTTTCAGGGCAAACAGCAGGTTGGGAGGAGCAACCTTTCAAGGGAAAATATGCAAGAGGAAAGGGGTTAAATCTCCCTCTCCCAGCACCATAGTCACCAATCCTAGTCCCTCTCCCCAAGAGCTGTGTTTAACCAGCAGGTGGGTGGGGCGAGGGCATAACAGGGATCCATACTTGGATTACCCCTCTTTTATCATCTAGTTTGGGTCCTCAGTTAATGGGAACTGTTTGACCTTGGTGACTGCTTAATACGAATACAATACAATATGATCCATTTAATGCACATCAGATACAGACTTCCTGTCTTTATCAAGTTTCATTTATTTCAGTGGATCTACTCTGATTAGGACTTAAATACAACTCAAACAAATAACCCCAGTGTCTCATTTGCTACTCATTTGTGAAATGTAGTGGCTGGACTTACAGCTTTGCTCCACATACCAGAAATCACATCCCCTGTGGAGTCTTTTAAAAATGACAACAGAACAAAAACATTTCTAAACATATTTTATTTTGCACAGAGCACCTCAATTCCCAGTTTGTCCAGTTTCTGTTGGATGTGATTGAAGATGGGTTGCCATCAGACACCACAGACCAGCTGCCTGACCTGTTCATTAATGTTCTTCTGGCTTTTAACCTTCACATTCCAGGTGAGTAATAAAAGTTTTCCCAGCTGAGATGATGCCAAGGTTTGCAGTGAGCTGTGGAAGATCTTTCACTGTACTTTGTTTAAGTTGCAAGAAGCCTCTGTCTAGGTTTTGGAATGGGTAAGATACAGATTTAAATAAGACACTTGGCCATGCTCTACAGGTGGAAAGGGAGCAGATTTACATTTCTGAAAATATGAGCTCAGGTATTATTAAGGGAGATTTAAACTGCTTCCGGACTTGCCAGCAAGCTCTCATTTCTGCACCTCTTCCTTGAGAGGGAACGCTTTCTTGCCAACTTGGTAAACATGGTTGGCAGTTTTCCCCTTGGAACTTTACACTGACCTATCAGAGCTCTCCTTTTGCACTGTGATTAGTATTTCCAATTGGCTCAGCAACATGCACACATCTTGGCGCAATTCAAGATTAAATCCACAGTCACCTCCTTTCTAGCCAGTTCCATGGCCAGCTCTTCTAGGGCACTGTCATTTGAGGTGTCTAGAAATTTTGCCTCTTTGTCTGAGTCAGAACACACACTTGCCCAGTCTGTGTGAGGCACACTGAAGTCATGCATTATGATCGTGCTTTCTACGTTGGATTCTTCCCTGAAGGTATGTCTTCAGTGCAGAATTAGTTTGAGGCTGGCACTGCCCCCTAGAATTATTCTTTGGATGAAGTTGTTCCATTGGAGAGTCCTGGTTTGTTTGGCACTGTGCCCTCTTTGATGTCCACAGTATGCCCTTCCCTGTATCCCCCCACTTCTCTTTCCATTTGGTTTCCTTTTTGCCCACTACATCTATGGCCCCCTTTTAAAAATGAGCACGCCTATTCTACTGTCTTGATTTGGAGGCTTCTATTGGTAGCATATAAATACCTATACATGTTTCCCCCTACACCCTTTAGCTTCCTTGACTGGCTGTATGCTCATTGTTTAATATTAACCTGTCAGTATTAACCTGTGGACAATCAAAAACAGTTTCATCCTCCCCCCCCCTGCTTTCTCCAATAGGTAAAGTGTGCATGTGAGAACTGCAATTTCATAGTTGTGCTCCATGAAATGTGGAGACTCAAAGCTGGGGTGCTGGGAGGAAATTCCAGTCTGAGACCTCGTTGTAACAAGTACTGGGTCCTTAGCAATGCAGTTAACTGGGCATCTTCCTCCTTTTGGTGATTGGCAGGTGTTCTGCTTATCCCTTGCTGTGCCTTGTGAATTTCATTAGCTGTAGAAGCATTGTAGGTTATTCCTTATAATGGTATTCTGCTGGGCAGCACTTTCTCCAGGAATACTTGATCTCCCCTTGTTCCTGCCAGGCTGAGCCTTTTGGGAAGCAGCTTAGCTTAGCCTTGCTGTTGGTGATTGCAGGCACTTTTTAATGTAATTTTTTGAGTGAGCAGTCATAAGCAGGTCAAAACACACCGTGGTATCAGGCTGCATCTTGTTAATCCTGAATATCTTGGCAAATTATTACGCTGCCAAGTTCTCATGGCCTTGCCTTAATTGCTTTCTGCTTTTGCATAGGATGCCTTTCTACCTTGGCTTCATGAAGTGGAATGGATTAAGCAGCTATAAACACATCCAGTAATTTGCCACATAGTATTTAAGGGATAACATCATTAAGATATGGGTTATAGTAAAGTGTGTGTGTGTGTGTGTGTGTGTGTGTGTAAATAAATAAATCTGTTGCATTATTAATCACCTAATAGAAATGGATTTAAGTCTATTTTTTCTTCCTTTTTATTCATTACAGTTTTATTCTTTCAGTGCTGGCTAGTTTGAGTAATTACACTGTTTCACCTGACGGGCAGAGCATTTATATGAATTATTTTGCGCCCACCTGGGGTACAGTGGGAAACTGGAACTTAGTCAAGAACTTAGAAACTACTGCTCAGCCTCTTTTTGGACTGCATTTCTTTTTGTGTGGAAAAAAGTCTATGTCTTTCAAGCCACCAGAGTGTGTAATGCAGAAAAGGCCACAAATTCTGCTTCTCTGAAACCTGTTCAGTGTGTGTGTGTTGTCTTCGGCATGACGCTTTCTGAAATGTTACAGATATTTCCCGGCATGTAGAGGTTCTACCGTTTTCTTCCCTGACACATCTCTGCCTTTCTGTTGTCTGGCTCTGATTTGCCCTAAGAGTGCCAACTAGTAGTAGACACAGCATTCAGTAAGTGCAGATGGAGGGAGCAGTAATGGAGGCAAAGACGTCACCATGGCAAGTTGAGGTCCTTTGCAAATTGCAAGGGACGGCAAGACAGAATCAGTTGTCTTCTTCCATCCTTATGGGTTTCCCTGCCCACTTCATATATAGCCATATTGTATGGTAGGGGACGCGGGTGGCGCTGTGGGTAAAACCTCAGTGCCTAGGACTTGCCGATCATATGGTCGGCGGTTCAAATCCCCGCGGTGGGGTGAGCTCCCGTTATTCGGTCCCAGCTCCTGCCCACCTAGCAGTTTGAAAGCACTCTTAAGTGCAAGTAGATAAATAGGGATCGCTTTCTAGCAGGAAGGTAAACGGCGTTTCCGTGTGCTGCACTGGTGCTGGCTCGCCAGCTGCAGGTTCGTCACGCTGGCCATGTGACCCGGAAGTATCTTTGGACGGCGCTGGCTCACGGCCTCTAGAGCGAGATGAGCGCGCAACCCTAGAGTCGGACACGACTGGCCCGTACGGGCAGGGGTACCTTTTACCTTTACTATGGTTCTGAAACAAAAACAAATAAGCCCAAATTCTTATTATAACCATGTATCTCTTCCATCCTTGGCCTTCCAAAGCAACTTGCAGTTGAAAAAGCATAAATAATGAAGAAGAAAAAAATCATGTAAAAGTGGCAGCACAATCTTAAGGAAGAAGATTCTTTATTTAAGGAATAAAGCACAAAAACATAAAATAAAATAGAAAGAAATCTTTAAAAATATTCCTCCCTACACATGAATAGTAATGAGATTGTTGTTCATGAAACAAGGGGTGGGAGGTAGCTGGTGCAAAGTCAGGTGAACTCAGACCAATGGTAGCCCTGATTGGGCAGAGGCTATGGCATCTCAATGTTGTTGATTTTTTTAAAAAAAAATCATTTGCATTCATTTGCTGCCTTCATTACAAGTTGTTCAGGATGGGAGTATGAAACATACAAAATTAAACTCAAACCAGACTGTGAAATACTAGCTTTTTCACAGGGAGGAAGGGAGCTGTTGACTACTTACTCCTGTCTCTTCCTCCTGCACTTCCATGCCCATGCTGTGTGATAGAATGGCATCAATTATGGAATGTGCGGAAATAGCGGTGGGCCTCCACTGCGTGGCATTGTCTGAGCCTCTTTCTGGCTTCTTCCCATCCCCTGTGGTGGTGTAGCGTAAGTAAGCTCAATTTTCTATATGGTTGTCTGAATAATCTTGGCTTCTTAGTTGAGCAGGTGTAGTTTGCTGACTGGAGAGCAGGGAGTTTCACATTACCTAGCAAGACATATTTCTGCAGCTGAATTTTGCAGCATAAACCCTGATGACTATTTCAGGAGCAAGCTGTGAGCCCCTGTTTTGAAACAGTGCCTGACGCAGTGACTAGATGCAAACGCACACAGTAGAAATGAAGAAGTGTGTATTGTATAAGTTAAACATTTGTTCTAGAATCTTCGACCAGATTATGAATATGGGCTTCCGTGGCTTTAATGCTTGATAATGGCTAGTAGCAAATTCAGTAGTTTCATGTATGAAAATAACAAAAAGCTATATTTTTAAAAAAGAAAGTAGAGGTATTGATTTTTTCCCCCAGGTGTATAAATAATAAAGAAAACTAATAAATGGAGGATACAGGTGACAGCCCAAAGGTTGCGGAGGGGATACATGTATAAAATGAAAATGGCATTTTTAACGGACAACTACATTACAACACTGGTTGCATCATAACAAGGCTTCATACAGCAAGGGTTTCTCCAGATGACATATTTCTTGAGCATTCATCTTGACACGCTTACCGAAAGTTTATACAGAGTCAGTTGTTTACTGAACATTGGTCCTGATTGGTTTGCGAGGAAGTTATATGACAGTGAACAGTCATTCTGATTTGCTTGCACCATGTCTTTGTTACTTCATTTCATTTCATTTGTTCATTTATTAAATATACTACCCTTCATCCAAAGATCTCAGGGCAGTTCACAAGATAAAAATACAGGATCAAAGTGCAAATAAATACAGTGCTACATCAGTTTAAGAACTGCCTGGTTTAAGAACGATTTGATTTACAAACTCCCCAAAACCAGAAATAGTGTCTTGGTTTGAGAACTTTACCTCGGTCTACGAATGGAAGCCGAACGGTGGAAGGGCACCGGCGGCGGGAGGCCTCATTAGGGAAAGCGTGTCTCAGTTTAAGAACAGTTTTGGTTTAAAAACGGACTTTCGGAATGGATTAAGCTCATAAACTGAGGTACCACTGTAGTGAGAACAAAAAACAAAACCATAAGCCACCCCCCAAACACTTTTAAAAGGCCATAGAATATTAATCAGCTTGACATCTAGTATAATGAGAGAGCGAGAACACCCTTTCCCTATCTACTTTCTCCACACCAAGCATAATTGTATACACCTCTGTCATGTCTCCTCTTACCTGCCTTTTCTCTAAACTAAAATGTCCCTTGCCTCCATTCCTTTAATAATTTTGGCAACCCTTTTTATTGTGATCTTGCTTCAGCTCTGCAGTAGCTGTACATGGCATTCCCGGTGCAGTCCCACCTTAGGCAACAGCATTATGATATTGATATGTTCGTGTTTGTGAGACCTGATGGAAGTGGGATGTGCATCCGGGTTGAGCGATCACTGTGGGGTAAACAACACTAGCCCTGTTCAGTCATTGTGCTTGGTTGCAAGCCTTAAACACAAGCAGAGACAAACATACAGAGCTCCACCATTACCCATGTCGCTATCCCCATTGTGGAGGATGTCTATGAAGCAGGGAGCCTCCTCTACTAATAAAAGATTCCCACACATTGTAGGCTCCTGAATAAGTGGTGTTCTCATTGGCACAGAGACCCTCCACTTATAGAGAGAGACCCCTACTTTGCATCGCGACGCTCCAGAAGTTGGGGGTGGGCAGTGGAGATGTGTCTTCCCCCCAGCTCTACCTATCACTGATAGGTATTGTAACTAAGCCAGTTTTAGGCAGCTGGTCACTTCTAATAAAGCCTGTTTTATTTCTTAGTGCCTGAGCATAATGTGATCATGGTTACCGTGAGCAAGCACCCCAATGTCAAAACCTTCACAGAAAAGCTGCTTCTTCTCTTGAATCGTGCGGGTGAGTTTGTCTGCAGGTTTCTATTACTGTTTCGAGATAACGGCAGCACTAATGGCCAAGTAGATCTGAAGAGTGGCACCTGCCGACATTGCAGAGGAGGGATAATTGGCAAACAGTTTCTAAGCTCCCGTGAAGTTTTCTGCCTTTTAAAGTTTCTAGGCCAGGGGAGTTGGTTCTGCCTCTGTGGTATAAGGAGATTGACCTGCTGGAATGCAGGTAATTGCTCAGTTAGTGGCAGAACGGCATGCAGTGACCTTATCTGGCCAAAGAGCTGTATTCCAGGTGTGTAGAACTAGACAAAGCGCCGTATGGAGTGCAGCTCCCCCAACATCTTAACCATGGTGTCCTTAGAACTGTATTTTGGGGAACTGAATTTTTAATAGCTGTTTGCAATCACTTTGGAGTGCCTTGGTTGCGAAGCAGAATAAAAATATAATAAATATTTAGTACAAAGCTCTGTGCAGCTGTTTCTCAGGGATTTTGAGATCTGTATAACCAGGGAAGATGGTATTGAATAAAGGATCTGGTAGCTGATGTGAAATCCTAATAACCCTTAAAAGCATGCTTTTTAAAAGCATGCTTTCTATCCTTGGTAGTCACTGTAACAAACCCAAGGGACTCCCACCTTTGTTCTGTATTTTGCTTCTGCTTTTCCCTTCCCTCCTTCAAAAGGATTTATGGTTTGACAAACTGGTCTTGCCATCAGCTTTGGATCTATACTGATTCTCTTTGTGCCCAACCTCCAGTGATATTTTGAAACCAGGGTGTGTGAGTGGTTGTGTATGTCTCAACAACTGGATTTTCTTCCCCATTGGCACACTCTGTGAACCAGAAACCTCCAGAGTCTAGCTTCTTAGGGGATCCTGTTGTGTTTTCTTCCTCTCCCAACCCACCAGCTTTTCAAGTAGCCCACCTATAGAATACTTTGCCGGCGCTGAACATTGTGTTGAGTGTGCTGTAGAGCCTATTGTAAAGCACTTCATTAAAGCAGGAAAGCATAGTTCCCCTACACTCTCTAATTCCCTAAGTATTCTACCTATGCCTGCCTAACAAAGGATTGTGTGGACTAATGTATTTAGGAGCATGGGGGTCCTGCTTGCTTGTGTGTGTGTTCAGGCTCCCTTTACTTTGTTGATTTGCTCTTAAATAACTTCCTGTGTTTCATGCTTCTACTTTATCCCTGGTTTAAGCCCTTTTCCAGACTGAAAATGATGTTCTTAGCACACTTTTAGCTTTTGAATCTCCTTGCTTTGGCCTCCTTTCAGATCCTTAGTTGTTGCTAGAAAGCCTACTCTTGACACCTCACTTTGAGTTTATTTCTCAAATGCCAAGACTTAAGCAAGGTTCTCCTTGATCGCCTCCCTACAGCTACCGTCTTTGTCCCTTGTGCAGGAGTATATGTCCTGCACTTACACTTTTTCATGTACGGAGCTGCAGTGAAGTGGTCCATGGAAGAAGTGGGTGTCTTAGGGGGTAAGCTAAATGTTACAGTTGTATGATCCATGTGTCACAATACAGTTTATGCCAATTTTCTATAAAGAGAGGCGCTGATAGAGAATACAAGGCGAGGGTAATGCACTTGTGGAAAGCTTTCTCTCTCCTCCTAGGGCAGTACTGCAATGGGGAGGGAAATCTCTCTGCTCTTCAAGAGACTGGTTTCTTTGCTGCTCAGAAACTAGCTAAGCCTCTCCGTCCACGCACATTGTGTATAAATTGCTTCCTTCGGCTAAAGGGAGCTCGTGTCTATGCATGTCACAACAAGCTTCTTTCTCTCTAACTTGTGATCAGACGACCCCGTGTGCATCTTCAAGCACCAGCCGCAGCCGCCCCACTCCGTGCTGAAATTTCTACAGGACATCTTTGCCAGCAAGGACACGGCAAACATCTTCTACCACACAGACATGATGGTGATGATCGACATAATTGTGAGGCAGATTGCAGATCTCTCTCCCGGAGAAAAGGTACTTACAGAAAGAAAAAGAAAGCCCATGCCTCCTCTTTGGAAGTTTGAAAAAAGAGAGGCAGAACTGAACATGAGTGAAGAGGTAGAAGCTTCCTGGTGTGTGTCTGAATGGATAGACAGCTCTTCCAGCTTGCAGGCATTTGCCACACACTTAAAAGCATATCTTCGCATCCAGCAGGGTTAGAAAGATGCTTTTTTTCATTTTAAGAAAAAGTAAAGCTCTTAAGAAGCCAAAAGGGACAGCCAGTGCTACAGCTTCTACCTTTTGTCGGTGGGGTTTGTGTACCGGCTCTGAGGCTACACTTGCTGTATCATGAAGGTGCATCTCCTGGTCGTGATGGAATGCTAGAAGCACATTATGCCAATGCTCTAGAACTGCAGTCTTCAACCTTTTCAGACCCAGGGCCCATCTTCAACCCAAACATGCATTTGGGGACCCACTGCTTAAGTTTTCAGCCACATATTTGTGTGGTGGAAGCACTGCTGTTGTGACTCACCATAGATCAGGCCACAGTCCGATACAGTTGTACCTTGGAAGTTGAACGGAATTGGTTCCGGAAGTCCGTTCAACTTCCAAAATGTTCGGAAACCAAAGTGTGGCTTCTGATTGGCTGCAGGAAGCTCCGTCAGACATTCGGGTTCCAAAGAACGTTCACAAACCAGAACACTCACTTCCAGATTTGTGGCATTCAGGAGCCAAAACGTTCAGCTTGCAAGGCGTTTGGAATCCAAGGTATGGCTGTATTAGGTCCTGAACCACCTGTTGAAGACTAATGGTCTAGAGTCTGCATTTGCCTCCTAGGACCAATTCAATGTGCTCCTGTTTTGCAATGAAGTTCTAATAGGTTTGGGGCACCAATATTTTGGCATCTTTATTCTGAAATCGCTTTAATATCATCCTGATAGCATTTGTGCTCCAAAAGCTCAAATGGGCACAAAGGTTGTGTTTTGTTCTAGTCTTTCCATTGCTGAACTACTTTTTCTAGTGATTCACTAAAAGCCTGAATTATGCATGCATAAGATATATTTTTATATTTCATAGTTGCAAAGAACATCTGTTCTTAAAGCTGTCACCCATCTCAAACTTTTTCCGATAGGCTAGACTACAAGACCAATAAATATGCATGGCTGACAGGATCTTTTCAGAGGAGGGCTTCTCAGTTTATTGGGCCTTTGGCTGGTTAAGGTTGGGGATTTTAGCTGTCTCACTTTTTGGATTCACACAGTGAGCCTGAAACCTAGAGGGATGTTTCTCTGAAGCATTATCTACCATCTCCTTTCTCCCCTGTGTAAAGCAATGAGGCTGTATATTCTAGAGTCTGCATTCTTTCTGGCCAGGGTTAGTTGAGTAATTGTTCTCATCCCTGAAGCTGCTTGAAATGGAAGAGGCACATCTAGCACTGGGATGTTGTTTATTGAGCCACCTGAGTCCGAGTCCAGTTGACTAGTATTTGAAAGCCATTCAGCTAATTCGATTGGTTGGCTAAATAGATTTCCAGAACTCCTCTGAAAGTGAGGGCCCCTACAGACCAATGGGGAAAACAAAGATTGCAAGGGAATCTTTCACCTATGAGCCTATTCTATTTGCAATTGCTTGTGCTGCAGTCTTGCGCTTGACGAACAGATTGTTTTCCAATGTTTGTGTTTCCGCTTGTGTTTATCTTGCTGCTAAAGCCCTTTTCGATGTCTTCTGTTCCTGCAGCTGCGAATGGAATACTTGTCTCTGATGCATTCTATCATCCGGTCGACGCCATACCTGCAGCACAAGCACCGTTACACTGACTTGCAGAGGACCTTGCAGCGCATCATGGTGGAAGAGGAGGAGAATCAGCAGTGCCAGATGGACAAAATGATAATCCAAGAGATCTATAAGGAGTTTCCAGAAATATCTCCTGGAGACAGCTAACTGGTGCGGGGAAAGGACTGCTGGGGATAAGAATGCCTCTTGTGGTTGTATCCTTTCCATCCCTTTTTCCGGTACCACTCATACCTTATTGTCCCTTCAGGTGAGCCCTAAGGTTTAAGTGGAGTGCCATAAGACCCTACAGAAGAAATGTTCAGCATTTATGCAAGTCAGTGGGCAGTTAGCTAAAGTTGATTGTTGTCTGCCCATTTCTAAGGGGTGGGGCAAAACAGCTGGAGACAAAAGAGGTGTCTTCACAGATGGAGTGCTTTGACAAGTCTAGGAGAATATCCCTCCCTAGTGACCTTTGCACAGGAGAGAGGGCAGAGGCCTGTGACCTTGAGGGTCTTTGAGCTGCACCTAGGATCCCAAAGCAAGAGGTCTCTGCTGTCAGCATCCATTTCCACCGGCATTTCTTGTCCTGCCGCTACCCAGTGGAGTAGGCCAGTGTTTGCGGCCAGCTTTTGTAACATCTCGTCTGCTGTGTCTAGTGCTCAAGTGCTGCAATCCTAGCCGAGGAAGCTGCTGCTTGCTACTCTCTTAGTCCTGTGTCCAGTGAGCCTTTCAGTCCTTTTTAAACCCCACTGCTTGATCTCTGGGTTAGAGACCGGCTTATCTGGGGTCTAATACAAGTAAGCACCTGCTTCTGTTCCTGTTCTATGCCGTGGTGTTTGTGCTTAAATTTCTTGCCCACGGCGGCAGCAGAGAGATAACGATGGTCCAGGCAGCAGGAGTTCCTTCGACAGATCTTCTGCCTGGACTCACTGCTAAGGTGTGTCCTTTTTGAGAGTTGCTGCTTGTCTCCTGCGATGTACTGGCCTTGTTGCCTCTGGCACTGCACACACAAGGACCATGTATCTGTAGATGGCAGCGCACGCTCTTCTCCCTTCAGCCTGGGGGTGTTTCTTGCCTTGAGCTTAATAGCAATTGGTTCTGCCTAGCTTTACCTTTTTATGTCCTGAAGGCTGCTTAAGCCTGGTATCTGATAGCTCTGCTCCTTAATATGCACAAATTGGGAGAGCTCCCTTTTCTTTATCTAATTTCTCCAGGTCTCCTGCAAAATGGATTTGCCTGCTTTTTTCCTATTTAGATCTTTCCGACAGGCTCACATACTAATACGGGTCTGTAATATCTTAATAAACATGCACGCTGCCAAAGCTCTTTGCAGAGTGGGTAAACAAGAGCTTTGCAACCTTCAGTGTAGAAGTAGCTTGAATTAAAACTGGAAATATTTGGATAACCTCTAAACCTAATGTGAACCAAATAAATTAAGGAATTGCCTTGGGCCAGGGCATCTGCTTTGGTATGATGTCAGTGCCGGGAGCTTCCAGAATTGGCCATCAGGTTTGAGCTGGTGAGCAAAGTGTTAGTTTGGGGGTCACTGTCTGAGACGAGTGAACAGCCCTGTTTTTAAGTGAAATGTTTAAAATAAAAACCATTGTGAACGTTGAAAGGGATTTGTATTTTCATAGAATCAAATAAACGTAGTCAATGGATAAATATTTGTGTGTGTGTTTTTAATTTGATAATATTTGCATATTCTGTATCAGTTGCAGGATATTGGAAGTGTGTTTTTACAAAGGGCAAGACAACACTGCAATGTTGCTAGCTCAAGCAGTCTGCACATGTCGCTAACGCTTTGTTTTATAGCCTTGGGCCTGGTGAGGCCTGGTGACTTCAAAACCTGGTTGCCCCTGTTCTCCCTTGCCTGCTCCACTTCACTCCCAGAACCAGCTCAACAACGCAGATAAAGTGGATATCTGGGGTGTCCCTATGCAACAGGCACCCAACCGTACAAATAGGAGCACATGAACTTAGACCATTGCACTGCTTCTGGTCCGGCAAACTCCCAGTGTAAATGGAGAGAGTACCCTAGCATTCTCTGCAATTTGAGCAGGGACAGCTCTGCCCTGTCTAGGACAACCATATAATGCTTGCAATTCTCCTCCTCCCTGTCCCCACCTCAAATATGGGAGGATGAACAAAATGAGAACCACCACTCCAACAGGGTTTGATTCTGTTCGTTTTATTTTAAATGATAAAAAACCTTGCAACTTTCCTCCTCCACTTTGACATACAACTTTTGCCAGGGGAGGCGGGTAGGAAGCACCAAGAGTTTCTCTTTGTTTGTTTGTTTGTTTGTTTGTTTGTTTGTTTCATCCCAGCAGTGAATGACGTAGGTGACTGGCATTGAGGAAACTGCCAAGAGCTTCTGCAGCCCTGTGTGTTCATTTGATTATCTTAAAATGATTCAATTACAGTTGCTTTGGGAGTTTGGGCGATTTCAGCTAGTCAGTGAGAACAAATAAGCTCCAGGTGTCTTTACTATTGGTGGGGGTTGTTTAAAACACCATCTTTTGCTTGAGAAGTGCATTAAGTGAGGTTAATTCAGCTTCTCTTCCCCAGTCAGGATATCATGTCCAATGCCGGATTTATATACCGTATCTTTCGCCCTATAGGACGCACTTTTTCCCCTCCAAAAATGAAGGGAAAATGTGTGTGCATCCTATGGGGCGAATGCAGGCTTTCGCTGAAGCCTGGAGAGCGAGAGGGGTCGGTGCGCACCAACCCCTCTTGCTCTCCAGGCTTCAGGAAGCTATCCGCAAGCCGTGGGAGAGCTGCGCGACTTCGCGCAGCTCTCCCGCGGCTAGCAGAGAGCTTGCCTGCACCCAGAAGCTTGGGGCGCGCTGAGCTCAGCACGCCCCAGGCTTCCGGCTTTGCGCAGCTCTCCGCTAGCAGCCTGTTCTGGGGGCTGGGGGCGGGGGAAGCTGGGGCTTCCCCCACCCCAGCCCCGCACCTGGGGGGGGATTTTTTTTTTCTTTATTTCCCCCCCAAAAAACTAGGTGCGTCCTATGGGCCGGTGCGTCCTATGGGGCAAAAAATACGGTATAAGCTAAACAAGTTATAGCTTAGGACCCCACTCTCTTGGAGGCCCCCAAAAAAATTAAAGGGGGAAAAACTGGATGTACATTTCCAAAATAAAAGATAAAAACCAAATAAAATAAAACCTACATACAGTTAGAACTTAATAATTATTTCACTATTAATATACTTCTTCTTAATTGTATTGCGCTATTAATATACTTCTTAATTGTATTTCAGTTCAACAATTACTTTGATAAAATACATATTTGGTTATGTGCAAATGGCCTTAGATACCTATTAGGTCCATAAATTACCATATAGCATATATTCAACACAAAAAACAGCGACAATTTGTTGTTGACAAAGGACAGCTGGACATATAAAGGGCTTAGGGCCTCATCAAACCTAAATCCGGCCCTGATCATGTCCTAGTGTGGTCAGATAATTACTTCTCCCATCTTTGGTTCTGCAGATCATGAAGAAGTCTTCTTCCTTTTTTCTTCATAGATTAAAACCATGACTGACCACTCGGTGGGCACTCCTCCTGTGTGACACAGAGCACTTAAGTCAGGGATGGCAAACCTGTGGCCCTCTGTATGGTGTTGGACTGCAACTCTCATGATCATTATCTATGATGGCTGGGGGCTGCCACCGAACCCCCTCAAATATTTTATTGGGGGGACCGAAGGGACCTCGGTTGCTAGGAGTTGGCTCCTATGCTCCTGACTTCCTGCCTAGTTCAGTATTTTGTGAAACTTTTTAGAACATCAAGAGGACAATAACTGAATACTTCATTCCTTGCTGTAGAGGCCAAATTTGTTGGGCTTATAAACAACCTATGCATGATAATACATCAAAATTAAGGTAGAGATAGATCTGTCACCCATGAATTGCATTTTGTCTGCATTTAAAATTGCAGACCATCACATTTTTGCTTGCAGGGCTGAATTCTTTTTTTTTTTTTTAAGAAAAGCAATGCATGATGGCAGCAGGTACTGCTGACTGCTCCCTACACAATCTCTCTCTCTCTCAGATTGAAAATAGGTATAGTGCAGTTATGCTTGTCTGCCAATCTCTGCTCTTCTGTGGCAGTGAAATAAATTGAGAAGGAACTAATATCTCCAAGGTGCTTGATAAGGCCTTTCCAGGATATTGTACAAGGAAGATGAATAGCTTTTGCAAAGCCTTCCTCATATTGTGATAAGGCCCATTATGTAATAACGGTGTCCTATAAACTGAAGGAGACATCTTGTCAAAGAGTCTGATTGGAACGGAGCAGGCCTGGCATTTAATGAGATGCCTTTGACCCCTATGTCTGCCTAAACGCCTTTCCTAAAAGAGGGTAAGGGGAGAGGGATGCTATAAGCAGCTCCGTAGCAAGGCTATCTTTGTTCACTTTTGCATGTATGCCTTGTGCTGTACCCACTGTTGGCCCTAGAAATTTCAAAAAATGTGTGTATTTTTGCTTTCATTTTTGACACTACCATAAGAGTCCCTTAATCTTTTTATACATTTAGTTGATGTCTTGGAAGGCTCACAAAAAGTGAAATGGGCAAGGTTGTTCCTGGTGTCTGTAGGAGGGGTATGCCACTCTGAGGACAGTTTTGACAGCATGGGAGTGAATTGTTGGATAGTCTGCAGTGGGGGAATCAAAACTACATTTATGTATATCTGATCGTACAAGGATATTCCTACACAGTGCAGAAGAAAGGATGTACATATAACATTTTTTAATTCATTTTGCTAGCTGATCCTGGGTGACTGGCTTTTTCCCCCTTCCTACTGATACTAATTTTACAGATGAGCAAGATGCTTCCTTTGCTCACGAATTTCGTGGAGGAATTCAGAAATGTGATGTCTCCCAGGCCCCTTAGTCCTTGTTCCACTGAGAATGTTTGGCTTTCCCTTCCCCCTCCCCCGGTGGGTATAATCTGCATTCATTTTTTTTACTTTGCATTTTCTGAAAGAGGCAAATCAGGAATTGAATCAATTCTTACTTACTAGAAAAAAATGGAAGTGGGTGCAGGATTACCAACTAAAATTCTAGGTTGGAACTTAATTGTTCTTATTCTTGGAGTGTGTGTGCATGCACATGTCTGTGTGTGTGCAGTTTTTTTAAAAAAAAGTACAATGATTTAAAAAGCTGACTATTAAGCAGTATATAAATACTTGAAATAAATAATAAATGCCATCTTCTCTGTAAGAAACATCTCACAAAGGAAATCCTTCAGTGGTTAGTTGTTGCCAGAAGATTCACTAACATTGTTGAAAATGTATTTTTAACCACCTGTTGTTAAATAACAAGGCTGCTCTGGTAAGAGGGGGCAGTCTGTGTTTTGATTCGTTTGAAAGACACCTGTCAGGCAGAATTGCAGACTTGGAAAGTTTGTAAAGCAAATTTTTATTTTTAAAAAAAGTATATATTAAAAAGTGGTTTAAAATGTGATTTTAATGCAAACATAGTGCAGGTGCCATTCATGGGCTGCTGCCAGGCTGACTCTATCTTCGGGTGAGATTCAGTCACATACTGGTAAATTCAAGTTGTGCAATTATAGTGGGCTGGGAAGTCTGGCCCAACAAATGAATCAGAACGAAAGCTCATTAACTAGCCAGTGTTGTCTAAATTTCCTGCAAGAACATGTAATCTTCTTGCAAACATATCACAATGAATGCTCAACAAACAGGTCAGCTAGAAGTGTCCGTTGTCTCTCAAAGCCGAATCCACAAACCTTTACTGAACACAGAAGCTGAATGCTGCTCTTTCTGCAGAAAGAGAATCTGCTCAGTGCAGGCAACGTTATGACTTAAATCCAACCAAGAGTTAGGTATGCATTGAGTTTAGTAGGCTTGAGAATGCCCCAAGCTGTGTTCGGTATAGGCCTAAAAATATTGCCACAGCAGGTCTCCTATTATTTTACCCTGAGCTTAAAAATGGGGACCAGAAACTAGTTAGCCATCACAGCATCCAGGCCCTGCTTCAGAAGATGCTCTCCTCAACCATCCCTTGGCCACCTGCATGCACTCACACTGCGGTGTAGCTAGGGCTCAATCTTGGGGCTGAAGTCCAGAGGTCTACAACTTGGAGGGGCCACAAATGACCACCCAGAGAGCAGCAGCAGATAGCAAACTGGATCAGCCCCAAGGACTGTCATGGACATGTTGGAGCTATTGGGGTTGATGCTGGTCCCCACAGCATCCTTTCAGAACCATCTGGGGAGACATGTACAGGGTTACAGAGCCTATTTTTATCGTTTGTACTTTTAGAATACATTAACCTTGTCTACAGCAACATGGGGGACAACAAAAGCAGCCATCTTATCCCTGTCGCCAGGATGGTGCTATGATTTAAGTGAGGCTTTTTTAAAAAATGGGAAATTGCACGTGCTCAGAAGGCTTTTTCTTACTAGGGTTGGCAAGCTGCTTTTTGCTCTAACACATCAGGAAAGTAGAAGCAGTTGTAGGGGGAGGTGTGGAGGGAGGTGTGCACAGCATCACATAAATTTGCAGCTGGGTTCTCTCCAATCCTTCTGTAAAAAGCATGTTCACTGGTCCCAACACAAGAAAGTGTAACGTTGTGACGGCAATCTGCCCCAGTTACAACTTTTCCATCTATCCCTTCTTAAGTCGTTAATTCG